AATATGAACTTGATGACGTCATAAATGACGTCACGCAAGGTCAACATTGCAAAAGTGACGCATCTAACGTTGCAAGGAGTGCATCAAATCACGATTCTGTGTGCTTAAGATAGTTGGAGATCGTTCCCGGCGCCAGAATTGCAGTTTTTATTTGAGGTCACGAAAGTGGCCTGACCTCATATGACCTTTAGGAAAAAGAGATAAACAAGTTGTGAGCTTCATAACGGATATTAGATCCTGCAAGTTTCATTTCCCTGTGAAAGCTCCTCTGGCAGTAAGGGCGTTGCTAAGTTGCGACATCTGAAGACCGTGCAGAGGTTTACTTATGACGTCATAGACCCGAAAATGCGGTTGGTGTCAAAAGATCCGGCTTTAATCAAAGTTCAGGTATGCCAAGTGTCAGCTCTCTTTCGCCAGAGTGGTCGGAGCTATCGGGCAGGGGCGCCGCCACGGATTTTTGACTGGGGGGGACGGACTGACCGACTGAAAACCCAAAAATAGACATTCGTACCGACCCGTGGCTTTTTCGGTCCGATGTATTGAACGTTTAAAGCAAATATGCCACTTTTAACAAAGGGTTTTAAACTGAAGTAACTGTTTTGTAGCTTGAGCTGAGACAAGAATTAACAAATCAAGAGCTTTTATGGCCCAACGATCACCCTAGCCAAAGATATCGGTATTGATTTTAGGTTTAAAGTCTGAAGTCATTCCCATATATAGACTACTTTTTGTCATTCCATTACCGAGGAATCCATTCCCTTACGGAAAAATGCTAGCCAATCAGCATTCAGCTGGTTTGAACTACGTAATACGAGTATGCTTGGTCAACGCGTAATCAGCTTCCGCTGCAATATAGGAAGCCTCTACGAAAGATGGAAAACAGTTCTTATGTAAAAATAAAATAAAATCCTCTTTGCAAATATTCATTATGTTATTTTCTGACCATTTTAAGCATAAAAACTCATAACTATGGCAAAACAACTGGTTTGAGGAAAGTAGTTTAGGTATGGCTATTAGACCGTTTACCCACCAAGTACCTACCTATGTACACATCCGATGTCCGATTCAATTTGACACGGCAAAACCTCCAGTGCTCTATCAGGCTATAATTGCTGATGTATGCCACTAATCTGATCGGTAATGCATATTGCATAGGAAATGCATATTGCATACCCGCGTGGGGGAGGGGGCGTTGTAAAGTAACAATCTCTCTTTTTGGGTTATGCATGAATCGGCGCGAAGCGCCGCGAAAATTGGCAAAAAAAAAATCGGGCAAAACTGCTCCAAAATACGGATTTTGCAGCCCGTGTAACAAGCTTGATACCAGAAAACCTTAGGTCAGGTCACCAAGTGAAGTAGTCGTCAAGTCGTCTCAAAGTTTTGTTGTCCTCTCAACCGCATAGCTTATTTCTTAGAAGCTGGAAATTTAGTGTCGTGTGACTGCAGAACTGTGGGGTCGGAGCCGGAATCAGTCGGAGTTGATAGTTTTGGCTAGAGTCGGAGTTGAAGTCTTCGAAATTGTTCGGATTTTGACTCCGATGTCGGATTGGCTTAAAGTCATGCTCTCTTGGCTGGTTTGACGAAATATATTAGGCCCATTTTCGGCCAGTCGTGTTATACGACACACGTTGATGATATCAAAAATCGGCAGTTCCGCGATGACAGGTCGGACAAGAGCTGGAGATTTTGTTGGCCGAGGTGTCAGGGGTCAGACCAATGCATGTAGGCCCACGCCCCATATACTGAGTATGTAAACCTCCTGGACCCTCTCAGATTCGGCACCGTTCTATCTCTTCCATCCTCAGGACAGTCAAATCCTTCTCCTCCACGCCGCAATCCCCCTGCTCCGGGCTGGACGGGCAACTATCCCATGCAGGAATGGCTCCACTGGAGCTATAGTCCTTTGCCGGGCGCAGTGAATGCCAGTGGGCTGGGCTGCCTGTTCAATTGGTCGGGTTCAGCCAAATTGTGGCTCACTGGGATGGCTGCCCAGACCAATGTCTCCCACTAATTCTTTCATCCTTCCGGCTCTGAAATGGTCTCATTGGACAGAAGGGCCTAAGCAAATTTCGAGTATGGATAACAACCAGTAAAACGCCTTTTGGGGCGACCAACGGAGCGAGCGAGAGGGTGGGCCTTGCACGTGCGAAATTGCAAGGGGGTACCTCCAACTAACTTGTGCACTGCACCCTACTAACCGGTCTCTAACGATGTGCCAATTTTGAGCGCAATCGGCCTAGCCGTTCTCGAGCTCTGGTCTGGAAGCGGCACCCTGCACGTGCGCACGTGCAAAATGTGTCCCAACTGACTTTTGCACGGTACCCAACTAACCGGTCCCTAACCATGTATCAAATTTCAGCACAATCGGTTCAGCCGTTCTCGAGATCTGGAATCGACCCCTGCACGTGCGCACGTGCAGCAGCACCCCAACTAGCACATTAATTTGCATTGCCTAGTGGGTACCTACCTATACATGCCAACTTTCAGCGCAATCGGCCCAGTAGTTACCGAGATATTGCAATGGTTACAAAACTGACACCTCTTCATTTTTCACGTGGCACGTGCATAAGGGGTCAACCACATGCATCGGGAATAGTCCAACACTTGTTAGAAGGAATAAAGCTACCCTACCGAAAATTATGGCATGTAATTCGGTCAAGTGGCTCCTGAGATATAAGCCTCGCAAAAGCGTGCCGGCCGCTCATACTAAAAAATTTCCGTTATCTACGAAAGACTAAGCTCGCTTCGCTCGCTCCGTAATGAGTTTGGGGGGGACGTCCCCCTTCCATTCTGAGACTGGGGGGGACGCGTCCCCCCCGTCCCCCCCGGTGGCGGCGCCCATGCTATCGGGAAAAAAACCTATTGGGGGGCGGCACCCGCCCCCCCCCCTCGGCCGGCGAGGGTTAACACGCAATGGTACCCATGGATGAACACCCAATGGTAACAACCCATGGTAGTGCAGCAACACATCGTGCAGGTGAGTCATATCTGTTTATCAAAGTTCATGTTGCTGAGATGAACAGAAAGGATAAGACCACAAGGCCAATCATTTTCTGACATTGCAAGCCTGTCATGTGCTCTGATCAACGACCACTTTTGATGGTACCATACCTTTTGATCATGGTTGATGCCAAAAAATCAGCTTTCGCTGGGATGGGGAAATGGCGTTTTTAGCCACACTCTCATTTTTTGCGTTGTTACTGGTAAGAATGACCGCGGCATGCGGTACCGCAAAACATAATGTAGCTTAAGCTTATCATTAATCAAATTTTTAGGTATCGTGTTAATTTTATCTTATTTTTACTGACATCACTTCAGGTCAGGTCGCTTCTACTAGATCCAGCTTTGAAACCCTGTCTCTTGCAATGAGATCCGGTCATTCCTACAGCTCATCTGTTCTTAGTTTTTTTTTTACCCGCGCCGGGCCGGGGGGGGGTGTTTGAACACCCCCCTGCAGTTTTTCGCAGATATCTGAAAAACGGCGGCGCTCCGCGCCGCCGTTTTTGGCACACTGTTCGTGCATCTTTTCCGCACATGTTGTAAAAATTTCAGACCCAGGTCGCCTTAGGTCAGGTCAGCAGGTCACGCCAAGTGACCTCACCTGAGAAAAAAATAAGAATGCTCGTCATAGCTACACCGATTGATCGATTGCCTGGAAAATTTCAGCGATTGATAAGAGCAACATTATCTATAAAATGTATATCTCGGAATTTTGATATCGATGACCTAGGGACAGGTCAATTTTGCGGCCTCTCCATTATAAGTCAATGGGAGAAAATTGAAAAGCGTCTGGTTTGCACGAACGCCATTCAGACACTCTCAAACATCGAGACAGGGGCGGATCCAGAAAATCTCCAAGGGAGGGGCCATTAGAAACCAGGAGGCCCCCATAATCCCACCTGTTGGAGGCCCCATCTTCCCACTTGTTGGCCCCCCCCAAAAAAACTGCGTCTATTGAGCTTATCTAGCTGTTCAGGCAACATCTCAACATGAATAGCCACTTTATTTTCAGGAGGCCCCCTTTTCAGCTTTTTAACTTTTTATTTTATTTTTGAAAAAAAATCGGCCAAGGGGGGGGGGGCCATGGCCCCTATGCCCCCCCCCCTTGTATCCGCGCCTGCATCGAGATGTAGGTAAAATTGACACACTGAACCGGCAAATGGCATCTGTGACCCCTCGTTATGTCCCCGAGGTCATCTCAGGTCACGAACAGAATCTAACAGTTTTTCGCAAATAACTTCTGATAGAGGCGTGCTAGAGCGCTGAAAACGCCTTAGATGTGTTTGGCTCGACGTTGCAGAACGACTGATATGCAACATGACCTTTTCCGGTCAGGTCATGACCTTGAGCTTGACCTGAGGTCAAATTTTCAAGTTGACCTTTCAAGGTCACATTATAGTTCATTCAACGCGTCTCGACGAGAGGAACACGATGCTGGCAAAAGTATTCCCATGGCTCTTTTGAGTCAAAAGTTATTGCCGAAACAAACGCTTTTAGTAAAAACGGCTATTTTTGGAGTTTTTGCCCTCTGGAGGCTAAACCGTTGAAATGAGGTCGAAGCTAAGAACATTCCTCAGAAAGGTCTGTAAAAGGGATATCGAATGCGCTTTCCCGCGGCGCTGTAGCTCTATCGGTTCCCGAGATAGCCGTTGGCAGTTTCAAAAATGTTGAAATTAGTCAACATTTTACCTTTGGTGACCTCTGGTGACCTGACCTTTGACCTGACCCAAAAAATGAACGAAGTGTTTTCGTCCTTATTTTGAACGTTCTTTCGATTGCCGCTTACCGCGTGTCGCTTCGTGGCCCAGGAGCCGAGTAAGAAGGGGGGTGTTCAGACACCCCCCGGCCCGGCGCGGAATCTCAGAGCACCGGCCCGGCGCGGGCAGAGACGTTACTGGCGGAGTGATCTGCGCGGCGGGGGACCACGGGATGATACCTGGCGCCCATATTGTTTGAGATGACACCACCTATCAGCTCGGTGATAGCGTCAGGGAGCAGGTCTGCTTGCCGACCGGAGGTCGAGGGCACGACATTCACCGGGCAGAAGTGGCACCGAGAGACGTCTCCACCGGGCCAACCGCTAACCCCAACCGGCTGACCGGTCAGACTAAGGTAAGAACGATCACGTTTGAAACTGGGACGGGACCGCACGCTGAGCGCGTTATATATGAATAATGAATATGCTAAATGCTTAGCGATGCAAGCTGCAAAGGCTACAATTTTGGAGAAGTGCTGATATAGCTGTCTTTTGCCTGGCCTGGTTAAGTAGTACTAGGGAAAATAAATATGTCTGTGCGATTATATTAAAAGACGCATGTGAAACATCCTTTTAACTCAAATTTTATATCGCGAACATAAGAAAATGAGCTCACCTATCACTAACTTTTCGATAATAAACGGCCTTTGATCTAAAATAATTACGTGGCGTGTATTGTCTAACTCTACTTCATCGAAATAAACATGATCATAAAACGTTTTATCATTTTATTACCTACACAATTACAATAAAAGCAATTTTAAAAGATTCGCATGAGACATAAAACCTATCTACTTATCCTTTCCAAACATTTTTTGATATTTTTTTTTTGTATTTGAACTTTGAATGCTTATATCGATATATCATCATTCGTGGAAATGGCAAAAGACTTGCCCCGGGCCTTTTAACGTGATGTTTTCTTTTCAGGTTACCTCAGATGGAACCAAATTAATTCGGCGCTGTCAGTCGAGCACAACTAGCCACCATTCATTGGACAGCTCAGCACTGGGATACCTAGGGGTGGCAGAGGCTTCAGTAGCACACTGCAAAGATCGGCCGACTCCAGGCAGCCTCAAGGACAAGACTGAACACGATGGCAGCCACAGCCGCTGCCGTTGCTGCCAGCGGCCTCCTTCCCACAGTCATACAAATCGCAGGAAAATGGTTCGGTGCTAGACGCAGAGCCGAGAGAGCCCAGCCGAGCCAAGCCGAAAGCCGAGAGAGCCCAGCCGGGAGGGAGCAGCGTGAGGCGCAGGAACAACGAGAAGAGGAGCAACATGAATCTGAAAGAGGGAGAAAAGCACGAGAAGACTTTGTAAGGATAATTGAAGAAATGATAGGAGAGCTGGAACAACGGTTAGAGGAGATGCAACATGAATTAGAAAGAGAGAGAACAGCACGAGAAGCCTCTGAAAGCAGAATTCAAGAAATACAAGAAGCGCGGGAACAACGAGAAAAGGAGATGCAACGTGAATTAGAAAGAGAGAGAACAGCACGAGAAGACTCTGAAAGGAGAATTAAAGAAATGCAAGAAATGGTAACCAGTATAACGCCTTTTGGGGCGACTAACGGAGCGAGCGAGAGGGTGGGCCTTGCACGTGCAAAATTGCGAGGAGGTACCTCCAACTGACTTGTGCACGGCACCCTACTAACCGGTCTCTAGCGATGTGCCAAATTTGAGCACAATCGGCCCAGCCGTTCTCGAGATCTGGAAGCGGCACCCTGCACGTGCGCACGTGCAAAATGAGTCCCAACTGACTTGTGCACGCACCCTACTAACTGCTCCGTAACTGTGTACCAAATTTGAGCGCAATCGGTCCAGCCGTTCTCGAGATCTGGAATCGACCCCTGCACGTGCGCACGTGCAGCAGCACCCCAACTCTGGGACATGGATATGCATTGCCTAGTGGGTGCCTACCTACATGCTAACTTTCAGCGCAATCGGCCCAGTAGTTACCGAGATATTGCAACTATTACAAAAGTGACACCTCTTTGTTTTGCACGTGGCACGTGCATAAGGGGTCACCCACATGTATCGGGAATAGTCCAATACTTGGTAGAAGGAATGAAGCTACCCTACAAAAATTACCGCATGTAAATCGGTCAAGTGGTTGCTGAGATATAAGCGTCGTAGAATCGTGACCACGGCCGGCCGGCCGGCCGCTCATACTAAAAAATTTCCGTTATTCTACGTAAGACTCCGCTCGCTTCGCTCGCTCCGTAACAAGAATGGCCAGAGCCAATGAGAAGGCACGTCAAACATCCCAAGAGGCTATGAATAGGATGCAAAAAGAATTTGAAAGGGCACTTCAAGCCCAGACAGAAGAGATCCAAAGGAATCAGACTCAATTGCTGAACCAAGTACAAAGTGTAAAAGAAGACACGAACAGGGTGACGGCGGGAACAGAAGCAGGAGATACAACAGGGGCGGTCGGTGGGGATACAAGAGGGGCAGTCGGCAGTCACACAGGATCAGCCAGCAGTCAGACAGGGGCGGTCAGCAGTCAGACAGGGTCGGTCAGCAGTCACACTACGGCGGTCAGCGGCCAGACAGCGGCGGTCAGAAGTCAGACGGTGGCAGTCAGCGGTCACACAGGGTCGGTCAGCGGTCAGACAGCGGCGGTCAGCAGTCACACAGCGGCTGTCAGCGGCCAGACAGCGGCGGTCAGCGGTCAGACAGGGTCGGCCAGCGGGGGTCAGATCGCACCCTCCACCGAAGCAGCGCCGACCGCTGGGGAGCGGGCGGCGACTCGTGAGCCGGCCCCTGCGGAGTCCGTTCGGCAGACCACCGCCCCCCTGCCGGCGCTCTGTCAACAGTACTGGACCAGAAACGGATGCAGGAAGGGGGCGTGCGGCCAGGTGCACCTCTGCAAACTCTTCCTGGCCGGAATCTGCAAATTTGGACACATGTGCCGCAACGAGCACTCACTCCAGTCCGAACATAACAAGGTAAGTTAGTGAACACTGAATGCCTGTACTGTCAATATCGTCCTGACTTTAATATGAATGGAATGGGTAAACTGCACAATGTAGACGGAAGTGTGCGATGGTTTTAAGTAGATGGGGTCAGTCATTTTGTGCCCGTACCGGTGTATGTGCAGGGCACAAGTATGTTTCCCTGGCTCAAGTTAGGGGCATTGTGATAGCTCTCTCGTCCCTAAATGATACGTTATCCTGTTTCTAGGGTCAGGTACTTACTACTTAGTACTACATATAGTCTGTTAAGCAATGACTTTGTTGAGATCCTTGCTGCATTTTAACCCTCGCCGGACCTATTGGTTTTCTACATACGCGCCGGCCGAGGGGGGGGGGGGGCGGGTACGACCCCCCCTCGCCGTTTCGCCCCTGGTGGAGCTAGCGCGTCGCGGAAAAAACGAGCGTGTGCGCCGTTACGAGACGCAGAGATTGGTACCCAATTTTAAGGTCCTAGGTCAACCGGTGACCTCTGAGGTCAGGTCAAGTGCCCCAAGGTACGGTTCAGTTTTTGGTGAATAACTTCGCAAAAAACGGCCGCAGAGCGCCGATTTTGGAAGCATCGTGTTCGTCTCGCTCAGGCGCGTCGAATGATATACTTTTTGTCCGGGTCAGGTCAACTTGGGGTGTTGACCTCAGGTCAAGGTCAGGTCAGCACCCCAGGTCACGAAGCTGGTCGAAAGAGGTCATGTCGCATATCATTCGATTCGGCAGGTCTTCCTGAATCCATTGGTGGCTTTCCCGACTCGCTAGCTCAATTTGATCAAGAGTTATTGACGAAAAACTAATATGACCTTGATGACGTCATAAATGACGTCACGCAAGGTCAACATTGCAAAAGTGACGCATCTGACCTTGCAAGGAGTGCATAAAATCACGATTCTGTGTGCTTGAGATAGTTGGAGATCGTTCCCGGCGCCAGAATAGCAGTTTTCATTTTTCCCCATTGACTTATAATGGTGAGGTCACGAAAATGACCTGACCTCATATGACCTTTAGGAAAAATCCGAGATATACAAGTTGTGGGACTCATAATGGATACTAGATCCTGCAAGTTTCATTTCCCTGTGACATCTCCTCTGGCAGTGAGGGCGTTGCGAAGTTGCGACATCTGAAGACCGTGCAGAGGTTCACTTATGACGTCATAGGTCAGTGACCTGACCTGACCCAAAAATGCGGTTGGTGTCAAAAGATGCGACTTGGATCAAAGGTCAGGTATGCCAAGTTTCAGCTCTCTATCGCCAACGTGTTCGGAGCTATCGCGAAAAAACCCTATGGGGGGGCGGCACCCGCCCCCCCCCCTCGGCCTGCGAGGGTTAACCCGCGCCCAGCTGGGGGGGGGGTGTTTGAACACCCCCCCTTGTGGTTTTTCGCGAATATCTCAAAAACGGCGGCGCGGAGCGCCGCCGTTTTTGGTACACCTTATCATACATCAATTCTACACATGTTGTGAAAATTTCAGACCAAGGTCATTCAAGGTCAGGTCACCAAGTCACTTGAAGTGACCTCACCTCATAAAAAGTTTCAATGTCTGTCATAGCTACACCGAGTAACCGATCGCTTTGAAACTTTCAGCGATTGCTAAGAGCAATAGCATGTACAAAATGTATATCTCAGAATTTTGATATCGATGACCTAAGGTCAGGTCAATTTTGCGACCTCCCCATTATAAGTCAATGGGAGAAAATTGAAATGCGCCTCTTTTGGACGAAAGACATTATAAACACTCCTAAACACCGAATTGCAAGTGTTTTAGACACACTGAACATGAAAATGGCGTCCGTGACCCTTGTTTATGCCCTGAGGTCATCTTAGGTCACGAATGGTATCTAACAGTTTTTCGCAAATAACTTTTGATAGAGGCATGCTAGAGCGATGAAAACGCCTTAGATGTGTTCAGCTCGACGATACGGATCGACTGATATGCAACATGACCCTTTCCGGTCAGGTCATGACCTTGACCTGAGGTCAAATTTTCAAGTTGACCTTTCAAGGTCAAGTTATAGTTCATTCGATGCGTCTTGACGAGAGGAACACGATGACGGTAAAAGTAAGCTCGTACAGGGCTTGGGTCAAAAGTTATTGCAGAAAAACTGTTTCCGAAAAAATCGGCTATTTTTGCAGTTTTTGCCCCCTGCAGGCAAAACCGTTGAAGTTAGGTCAAATCTGAGAGAATTACTCAGAAAGGGCGTTAATAGGGCTATCGAATGCGCTTTTCCGCGGCGCTGTAGCTCTATTGGTTCCCGAGTTATGCGTTGGCTTCTTGGAAATTTTCGACATTCGACCTGGAAATCGGCGAAATTTTGCCTTCCATGACCTCTGGTGACCTGACCTTTGACCTGACCAAAAAATTGACCGAAGTGATTTCGTCATTATTTTTGACGCTCTTTCGAACGCCGCCTTCCGCGTATCGCTACGTGGCCCAGGAGCCGAGTTACAAGGGGGGGTGTTCAAACACCCCCCCAGCAGGGCGTGGAAATCCAGGACCCCCAGCCGGGCGCGGGTTAAACCTCTCAATCAATGATGACTAGCATAGCTAACATGAACACCAAATGAACACGTTTCAGGTTGTGTGCACTGAAGAGGCATCCCGGAGCGAGGAGCAGCTTATCGCGGAGCTGCGACGGCGTTTTGCGGAGGAGGGCTTCGCTGACCAGAAGTTCTATCGCTCCCATATCGAGATATGCCCCAATCAGGCCGAATCCTGTCGAATTCATGACTGCATCCGAGTGCACATCTGTCGGTGAGTAACTTACGGTTGCGCAGTTATTGCCTTTGTAACGTGAAACCTCATCAAACATTTTTTCTGCAACTTAAAACTTACATAAATCCTGTGAGTTTTCGTCGGGCTAGATACATATAAATCGTAAGGTTGCATACGAATATACATATATATACCTACAGGCTACAAGCATGTAAGCAGCTCAGTATCTTAGCCCGTCTTTCATACTTTTTCTTGATTATTTTGAAATGGAAAAATGATCTCTGAGATTTTGTTCGGGTCCCGAACCACATAAAGGCGAGCTTTTTACGAAATAACATAACATCATTAGAGCAGACCAGCCATTAACCCGCGCACCGAGGGGGATCGGTGCCAACTTAGATACAACTTAGAGGGGGGCGGTTGACTCCCCCCCCTGAGATCGCGAGAACGAAGCAAGATAGGGACAAGTGGTAATGGGCATGGGGTACATACGCACGGACACGGTCTACAATTTTTACAAATTCATTTTCAGGTCAGGTCAAAGATGACGTCACAGGAATCACAAAAGTCAAAATGGTGACGCTAGATATGAGGAAAGTTTTTCTCAAATAACTTTCGAAGTAGTGAAGCTAAGAACACACTAATGGCACCATCGTGATCCTCTTGTCAATCCGCATCGAATCATATATAAGTTAACCTCAAAAGGTCAAGGTCAAAGCCAGGTTGACCATAGGTACGTGACCTCAAGGTCATCATGCATATCATTCGATGCGCCTTGACGAGTTGAACACAATGAGACCATCCGCGCGACTGTATCTTGTTCCTAAGGAGTTATTACCAAAAAACCCATTGGTGACCTTTGATGACGTCACATGACCTTACAGTTGCCCAATAGCACAGCAGGCCTTAAGATAATCAAGGTTGATCATATCTCAAGTCATTTATGGTAGGTAGGTATATTGGGCCATTCCGGCGCGTTTTAGTGAGAAAAAAAGGGGATTGATTTTGCCCCATTGACTTATAATGGGGAGGAAAAAAATTGACCTGACCTTAGGTAATCGATATCAAAATTCCAAGATTAATAACAAATTGTAGCTACTAATAACCTCATGACATCCTGCGATATTCAAGTTGCAAAAAAGTGGTTTGAGGTTGGGTCATTCGAAGTGACCTGGTGACCTGACCTTGAAAGGTAGGACGTTGAAAGTTGCTCCCATGTGTAAAATTGATGGGGAAATAGCCATCTCAAATTTCGCGGCGCTACCACGTCGCAGTTTTCCCGCTATTCACGAAAAACCTCAGGGGGGAGGGGCGGTTAACCAATCACCAATTGCAACCAATCACCAAATGCAGCCATCAGAAACCTGTCCAGTGTCTTCAAACGGTGCAGTCAGAATAATTTCGTCAGGGGTATTCTTCATCATTTTACAGCGAGTTTTCCCCTTGTTTCTTCAGAGACTGTCACCGGAACCTGCTCACATCCAGAGGGCTGCCGATTTAGTCACGTGCTGCGATCACCGCACAACAACAACGTTCTGGGGCTCTACAAGGCAGTGGACATGAGCGACCGAGCCCTCCTGAACCTGCTGTATGCCAGGGTCACCCAGAGGGGCGCCAAGAGCTCCAAGGAATGAGGACCTGCCGCAAAGAACGCCGAATCTGCCACAAAGAAAGGTGGATATGTCAAAGCGCCTGCGCCGCCGAGCGATGAAGTATGAACCCTCCGTTTAAAAAAAAGTGGAGCACTCATGGAAGACGGTCATGCTGTCATTGGTGAGGCGTCTTTTTTCGTAAGCATCCATTTGAATTTCGAAGCCGAGTCCTAATTAATCCGTATCAGTCATAGGGCCTCCGATCCGGCCACCAGATTTTCTGCCCTGTCGTGTCCATCGCTGGGAAACAGGATCCATCGTTAGTGATGACCTTTGACCTGTAGGTGTACAGTGACTGGAGCATGTGAGTCGTGAGGTCAGCCCCGAGACCCGAGCAATCGACGAAACTGACAGAGATAAACTGATCGATAGTGTTGGATGTAGCTGGGTTTAGAGCAGACTTATGTTTTCGAGAGACGAACTATTACAATGCATTATATATCTATGCCGTATGTACTCATCTGTGGTGCTTTTACTGTGCATGATAACCGTATCAAGTGTCGCGTGTAAGTATGCGGAGTTAAATAAAGCCAATAAATGAATCCGCGCTGCCTGGCAGGTGTTTGAAAATGACTGAACACTTGCAATGAAATGATTTTACTTATCGAAACTTTGCGGGAATAAAAGACGACAGTGCATAGGTATGAAACGGAAACCTAAAAACCTTATTCAGACGAGCTATCTGGTGATTGCACCTAATCTCTTTTATAACAAATATCTTCATACTATGAATTTATTTCAGTGTTTCAGTCGAAAATAATGTCTGATAATGTGAAAAAAAATGAGGCATATAGGTACCTGTGCAGTCCAAACTGATAACTTTTAAGGTGCACCTAATTGCACCAAAGCTGCACCAAAATTTGCACCTAATCTGCACCAAATTTGTACAAGATGGCCGCCGTAAAACGGCTAATACTTACTATTCAAGAGTTCAGACTTTACATTTCAAATAAAACAACAAAGGAACTATTAGCAGTATATGCCTACCATCTGCCACGGGCAATGGTAATCATGTATTAACACGCAATGGTAATCATGAATTAACACATAATGGCAATCATGGATTAACAAGCAATGGTACACATGGATGAACACCCAATGGTAACAACCCATGGTAGTGCAGCAACGCATCGTGCAGGTGAATCATATCTGTTTATCAAAGATCATGTCGCTGAGATGGACAGAAAGGATAAGACCACAAGGCCAATCATTATCTGAGCCATTGCAAGCCTGTCATGTACTCTGACCAACGACCACTTTTGCTGGTGCCATACCTTTTGATCATGATTGATGCATTGCCAAACAATTAGCTTTCGCTGGGATGGGGAAATGACGTTTTTAGTCACAATTTTTGCGTTGTTACTGGTAAGAATGAACGCGGCATGTGGTGCTGCAAAACATAATGTAGCTTATGCTTATCATTAATCAAATTTTTAGGTATCGTGTTAATTTTATCTTATTTTTACTGACATCACTTGAGGTCAGGTCGCCTCTACTAGGTCCAGCTTTGAAACCCTGTCTCTTGCAATGAGATCCGGTCATTCCTACAGCTCATCTGTTCTTAGTTTTTAAGTTGGTAAATTGCATAACGGTGTCAATTACAAGCTTTTCTTTCTTGTGGAGGTTATATGCAATGGTGAAGTCACAATTTGATCTGACCCTGGGACTTCACCACTATAAACCACCTATAAACTCGACAGGCAAGGAAGAGAAACTCAAATGCCTTACGCCTTTTAAAGTGTTTCCTAAAAGCAAATGCCTCCTCCTTTGAACAGATACTTCAAATCACAATAAATGTCACATATTTTGCGACCATAACTTTTGATGGAGACGACATGGCAGGGCCATTGACTTATCTGAAATATGTTCAGGCCATCAATAACCGATGGCTCAATACGATACGATCAATCAATAAGATACTCTCAATACGATACGTATTGTTCAATACGATCAATACGATGAATAGATTGATGTGCAACATGACCTGTTCCGGTCAGTTCATGACCTTGGGATGAGGTCCAATTTTGATGTTGATCTTTTCAGATATATTTATAGTTTTTTTCAGTGCATCGCCATCAGCATTTCGACAAGATGAACACTATCGAAGCAAACATAAATGACATTCTATTGCCGTCAAATTCATTACAACTATCATTGGGAAAATTGTTTCTGCAACATCCGGATATCTTGGTGGTCTTTGCTCTCTGCGGGCTAAAGCGTTAACCTGAGGTCAATGATGGCATGCTAGCGAAACGGCTTTGAAAAAAATATCGAATTCACATGTCAGCACCCCCTATTCTTTACAATGTCAAGCTTGAAGTCAACCTCGGCAATGCTCTCCCTTACTCAATAACTTGCGTCTTTTGTGTAAGATCTATGCGTATACATCTACCTCTGTAATGCTTTCAGCATGGCACTTCAGTCGCAGGCTTGATATGGAAGACATTAACCGGTCACTATCGTATATATGACATCACTGGCTGAGTGATCTGCGCGGCGGGGGACCCCGGGACGATACCTGGCGCCCATATTGTTTGAGATGACACCACTTATCAGCTCGGTGATAGCGTCAGAGAGCAGGTCTGCTGGCCGACCGGAAGCCCAGGGCACGACATTCACCGGGCAGAAGTGGCACCGAGAGACGTCTCCACCGGGCCAACCGCTAGCCCCACCCGGCTGACCGGTCAGACTAAGGTAAGAACGATCACGTTTGAAACTGGAACGGGACCGCACGCTGAGCGCGTTGTATATGTATGTATATGCTTAGCGATGCAAGCTGCAAAGGCTACAATTTTGGAGAACTTCTGAAATGGCTGTCTTTTGCCTGGCCTGGCTAAGTAGTACAGGGTGACACAAAAAAAAACGGTCATCACCAAATTTCGAATAACTTCGGAAGTTTTATTCAGATCATCACCAAACTTCGGCCACTTAAGGTCACACCTATGTAGCATACATCCACCAAGTTTCAAGTCTTCACTACGAATACTTTTAGTACAGTGTGTGTTTTACTGACGCTCCACAATGTGCTCCAGGTGAGCGCCACGGCGCTGCAGGGCGTAGGCACACTTGCATCCGGCGGGCAAAGTTGTCGATAACCCGACGGCTGTGCACTTTACAGAGTGCAATGGCCTCTGGAGACAGTGCTCAGGGGGTGTGCTACCCCTGAAACGTTATTCTTATCGGGTTATCGGCAACTTTGCCCGCCGGATGCAGGTGTGCCTACGCCCTGCAGCGCCGGGGCGCTCACCTGGAGCACATTATGGAGCGTCCGTAAAACACACACTGTACTAAAAGTATTCGTAGTGAAGACTTGAAACTTGGTGGATGTCTGCTACATAGGTGTGACCTAAAGTGACCGAAGTTTGGTGATGATCTGAATAAAACTTCCGAAGTTATTCGAATTTTGGTGATGACCGCTTTTTTTGTGTCACCCTGTACTATGGAAAATAAATATGTCTGTACGATTATATTAACCCGCGCCCCAGTGGCGGTCTCCGCCAACTTCGCCCTAGTGGGGGGGGGGGGGGCATATGTTACCACCCACCTCTAGCTCAAAAACTAAGAGGGCTAGAAAGACGCGGTAAAAAGCAGTCGATAGCTCTTGATGCGTACGTTTGAAAGTATTTCGATCATTTTTCATCTTAGAGCAAAATTGGGGTCACTGGAGGTCATCAAAGGTCAAAATTTGCGAATTGTCATTATATTTTTCAGAAAACATGCCATTATCTCAGGAACTATGATAGCTAGAAAGACGTTGGGAAAAGCAATCGATAGCTTTTGAACTCTTCTTTTGATAAGATCATCATCAAAAATGACCTCAGGTCAACGGTTTAGCCTCCAGAGGGCAAAAACTCCAAAAATAGCTGTTTTTAAGAAAAGTGTTTTTCGACAATAACTTTTGACTTAAAAAAGCTAGGTCATTTCTAATGCCAGAATCGTGTTCCTCTCGCCGAGACGCGTCGAATAAACTATAATTTGACCTTGAAAGGTCAACTTCAAAATTTGACCTCAGGTCAAGGTCATGACCTGACCGGAAAAGGTCATGCTGCATATCAGTCGATGCGTCTCGGCAAGACAAACACAATGAGGCCAACCCCAGCGTTCTATCTCTTTCCAATCGAGTGTTATTGGCAAAAAACTGTTTGTAGCCTCAAATGACCTCGGATGACCTTTCAAGAGGCTATCAGCAAAAAAGACACCTTGGTCGTCACGGGTGGTCCAAATCATTGTTATCCTGAAATATTTGGACTGTTCCTATGCGTACACACGGATCTAGAGGCATTTTCGTTTTTCTCCATTGACTTATAATTGGAAAGGTCACGCCACTGACCTGACCTTAGGTCACGCATATAAAAAATCCGAGATATACAAATTGTAGGCACCCATAACATCATGTAATCCACCAAGTTTGAAACCTCTCTGACAAACACTGCAGGCTGGACATGATTGCAAACTTTTTTAGGCTTGGTCAGTTAACTTGACCTAGTGACCTGACCTGACATGACCTGGGGTCAAAAATTTCACACATTGTCCAAAATTGATGTACCAAAAGCTACCCCAAGCGGCGCGGCGCTACGCGCCGCGGTTTTTTATTTATACGAAAAAAACGCGACAGGATGGTAACATATGCCCCCCCCCCCACTGGGGCGAAGGTTAAAAGACGCATGTGAAACATCATTTTAACTCAAATTTTCTATTGCGAACCTAAGAAAATGAGCTCACCTATCACTAACTTTTCCGATAATAAACGGCCGTTGATCTAAAATAATTACGTGGCTTGTATTGTCTAACGCTACTCCACCGAAATAAAGATGATCATAATTGTCATTTTATAACCTATAAATTGTAATAGAAGCAATTTTTAAAAGACTCGCCTGAGACATGAAACCTATCTACTTATCCTTTCCCAATTTTTTTTTATAAAGTTTCATTTTCTGTATTTGAATGCATATATCGATACATATATCATCATTCGCGGAAATGACAAAAGACTTGCCCGGCCTTTTAACGTGATCGTTTCCTTTTCAGGTTACCTCAGATGGAACCAAATTAATTCGGCGCTGTCAGGCGAGCACAACTAGACATCGTCCATTGGACAGATCAACTCTGGGATGCCTAGGCGAGGGAGAGGCACACAGCGAAGACCTGCTGTTGTCGGGCAGCCACAAGAAAACATGGCAGTCGCAGTCGCTTCAGTTGCTGCCGACCTCCTTCCCGCAGTCGTTCAAATCGTAAGAGACTGGTACGATGCTAGTAGACGAGATGACACGGCCGGGGCGGAGCAGCGTGAGGCGCAGGAACAACGGGAAGAGGAGGTGCCACAAGTGCAACATGAACTAGAAAGAGAGAGAAAAGCAAGAGCAGACCTCGAAAGGAAAGTTCAAGAAATGCAAGACATGATCATGATGATGGCCAGAGCTAATCAGGACGCACATCTAAAATCTCAAGAGACGATGCGTAAGATGCAAGAAGAATTTGAAAGGGAACGCCAGACCCTCAGAGAAGAGATCCAAAGGTATCAAAGAGAGGTGCAGGAACAAGTAGAAGATACTAATATGGTGATGGCGGGAGCGGTCGGAGAGGCTACATCAGGGACCTCCCATCCAGGGCTGCGGAGACGGTGGATTTTTTGGTGACTCTGACTCCGACTGCGACTCCAGCTCATTCTCCGGACATTGATCCTCAAGTCCATATTGTTAAAAAGCTCATGTCGGATATCTGTTTATTTTGCCCTTTGAGTACTCCAAGACTTTACATCGGAAATATATTTTTAAATAGCACGCGAAAATAAAACAGATTCTGGTGCAGCCGGCCATTTTCTGCCTTTTTTTTTAATGAAAACGCTTCTCCACCACAAGGGTATGGCCTTAGCTTCGGCGAAATTTTATCTTTAACCCTATTACCGGTGGGCTTTCTGGACTACGTTAACAGGTGGGGGGCGGGGGGCAGTTCGGCCCCCCTTTGATATCTCGAAAACTGGCGGGGGGGGGGGCAGTTCGGCCGCCGCCGCCAGTAAATGTCTGGTCATAATGGGACAAACGCCACTCGATTGCTCTGATCGTTAACTTTCAGATTGACAATAAAAAGTCAAAACAAATCAAAATTGGGGTCCTGGAAGCAGAAATTTTCGAAAAAAATCGCATTTTACACCTCATCACTAATAATGTTATACCTTCTTCCTTTTTTGACCGATTCCGATGAAACTTCTATATAGAGACTCTTCTTCATGAACTGGGCCATTATATATATTCCGGTATTTTGGATATTTCAAAAATCATAGGCGGACACAGGTAAGCTAACTTAGGATTTTTTGTTATGGTATATCATGTGTCTTATGACAAGATGTGTCATATATCATGTCAAATATGCAACGTGAGCACTAAATACACGTTTTTGTTAAGCATTGGTGGATTCAGGCACAGTAAGACGGGGGCAATACATTGATATTGAAGTACCCTTTTACAGGTACTTGGATCCGCCTATTCCAATATTTTCATTGTAAAATGACGTCACATAGTCTTTAGGTGCATACGTATGACGGGTGGTGCCACTGATCACCAATACAAACCTAAGTAAGTCGCTGGTTAGCGGCAAATGTCGGAACAGTCAAAGCTGGGCTTAACCCTCGCATGTGTAGGGGGGGGGGTCGGATGGACCCCCCCATGGTTTTTCGCGAATAACTCGCGTAAAAAGCGGCCGATCGCGACGAAACTTTCAGTACCCTCGCATTGATCAATTTCACACCTACCCTGAAAGTTTCATGACCCTGACCCAAATGACCTTTGACCTGTGACCTCTTTTCCGAGACCATGTTTGGCCGGAATCGCGATTTCGCGTATGTCGGCTCGCACTAGCCGCGTGTTTGCAAGCTTTTCGTGGTTTCAAACGTTCAAACATGTGATTTGATGTTACTCCCGTGTGTGTCAAGGTCACCTGAAGGTCAGGTCAGGTCATTGACCTTTGGTGACCTCGGGTGACCTCGGGTCACTTTTTCGAGTTTTACATGTTTCTAGGCTAGTTTTTGGAGCTGAATTCGAATTTAGCAACCATTTGAACATTTAAGAAGTAGTTTTGGTGACTTCGTAACATGTTACGAAGCTGTCAGAGGCGGTTGACACGTACTACGAATACCCGTCACGACGCCTACTGGTTGACCTGACCTGACCTGACCCGACCTGGTCTAAATGCTTCAAGACATCATCTGTGATCAAAACTAACACGATATTCGTGATCAGCACCCCGAAAAACCCCTTAGCAGCCACACTTTCCGACTTTCTAACAGGTCCCGATTTTCCCGACTTTTGGTCATTGGCCTGACCTGGAAGGTCAACCAATGACCTAGGACCTTAAAATTGGGTATCATCGGCTTCCTCTCGTCACGGGCAACACGCTCGTTTTTTCCGCGAAGCTCTAGCTTGATCAGGGGCCAAACGGCAAGGGGGGAGGGTCCAACCCTACACATTAGAAGCTGGCAAACGCCGCACACATGCGAGGGTTAAACTACCCCCGAGAAACTCGCCCTGGAGACGCCTCTGGGCAAGCTAGAAACTAAAAATTTGACACAATGTGCCCAATGAATAGCAAGGAAGTCACCAAATTTTGAACCCCTAGCGGTTTTGATTTGAGCGGTTTTCCGTCGAGAGCAAAAAAAAAAACTAAGTCGGGGCCGATTCGCCCCCCCCCCCACACACACACACCAGTAATAGGTTTAAAGGTCAACGAGCAAAATAGGGTCGAGTAAACGGGTGTTGGGCATGACTTTGAGGTATGCAATGTTAAGTCCGAATCCGGAGTCGGAGTGGGTAAGAGTTTGGCGACTACAACTCCGACTCCGACTCCGGACGGAACTGTCGACTCCGACCGACTCTGACTTCGACTACGACTCAGACCTTGCAAGTTGCAGGCTGCAGCCCTACAAACACAACAAGCCTACGAACACACATATTTGAGGAGGAATGGATGACTGGACACTTTTTAAAAGGGATTTTTCATCATCATGCCTCCAAGAAATGTATGAGAGAACAGCTGTGGGGTTTGAAAAAAACGTCGATACGGGTCGTGGGGTCTGCTCCGCGACACGAGCGGTCACCGGAACTGATACAATTTAAATTGATCGATAAGGTCAGATGAGCACAGTTGGTTATAGATCGGAGATCTCTTTGGGTCGGAAGGTCTATGACAATGACAATGTTTGTATTTGTATTTTGTACTGTACATATGTACTCATCTGTGGTGCTGTTCTTCTTCAACCGTGTGCATGATAATTGATAACGGTATCAGAGTGTAATATCATTACGAAGTTGACACAAATAAATGAACCTCTACTTAATGCCTGGTTAAGATCGACGAGACCTATCAATGGAGCAAATATCGGCATATCGGCAGCAAATATCAGGAGGATTGCATCGACATCATTTTTTTAATAATAATATTTATGACTGATGAGTGAGGCGACGTACCGGAGACAATATACATATGAGTGTAGAGCCTACACCATTTAGGTACCCTTGTTCCAGAGTTCAAACCTTTTTTCTTACAGTTCAATAAACAATGAAGGAGAAACTATTCGCAGTATATTTCACCTGACATGGATCAAACAGCGGTACGCTCAATATCACTCCCGCACAATAAATTCGCGGCCAGCCATGCAAAACATAGCCCGGAGAAGGACCGCTCCGGTTGTTTTTCAATAGAAAAACACAATTCTAACGAATAGTGTTTGTCTAATGAAACAACAACCTGCGGTTACCTGCTGTATTTGCACCACTGCAGCAGTGTCGGTTCATTACATATCCTGCAAGATAAGACAGTCAATATAGAGAGCATGTTCAATATCTGCGCTTATCGTCTTGGGCTACATAATACCTTGGTGAACCGCGCATCATAACACTTCTTCGTCGTGATTTCAACACTTGTTGAACAGCGAGACTTGAAGGTGCTATTTTAGGAGCGGGGCAGCCCACGTCAGTTGCCTTTATCTGTGAACGCCTATCAGCAGTGAAGCAAGCATTAACTACACAAGTTATATGTCGCGCCACACTACACAATTAAAGGGCTCAACAGGGATGCGGGAACTAGTTTGAAGTTGTGGGGGCAAGGGTCATGGCTGTGGCGGAGACCGATTCCGGGGACAAAACCAAGGTACCCCAAATTAAATTTTCTTCTCGGATTTTGGCCACTTCATTTCGCAAAATGTCGAATAACGCAATCAAATAAATTTGAAAAAAAACGTAAACAATATTAGAATTACTGCGGCGGAATTCACCTCTGCGCCGTCGAAGGGGGCATTAAAATGCATTTGCTCCTTAAAATTTGAAAACTGCAGACTTGAAAATTAAATATTTCCGGAAACTACAGAATTTAAAATTAAATATTTCCGAATTAAAACATTTCTCGTTGACGAGTGCCCAATTCGGTAATTGCAAGCTAGGGACCCCATTTTGGCTATCTCAATTCAAAACTAATGTTCGGTAGGATGGTCACTTTAATGGAAATGAGAAGAACGCCACCATATCAGACTGCTACCAATGATTTTTTTACGCCAAGTAAATTTTGTCGGCTCACTTATTCTTGCCTTCATTCCATTTTATCCAACCGTGGAAGGAAGGGCAGCTTGGGTCCCCAAAACCAAGCTACCCCATTTCTTATTTCCGCATTTGGGCCACTACATTTTGAAAAGTACCAATATTACATTTTATAGCTAAAACAAAAACAAAATATTTAGCAGAAATTTTCAGTTAAGTTGTGACTTGTGGGGGCGGCGTCGCCCCCACGCCTTGTCGCCCCCACAGCCTTCAAGTTGTGGGGGCAGCTTGCCCCCATTGCCCCCACGGTTCCCGAGTCCACGGCTCAACACCATGACACTGACACCAGTCTCCTGAAGTTCTTTTACCCATGATCCAAAAGACTCTGTTTTAATTTATTCAATGTGGACAGTGGAGGACACATGCTTCAAAATGCTCTCCACTGTACTATTTACATCACACTAGCTGTGCCACCGGGTCTTAAATATGAATCTGATAACGCACAGACAACCGAAGGTGCGCCCGGACTATCGGCATGCTTTGTCCACACGCTCCATCCTGTGCCGATGTTAGATACTTATCCCGATGAGAGGATACACATTACACACGCTGTCACCGCTGAGCAGCCCACTCAGAAGTGCGCCCCGCGGCGGCGCCTCAGCGGGCTGACCGATCCAGAGGCCGGGTCCGGGTCGCTGCTCGAAAAAATCCCGGCGATGCTGGAGGCGAATTTGCTCAGACCTTCAGTCACCGTGCTGGCCACACTAGACACCTGGCGGCAAGGAATGGAAGCACAGGTTAGCAGAGCTGCCGCAAACAAAGGCGGCGCTGCGGTTGCGACATTTCACAGGCAGCGACTGCGACGAAGACCTGCATGAATGCAACGTCCTCCAGCCTTTTGAAAACAACTGAAACCAAGCCTGTAGGAGCTGAACAAGTGACATCTAAGTAAATCAGCAAATTTAATTATCAATAAGCTATCAGTGCCACCACAAAAGTGTCATGCAAGACATTTCGGGGAAGCATTTACCTACTTACAACTAGGTAGGTATACGGCAGTCCAAGAACGTAAAGAAATCTTCCACGAACAATGCACACTTTGGTTTGATGTCAAATCTCCCGTCACCACTGCAGACATACCTAGCACATCCCAATCCAAGCATACCCTCTATCCTAACTAACTGTGTCCCCGACTAAGCCCTCCCAATCCGTGGGACACACACGTCACGCAACCCAGCCCCGGCTGACGCTGACTTTAAACGCCCTCCGTCAGCAGACTCACCCGCTGGCCGATCTTGCTGACATTGACGCTGACATCAGCCTCCTCAGCCGACTGGCAACTGTTGTGGTCCAGAGGGGCGAACTCGTCCTCGATCATATTGGCCACCATGGCGGCACTCACCTGGCAATGGGTTACATAGACAGGTGACTAACACATAGGTGATTATCACACAGAGGTGAGAGAATGCTAGGTGATGACGGGTGACAAGTATAGATAAGTGACTTACAGACAGGTGATGTATACCTACGTGAAAATGTGGTAATAGATGTATCCGACAGGTGACAGATGTGATGACAGACAGACAGACAGACAGACAGACAAACGGACGGAAACAAACAGACAGATGCTGGCAGGCAGACGGATAAACAGACAGACAGACCGACAGAACGATGGTATCTAACATCGACTGCTATGCACCCACTGCTAATGAAACTGCTAATGGCATAGGCGGCGGAACGGGGAGGGCACCGGGGCACCGTGCCCCCCTTTGATTTGGGCATTTTCACATTAGCCCTATGGGTGTTGCATGGAAAAATGGGACCAAAAGTAGGCAGTGCCCCCCCCCCCTTAATTGAAGGTGTTCCGCCGCTACTGGCTAATGGCACAGCAAATTGCCCGTGGGCGGCAAATTCCGGGCGGTGAAACGGCTCGAACCACCCGCTCATTATCTCTGACAGTCGGCTAAGCTGAGGGATGCTCTACGCAGCTGTACCAAAAGAAGGTACCAGCTCACCTAAAAAATTAAAATACCCGTTTATTTTTCAGTTTTACCTCGTTCTTGGCCTATCGGAAAGTGCCAGACAACTGCGCACCAGTTCAGCTGTGACTCAGGCAACAACGGTAACCCTTGAGGATTATGCGATTGGGTTTACGGTGTGAGTAACCCAGCGGCAATAAAATTCACGCGGGCTGTATTCGTCGGGAGATATGGTATCGCTGAAATATCGCTCCGCAAGGCGAGTGAGGGCGGACAATTTATTGCTAGTTATTAGACTCTCGCTGACACAATTTTATTGTGGCTTTCAGATATCAGAGAGTGAGGGGGTTAAAAGCTTTGGCCACTGCGGATTTTGATAACTCGCGATCGGTAGGTACAAATCCAACGCTCATAGAAATGATAAGAAATATCCTGAAGACACAAAGACGACTGCGTAGCCCTGTGCCCATTGCATCAGTTCGCAGCGCTCCAAAGCACAAGACCGCAAGGAGTATTTGAGACCTACAACCAGGAATGCGGAGTTGATCGATTTTCGGGTGTCTCCAACTCCGACTCCTGCTTCCAAAATCGACTCTCATTCTGACTCCGACTCCAGGTCCGACTCCGGACGTTATTCTTAATATCCTAGTGGAAATATCTTTTATTTTGCCCGAAACGATATTTTGCGCGTTCTAAAGGCTTACATTGCAATAAATGCCTTATAAACAACATGCAGCATTAAAAGCAGGTTCCGGAAAATTCGCCTTCTTCTGCTTCTTTCAGCTGAAAGCTCTCGTTCATAACAGGAATATGATCTTTTTTCGACAAAAGCTGATTTCGAAACGTCAACGAGCGTAGGATCGCCAAGCAGACAGGTGCAGGGCATGACGTTGAGACATGCAGCGTTAACTCCAACTCCGGAGTCGGAGTCGGTAAGATTTTGGAGACTCCGACTCCGACTCCGACTCCGGGCAGAACTGTCGACTCCGGACGACTCCGACTCCGACTCCGCAGCCCTGCCTACAACCACATTCATCGCCCGACATCTATCCCACCATGTTATCAACCGTCCCCACCATGTTATCAACCGTCCCCACCACCCTCATCAAACACGAATCCCCCACAACCGTCACCCGTCCGCGCCCAGGGAGCGCGCCTCACCTGCTCGACCACCTCCGGTGTGACTGGGGTGTTCCGGTCCCTGGCCAGCAGATAGACGTCCCGTCGGTGGTAGAGCGGCAGCGCGTCGAGACCGACGTTCTGACACGTGTAGACGGCGGCAAAGGAGGTGTAGTCGGTAGCTAGCACGGTGTAGAGAGCCGAGCGGGGGTCTGAAGAGAGAGAGAGGGGGGTTAGGGTGGGGATAAAAGGCCTGAGGAGACAGGCGGGTAGCTAGAGACTAGAGCGTGGGTGGGTGGGGAGGGTGCGGGCTCTGTCGGGTGGAGGGAGAGGTTAGAGTACATAGAAAGTCTGAAGAGACAGGCGAGGAGGTCAGAGTACATAGAAAATACTTGGCCGGACATGTACGGAGATTAGAGAGTAGACCGGGGCCACGGCCAGGTAGTCAGTTCAACTGTTTGTGCGACGTGATATTAACTTCGGTGAAATCTTGACTTAGAGCCAAAGCACGACTTTAACCCCCCAGAACGGAATGAAACGGCCCATACACTATGCATACAATACGCATCAATCTAAAAGAAAAAAAATATAAAAACACAAATGCTTATGCACAACACATGCCTGATGCTCGCCTCACCAAATCGCCCCGTTCAAATTTATTACGGTACGTTTTACGCCCCGATTTCGCTTACTTGTGGTGAAGGAAGCCGTCATTTCGGACGGCTCGGATCCGTCAATCCTCAGCGTGCCCTCCGTCTGGTACACGTTGCTGATGCCGATGTTGTCAATAAGGTCGATTTTCTTGGTCTCCACCACGCGCAGGCAGCCCTCGCCACAGGTGGTGTAGTTGAAGACGAGGCACGAGACGTCCGGATCGAATGCTCTCATCACGTACCATTCGCCGAGAAACTATACGGACGGGCGAGGGAGAGGGACTGTCAGCGACCAGCTCAGCTCAGCGGAGACATTAGACAGCCACTGAAGCGACTAGTGGCTTTTAGACGTTTTGACATGAAAGTAGGTGGGCACTAAACTCTGAAATATGCTATTTGCTAAGCTGGCTGCAAGAACGCATAGGTACAGTTTAAGCCTAAACGTTTAAATCACAAAACCTAGAACGTGCTCAGCAACAGAACATGAGCCGAGCAAGAAACATAAGCCAGTGAGCACTTAGCGATAAACGGGTACTTTACGATAAAAACAGTGAATCAAAACGTGTTTCCTATCGAAAGAAAGAGCACGATTCATTGAAACTCAGTCCACGGAATAGTCAAAAACGTCAAAAACCAGCCGTCAGAAATTACGATCCAAGTCAGTTTGGGGAAGCAGCTATACCAAGTCGCCGACGAAACAAACATAACGCCTTCACCTATAAGAGGCACGCGATGTGCAAAGACGCTCAGGTAGTTATCATAAAAAAACGGGTTTTCATCCAATACATAAGCTGATGCTAAAATTTCCTTTGTGGTTACCGCTACCAGTTTCATTTTAAATTCAGCGGTGGGCAGCAGACCACGTTCTAACTACTGAACCGGCACGAACCATGCGGTTTTCCGCAGTTTTAGGTCGTTCCCGTCACGCGTCACGCTCGCGTCCCTCGCCACCGCCCGTCACGCGGGGACAGTCACGGCACAGGAAGTCGGGGGGGGGGGGGCGGGTAGACACAGCCACAAGGCCATTCAGACAATCGCTATTCATTGTGATCCGAGTGTTCATAGTCTATACAGCGAGTCGCTGACGCCTGCGCGGCAAGCTATAATGCATCGCCACACAGACGAAGGACAAGGTATGTGAAGTGTGTGTGTGTGTGGGGGGGGGGGGGAGGGGGGCCCGATCTCACGACGGAGATCCCGACAAAATATAACGCGTATCCGAGGTCATACGAACCAAAAACGATTCACGATTAATCATCACTGCATGTTCCGGGTTGGAACTAGTTAGTCAAGTAATTACCGACATAATTCTCAAGGCCCCGCACACGTACCTTGTTGGGCACGAAGCCCTTCATGGGGTGCGTGGGAATGGGGCAGGAGGAGCGGTGGTTGACGTGAGCTGTCGCCAGCGCTGCCAGCACCAGCACCCCACACGCCGAACGCAGCAGCTCCATTGTATAGACAGCGGGAGAGATCGGGAACTCTGAAACGGAGACACGGGACCGGTGATAACGGTCATATAGGAAGTGGCATAAATGAAGGGCATGCATACTCTGGGAAAGGAGTGAAGGCTTTCATGTGAATATGACACAGGAGTTACATGAACTTCGTCCAGGCCGTTACATAAGAGCAGTACAGTCTGTCTTAAAAGTACCGCGCAAAGTGACGGTGGATCCATCAAGCCTGACCGATGAAGGACTGCTAAATTTGAGTCACCGTAGCAATTGACATTCTCGTCCATTCCCCAGGTCAATTGGTTCGGTGACTTTCAAATTAAAGCAGGCCCTTCCTCGGTCAGGCTCGATGGATCCACCGTCACTTTGCACGGTACTTTTAAGACAGACTGTACATGATGCAACTTTCTCATAGAAATCACAATGATGCGGACCGCCACTAAACCGGTCAATCCAGCCAAACAACCCCCTTATGTGCGCAGCGTATGACTTAGAGTTCGATAACGCCGAAACGGTGTCATCACCGCAAACTAATCACCAGGAATGACGCACACGTGTTTGGAGCCGGTCAACAATGCAGGGAAAGCGGCATTCCGTTCGCCAAATGGAGAAATCGTGCCCGGCATCAGCTCGACGCTTTGCACGCGACCCATCCGACACACCGACGAACAACTTCGGCTCTGGTGAAGGCAGGCACGACAAATAAAGAAGAGCGTACATACATGCTAGAGCGAACAACCGTTATCCATAGGCTAAGCAGAATCGGGTTAATAATGATTTGAATGATAGCAGCAGCATTTCGCCCGTCATGGTTTAGAACTATGTGGAGAATTGAGATGCTTTGATCGACGTTTCAGTAAGTAACATGGTGTTTTATTAGACCATGTGGACCCTCATATCGTGGAGCAATGAGTGCGAAGGTGCAATGAAATGCTCTTTATTGGTTTTGTATCGGGTGCTATTCCCTATCGAGCGTTACCATAAAGATATACATGCAAGCAAGCCTCATAAGCCCTTTGATCGTTTAACAGTACCTATGTACTACCTATACAAAGCTGTAAAGCAAAGAAGCCAGTAAAATCTTCTAGAGCTTAAACTGAGTTTAGGCGAGGGTACGGGTCCCATGTCTATCAAATTTACCAGCAAGGCCACAAAAAATAACGATAACGGATAGAGAGCCGGAAAAGCCAATCGCATCGAGTAAACGACCAGTTCGTACCTCGAACCCGGCAATGCTGACTCCACCACCCAAATAAAAATATAGACGATTATGTCTCCATTTCCGACATCGGTCTAAAGTTACCGGCACGAGCAGTCCAAATAAATTTGACTTATCTAGCAAAAAGCGGTACATGATTTTTTTTTTACTCTGTGCATCATTTAGGTATCTACCTATATCTACACGAAATGCTAATTGGAAGTCGCTTAGGCAATAGACACAGCCAACATTCCAACTTAAAAAACATTGTTCAATATCTAATTTATTAATGCCATGACCACCAAGCCACCATGACCAGACTAACGAATAAATAAAAGTAAACGGTTAGAAGTGCGGCATTCTTGAAAACATCAGACACATCTTAAATAATCAAAGCCAAAGCAATCATCCGACAACCACACTGCCGCCAGTGTCGATCCCACATACCTTTCAAGCGGAGCCCTCCGGTTCAACTGCACCGCTCCAGCCGCGAGCACAGCTCCAAAACACGGCGCTGCCGTCAGTCCGCCCCACGATACGCCGCCAATCACAGCGGCTCTGGCTTTCACAACGTGGTGGGTTCCCCCACCGCCGAATTCGCGGACCGATGAGCGCTGGAGCGAAACACGGAAGGCCAATTCGACGAAATGGGGCGACTACCGAACGAGTCGCCGTCAGTGGCGGCACCGGGGGGGGGAGCGAGGGGGGGGGGGTATGCTGGAGAGAGTGAATTTAGGCAGTTTATGGAATATGAATCACTGTTCCAGGGCAGTAGAGAAAGAGGTTTATCGTCGCTGTGTTACGACATTCTACCAGCCGAAATAACCTTGGTAAACGTTCGTCCCCAGAAACATGGAATAGTTCCTGAAGTTCGAGCAGCATTTGTAGGTGTCTGGGGTCAATGGGGGGGGGGCGGTGACACACCAGAAATGGACTGATAAGTGATAAGTGTGAGTGTGCGTGGGTGTGGGTGTGGGTGGGGGGTGGGGGTGGGGGGGGGGGGGCTGGTATATGTTTCTGCCTGGTGATTCAGCATTCCGAGGTTGAATCAGTATCAGACATCAATTCTGTCTGGATATAAACTACCTATACGAAAATAAATCCAGGCTCTTTCATGCAGTTCAAAGAAATCGTATACGACCAAGATGTATTACCTAATGTGTATTATCGAACATAAGCTTTTGGGTTTGGGATTAATAATAAACACCATCACCGCTATTGCCATTAACCACAGACGATATACACAGAAATGGAAGCAAAAGAATAATCAAGTAAAATGTCTTCTTCCTTTATGCTTAATTTGCAGCCGGTCCTATGAGCTATACGTAAGTAAGTACATAGTAGGTACATACCTTATGGTAAATAACATAACTTGTTTAAGGATAACTGCCATATTTGCGATGCAAGCAAAGAACTATTCTAATTCGAAGCAATGTTTTCGGCTACAAAGAAAACAAATCCATAGCCAGTAAACATTTGCCCCACTTTAGCGCTGGCAAAAGAAAACGGTTCAGTAAGATCACTCTGGAAGAATGTTAACAGAAAGATAAAGTCTGACCGTTAAAAACACCACAAAACGAAAGACGACATCACAAGCCTCCCTGATCTATGAGTTATGACACAAACAGTCAAAATGATCATCGCTATTAGCTGTGTGTACCTATATTTTGATGACAATCAGCATGTATTAACATTAACCCACGAGCCGCTGGGGAGGGGGGGGGGCATATGAAACTTGGCAAAGCTTCAAATGAATACCTAGGCAATGTTTGAAGAAAGTTTAGTGGTTATATCACTTAAGATGACGTCACAGTGACGTTATAAAGTTTTGTCGTTTTCTGATATGGACCGTTTCTGATGCTGCTAAGCATGAAACTCAACTGTAAATGAACTGGACAGCACCTTCCGTCATCCTAAAGCATCTAAGTACACTTCCAACTAGTTCCTGACCAATAATTAATCGGTCCTTTATATTCGGTCTCATATGTCGGATATATCGTGAGGAAACTGAGAGACGCAAATCTATAATTTGACTTCTGACGCCACTGTGACGTCATTCTAACTGGGATCGATACCAAATTTGGATGCAACCTCGGCTAGGTATTCAGGAAAATGTGTGCAAAGTTTCGTTTCTCTACCTCTTCGCGTTGCGACGATATCGTCGCAGAAGTAAATGGGGGCAACTATGTACATACATATATGTCCCCCCCCCCCCCAGCGGCCGGCGGGTGGCGCGGAGGCCCAGCAGCCGCCGGGTTAATCACACTCAAAACATGCGAGTGGTCGAGGCAAAGCATGCGCTATTGGCGTACCACTAACCAGCACTTCCGTTTATCAGAGGCATTTTGTTGATTGCCAGACTTCCAGTTCACTGGGGAAAGGGCAGCGGCACGCCGGCCTGAGTCAGCTGTTCGAAAGCTTCGCCGTCCCAGCCCTTGTTCGCCTGCCAACCAGAGCCACAGGGTTAGAGCACACTGATCAGCAAGTGATCGCGACGGATTTGATGGCATTGGATTGAATGTGATCATGGGTGTCGTTTTGTATAGGCTTGGTAGGGCTCGAGGCCCGAGCCCTACCAATAATTTCATAATTTTTAACACTGTATGGTCAGAATGGCTTTGGAATCCTAAAATTAACCATTGGAGCCCTACCAATAAATTTCGGGAAGTGACGCCCGTGGATGTGACACTATACCTATTGTCTAAATAAGTAGCAGCTGAATACGTTTCGTATTGAATCGCAAAAGCTAACAAGCAGTGATCTTAACCCTCGCCGGACCTAATGGTTTTCTACATACGCGCCGGCCGAGGGGGGGCGGGTACGACCCCCCTCGCCGTTTCGCCCCTGGTGGAGCTAGCGCGTCGCGGAAAAAACGAGTGTGTGCGCCGTTTCAAGACGCAGAGATTGATACCCGATTTTAAGGTCCTAGGTCAACCGGTGACCTCTGAGGTCAGGTCAAGTGCCGGCCAAGGTACGGTTCAGTTTTTGGTGAATAACTTCGCAAAAACGGCCGCAGAGCCGCGATTTTGGCAGCATCGTGTTTGCCTTGCTCAGACGCGTCGAATGATATACTTTTTGTTTGGGTGAGGTCAACTTAGGGTGTTGAACTCGGGTCACGGTCAGGTCAGCGCCCCCAGGTCACGTAGTTAGTCGAATGAGGTCATATCGCATATCATTCGTTTCGGCAGGTCTTCCGGAGTCCATTGAGGGCTTTCCCGACTCGCTAGCTCAATTTGATCGGGAGTTATTGACGAAAAACTAATATGACCCTAATGACGTCATAAATGACGTCACGCAAGGTCAACATTACAAAAGTAACGCATGGAACCTTGCAAGGAGTGCATGAAATCACGATTCTGTGTGCTTGAGATAGTTCGAGATCGTTCCCGGCGCCAGAATAGCAGTTTTCATTTTTTCCCATTGACTTACGAGTATAATGGTGAGGTCACGAAACTGACCTGACCTCATATGACCTTTAGGAAAAATCCGAGATATGCAAGTTGTGAGATTCCTAATGAATACTAGGTCCTGCAAGTTTCATTTCCCTGTGAAAGCTCCTCTGGCAGTGAGGGCGTTGCGAAGTTGCGACATCTGAAGACCGTGCAGAGGTTCACTTATGACGTCATAGGTCAGTGACCTGACCTGACCCGAAAATGCGGTTGATGTCAAAAGATCCGGCTTGAAGCAAATGTCAGGTATGCCAAGTTTCAGCTCTCTATCGCCGGCGTGTTCGAAGCTATCGCGAAAAAAAAACTTATGGGGGGGGCGGCACCCCCCTCGGCCGGCGAGGGTTAAGCATTGACTTCGTCTTTGAATGGAGATCCCGTCGACGATCTTGATAAATAAATAGACAGATAGATAGATAAACTAGATGCCGGCAGCGCTCTTGCGTTGCCTTGGGCCAGAATTGGAGGAACGGACTGAGGGCACACACCGGGCCAAACCACCGAAGACCGAAACCCAGACTGAGCTTGGACTGAACCTGAAACCAGCCGAAACATCCAAAAAATGCTTGGAAGCACGTGAGATTAGTGTGGACATCTACCTACAGTAAGATATGAATTAACTGCACGTGCATAGTTCATGTCCCCGGCACCCCAGTGCAGTCATTTTCATAACATCCTGTAGTGTGTGTCTAGTTCTATCAGTGTACCGACTTTTGTGTCGCTAGCTCGACGTTTCCCGGGATCAGAGGATCCCTAGTCAAAACCGTTATCCGCCCCCCGCACGCGCAGCTTGCACCCCTCGGATATTATCTCGCCGGAATGTCGTGATCAAATGTATTCTTCTTATGACCTGCAAGTTTTGAACCAGTTAGAGCTGCCGTTTACCCTGCAGGCGTGGCAACGTACGAAGGGGTGCAATCGGCTTGCACGTGCATAGCTCATGCACCACAGAGTTTAGCTCAACCAAATATGCATTATTTTGGAGGCCTTGCTTGGGACTACCATTGAACCGATTTTGAGGTTGATAGCTTAAAATTTCTTTGAGCCAGAGGACATCACGTCAAAACGGTTTTCCGACCCCAGCACGTGCAGCTTGCACCCCTCGCAGACGGTGACCCCCCTGGAAACTGGTTCAAGGTGTTACCGATGTGTCCCGCCAGTATGGCTTTGCCTGTGACCTCGGGTTGACCTGTAGCCTTGACAAAAAATTTCGTGTCACCGAAACTTTGAAGCGGAATAGCATGTGCCACGAAGCACCGAGCAACCCAAAACCAGCACCAAAAGTTTACCTCGCCGGAGACGAGTCGAACGGTCCCACTTTCGTCCCGATCGGTCCACCCATTTTGACTCCAGGTCCAAAAATGCTTGGACAAACTCACTCACTCACATACTCACTCACTCACTGACAAACAGGCTTGGCCGAACTTTTCTTCAGCGACCCACCAATGGGAATTTCCGGATGCAAAAGCATGCTATCGCATGCTTTTGATCCTCCAATTCTGGATAAACTAGATGCCGGCAGCGCTCTTGCGTTGCCTTGGGCCAGAATTGGAGGAACGGTACTGAGGGCACACACCGGGCCAAACCACCGAAACACAGACTGAGCGGACTGAGCGAGCCGACTGAGCTTGGACTGAACCTGAAACTAACCGAAACATCCCAAAAATGTTTGGAAGCACGTGAGATTGGTGTGGACATCTACCTACAGTAAGATATGAATTAACTGCACGTGCATAGTTCATGTCCCCGGCACCCCAGTGCAGTCATTTTCATAACATCCTGTAGTGTGTGTCTAGTTCTATCAGTGTACCGACTTTTGTGTCGCTAGCTCGACGTTTCCCGGGATCAGAGGATCCCTAGTCAAAACCGTTATCCGCCCCCCGCACGCGCAGCTTGCACCCCTCGGATATTATCTCGCCGGAATGTCGTGATCAAATGTATTCTTCTTATGACCTGCAAGTTTTGAACCAGTTAGAGCTGCCGTTTACCCTGCAGGCGTGGCAACGTACGAAGGGGTGCAATCGGCTTGCACGTGCATAGCTCATGCACCACAGAGTTTAGCTCAACCAAATATGCATTATTTTGGAGGCCTTGCTTGGGACTATCATTGAACCGATTTTGAGGTTGATAGCTTAAAATTTCTTTGAGCCAGAGGACCTCACGTCAAAACGGTTTTCCGACCCCAGCACGTGCAGCCTGCACCCCTGGCAGACGGTGACCCCCCTGGAAACTGGTTCAAGGTGTTACCGATGTGTCCCGCCAGTATGGCTTTGCCTGTGACCTCGGGTTGACCTGTAGCCTTGACAAAAAATTTCGTGTCACCGAAACTTTGAAGCGGAATAGCATGTGCCACGAAGCACCGAGCAACCCAAAACCAGCACCAAAAGTTTACCTCGCCGGAGACGAGTCGAACGGTCCCACTTTCGTCCCGATCGGTCCACCCATTTTGACTCCAGGTCCAAAAATGCTTGGACAAACTCACTCACTCACATACTCACTCACTCACTGACAAACAGGCTTGGCCGAACTTTTCTTCAGCGACCCACCAATGGGAATTTCCGGATGCAAAAGCATGCTATCGCATGCTTTTGATCCTCCAATTCTGGATAAATAAATAGATAGATAGATAAATAAACAAATTAATAGATAAATAAATAAATAAATAAATGAATAAATAAATAAATAAACAAATAAATAAATAAATAAATAAATAAACAACAATAAAGTTCAATGTGGGAAAAATACAAAGTCACAAACTAAAACTCTTTAATCTAAAAATAGCATCAATAACCAAAGCTTTCTGTTGAGCAGCGCTGTGCACGATTGCATAGATATGTAAATTCGATCAAATTTGCACTACACGGGATTACAATACCTTTTCATGGAAGACCTACCTGTCGGTTGAGACCGCTGGGGTGCAAGAGATAGTGCACCTGATCCACCAGACCAGCGTCAATCAGCTTACTGGCCTGTTGCTGGGCGTACCTCCCGATGCCGATGACCGTGCGCGCTCCCAGCACCATTATAATATCGACCAACGCCTGCCAGCAGATGGCCTCCAGCTCCCGCCGCAGCGGCAGGCTCAGTTTATTCAGGGGGACATTCCTACTCGAGCTCATGAAGGCCAGAGGACAGAAATTGTGGACGTAAGCTTGCTCAAACACGTCGTTTGCAGTAGCAACCCGACTCTGCCAAAAACGCCAGAAACGGCTGCCGCTCACCTGCGAAAAAACAATATTTAACTTGGATGAAAAAGATCATGGATGTCACGGCCCACGGGGAGAAACTATGGGCTATAAAGACAAAAAAGGTTCTATATTACGCAACTGGCGATATCCTTCAAACTTCATGCCCTTTCTAAAGCACCGATAGACACTTAATTACCGCATAAAGTATCAACCCTTTCAGAGCCGAAATATCCTGCCCGGTCTCGTACCTCTGGCTTGCCTGTATAGCTGAAGCCGGTGATGGGCCGGTGAGGGTTCTGGTTCTCAGGAGGCACCACCTCCCCGCTGACTCCCATCCAGTCTCGGACGGCGGCGATCTCTCCAAACGGCACGCCCGTCTGACACATTCCAACGCTGGGGTTCATACCCAGAAACAAAACCGGAACGGGCCCGCCGTGGCCGAGGCAGAGGCGGACGTAGTTGGCGTGCGGCTCCGCGGCGTACTGCAGAGGGTTGTACACGTGGGTGACCTTCTCGGAGATGAAGGACAGGTGCTCCAGTTGCGAGCACATATTGTGCTCTATACGGAGCACTTGAGAGGCGCGGTCGACGTAGACGGGAGGCACTGGAGCGTTCATCATATCGTCCGCCCCTGTCGCGGTCTGCTCGGTCACGAAGACGTCCCCTTGCTCGTCGCTCCGAAGGAGTGCGGGTGCTTCGCCGGGACGACGGCTTTTGTTGGGCGGCGGCCCCGTGATGTCACGCGGTATCTCGGTCTCGATACGGGTCGCCACCTTATCGTACGTTGCAGTCAGATCGCAATCAGCGGCACCACCCCGCCAAAGTGGTGATTCAGTCTTTGCTTGGCAATTCTCCCTGTTTACAAATGACGACTTTGATGCACAGCAGCCTGCCACTGTGGCATACCTAAAGCTGCTGGTGGAGCCTCGCAGCAGTCTTTATTTTCAGGTGTCTTTGCAAGTGACTCGGTAGATAGCCGGTTTGAGTTAAGTCCAAGGCAACATTGGACACCTAAAATCTCGCTGTTTTGCTAAAATCCTGATGTTTTAGAGATCTTGCCATTTTGCTGTCATCTTTCATCAAAGACGATCATTGGTCACTCTTCGAATCAAATTCATTTGCTGCTAAAAAAGCTTACAGGTGTAAGGTGCCGGCCCGATATTTGCTGTTTTGAGTACCTAACCATTGAAATGCTATGTTGAGATGAAGTGGCTGGTGAAAAGCGGCGCAGTGCGTGAAATTCGCCGAAATTTGCTTTTTTTCAACGACGTTTAACCCGCGCCCTGATGGGGGACAATTTTGGCCCCCCCCTGTGGTTTTTCTTAAATAGCGCAAAAACGGCGGCGCGCAGCGCCGCCAAATTTTGAGTAGGTACATTCCCGGGCATCAATTTGACACCATCACACAAAATTTCAAGTCACAGGTCACCTTGGGTCAGGAGCTATTGAGGTCAAACTGAGGTCATATTGGAGTAAAAATGAGCAAAATACATATCTTAAAACGCTCACCAAATCTACAGTTTATAAGCAATTTTTAAGTTCTTTATGTGGTTGTGTAGAGAAAAAACGGCGCTGCAAAACTGCTATCTCGGAATTTCAAAATTTTGGGTTTTTGACCCCCAAAATAAAAAATAAAATTAGTTTTTAGAAAAACTAAAAATTCCCAAAAAATTCGAACTTCGAAAAAACGGAATATATGTGATAGTCCCTGCGCTCTTTGATATGCATACTAAATTTAAGGTCGATGCCTCCTTTTTTGGCCAAGTTATATCGAAAAAACTTCAAAATTGATGGCGTCACATTTTTGAACTCAATTTTTAGCAATTCTAGACACCGTAGCGCAAAACAAAGACCACCATTGAACTCCCCGTGACGAGGTGCATCGAATCGATACCCATTTTATGCAAAAATATCAACTTTGAAATTTGACCTAATTTGACCTGACCTTGACCTGACCTTGACCAGACCTTGACCTGACCTTCACCAAAACATAATCTCAACTGACCCCAAGGGCTGCCTGTCCCATATAGTCGCATTTGGCATATACAATGGATCATAAAACATGCATCACATGATATTTTTATATTGTGACCCTCAGTGACCTGACCTCTGTGACCTGACCTGGTATCAGTGACCTCAAATAGCAAAATATGTGCTTGACGAACATTTCCCCACCGATGATTTTCAATGAAATGCATTTTACTCGATTTTACAGCGCATTTCTTGAAATGCCTGTAAACGGTGAAAATTCGACCTTTGACCTGACCTGTGACGTCATCAGTTAGACCGAGGTCACTGAAATTGGGTCACAAGGTAGTTCCCCGCTGGGGCTATCCAACGCCGTTTGTCGTTTGTCGCTATGTTGCGTGGTTCTCGAGATCTTAGGGGGCCAAAATGCCCCTCCCCCCCATCAGACCGCGTTGCTCGGCAGACCCATCAGGGCGCGGGTTAAGGTACCATATACCCAGCCAGCAAAACTGGTCTGGGCCAATCTCGGCCAGCTGGTTTTACTCTGACTAGCTCCAGCACTTTACTCCGGCCGAAGTACGGGCAAGGTCTGGAGGTCCACTGGAGCTGACACACGATCCAGGAGCTCCCCCGCACCACAGCCGGACTTTGCCGGATCAGCCGTGCCGTACCTCAACCGTACTTCAGCCACAGTAAGCCACTGGCCGTAGCAACGCAGTGGCAGGGAGCCGGACTTGAGCCGGACTTGGCGGTTCGAAACCATACCAACTTCGGAGCGCTACCTACGGCAAAGACTGGCTGGCCGGAAAAGAGCCATTTCGACCCAGCCCCCTTCTTCCGACGGCGATCCGTTTACACCGGCCCAACTGGCATGTCGGAGTTGCCGGGGCAAAACGGACTAGAGCCAAACCAAATCGCTGCCTGGTAGTGACCGGACCCGATGTTTTTGACTTTGAGCGACGTTTGTGATATCCCCGGATCAGCCCGGCCGACGGGTAAGTTTGTGGTTTGAGCGACGTTTGAGGCGGCCGCAGGTAACCCGGCCGACAGGCTACTCAGGTCGACAGGTATGAACGACGTTGACCTAAAAATAGTCTATGCCGTTTGACATGCGGAATGAGAAAGGAGGCCAGCATAATCAGCACAGTGCGCTGCTATCCTGATTGGTTGAACCTCAAATCGGGTGATAGGGCGTATCCGCCTCAGGCAAGCCTGTAACCGCAGCGGGGAATGAAGGCGGGACTCAGCGTTGAACCCCGACTCAGCTCTCCACGCTGGCCACCGGTTCGATTGTTCCTTGAAGTTCGGATATTGAGCGAAGAAAATTTAATAAACTTAGAATGCCACAACATCCGTCCGTGCCAGCTGAATTCCGTAACGGCGTCTTACTGACAGCCTATAGACGTACAAAATCTCGTACTGAAAAAGCACACCGAATTTACTGTATCGTGACCCACACAGCAAACATTTAAAAAACGTTTTGACGACTTAATGTTTGACGTTCAAGCAGTTAACGATTTACTAATCCATATAGTAACACGCGATACCGGATTAAATAGCAGGGGATCTAAGTTAAGCATTTAAAGGCTTACGCTTCGGCGCGCCTAACTTTACACGCGCCGTGCTGGTGGCTAAGTTTCCGTGTCGTGCTGGGGGGGGGGGAGTTTTCACGCCCCCCGTCTAACTCGGCTCCTGAGCCACGTAACGACACGCGGTAAGCGGCAATCGAAAGGGCGTCCAAAAACAGGACCAAAACATTTCGGTCATTTTTTCAGGTCAGGTCACCAGAGGTCATTAAAGGTAAAATGTTGCCTATTTCAACATTTTTCTTAACCCTCGCCGGCACAGGCCATTTTGCGTCCTTCGACGGCACAAGGGGTTACGACCCCCCTCGCATTTGGCCCCTGATTGAGCTAGAGCTTCGCGGAAAAAACGAGCGTGTTGCCCGTCACGAGAGGAAGCCGATGAGACCCAATTTTAAGGTCCTAGGTCATCGAGTGACCTTCCAGGTCAGGTCAATGACCCGAAAACCGGGAAAATCGGGACCTGTTAGAAAGTCGTAAAGTGTGGCTGTTATGTGGTTTTCCGGGGTGCTGATCACGAATATCGTGTTAGTTTTGATCAGAAATGATGTTTTTAAGCATTTAGACCAGGTCGGGTCAGGTCAGGTCAGGTCAACCGGTAGGGGTTGTGACGGGTATTCGTAATACGTGTCAACCGCCTCGGACAGCTTCGTAACATGTTACGAAGGCACCAAAACTACTTCGTAAATGTTCAAAATTCACATGGTTGCTTAATTCGAATTCAGCTCCAAAAACTAGCCCAGAAACATGTAAAACTCGAAAAAGTGAACCGAGGTCACCCGAGGTCACCAAAGGTCAATGACCTGACCTGACCTTCAGGTGACCTTGACACCCACCCTAATGTATGGGAGCAACATCAAATCACATGTTTGAACGTTTGAAACCACGAAAAGCTTGCAAACGTGCGGCTAATGCGAGCCGACATACGCCGAATCGCGATTCCGGCCAAACATGGTCTCGGAAAAGAGGTCACAGGTGAAAGGTCATTTGGTTCAGGGTCATGAAATTTTCAGGGTAGGTGTAAAATTGATTAATGCGAGGGTACTGAAAGTTTCGTCGCGATCGGCCGCTTTTTACGCGAGTTATTCGCGAAAAACCTTAGGGGGGTGCATCAACCCCTGTGCCGGCGAGGGTTACAGAGGTGAAAAAACCTGCTACTCGCCTGCGTGCGTGGGTGACAGCCATAGGAATAAGGGGACAGATTCGAGCATCTTAGTTAATGCATCTAAAATTGATAACTAGGCCGTTTCCGCTAAAATCAGAGCTGTCTTCCCATAGAGAGCCACTATGGACCACGGCACAAAAATTTAACAGCGTCATCTCTTTGTAGACAGCTGGGGCTGAAAAATCCCGCCGGTGCGACAACCGGTGCGTTGTGAATCGCCATAGACAACGGAGGAAAAACGGCGACAGCGCGACAGCTCGTCCCCGCTCGTCGCCGGTTGAGCGGTGGCGGGGACCGGCGCGGCCTTGGCCGCCGCTGGAGTAGGGGAGGACCGGACGACTGGGACGGGGGACGTCACATCTGGGCCACAACTGGGGTGAGGTCCATGGCCATCGGTCCCAGAAACTTGGTAGGAGTGTTGATAATTGGTTCTGACTACTGAAGCAAAGGCAAGTGAATCAGTGACAAAGCTGACAATCCTTTCGTGAGTTCTGATTGAAATGGATCTGGAAGCCAGGAGCCAGGAGGAGCTAGGAAGTCGATCAGACCTTTAGGTAAGTTGGAAGAAAGTGATTGATTTTTTGTTGTTGTGTCACTGAAATGTGGTGATGCGTTGTAATGCTCAGAGGCCGAAATTTGGCCTTCAAAGGTGATGAGAAAACGTAAAAAAGGTACCTTCTGTTTCAAGATGACTTGTAAAAAATTCGTGACAGCTAGACATCGCGTAGGTGACAGCTTTTGGGTTTTATTCACCTCTGGAGGGTTAACACCTGACGCATAACTCGGAAACCACTAGCTCTACAGCGCCGCGGAAAATCGCATTCGATAGCTCTTTCAAAGGCCTTTCTGAAAAATAGCGGTTTTGGCAAACAACGTTTTTTTCTGTTATAACTTTTGACTCAAGAGAGTCTCGACATTAGTTTTGGATTTAACGTATTCCACTCGTCGAGACGCGTCGAATGAACTATAATTTGACCTTCGAAGATCAGTTTCAAATTTTGACCTCAGGTCAAGGCAATAACCTGACCGAAAGAGGTCCGGTTGCATAACAGTCGATCCGTATCGTCAAGCTGAACACATCTGAGGTGTTTCCATCGCTCTAGCATGTCTATCAAAAGTTATCGTCAAAAAACTGTTGTGGACCTGCCATGACCTAAGATGACCTCAGGGGCACAAACAGGGGTCATGGGTGCGAGTTTCCGATTTAGTGTGTCATGTTTACATGTAAAACTATGTTTTTGAGTGTTTAGAACGACGTCCGTCCAAAGGAGGTGCATTTCAATTTTCTTCCATTGACTTATAGGTAATGGGGAGGTCGCAAAATTGACCTGGCCATAGGTCACCGATATCTAAATTCCGAGAGATTTTGTACATACTATTGCTCTTACCAATCTTTCAAAGCGATCGGTCGCTCGTACGGTGTAGCTATGGCAGACATTTAACTTTTTATGAGGTGAGGTCACTTAAAGTGACCTGGTGACCTAACCTTGAATGACCCGGGTCTGAAATTTTCACATGTGCGGAAAAGATGCATAAACTGCGCGCCGCTGTTTTTTTTAGATATTCGCGAAAAACCTGGGAAATGGGGCATGAAAACGCCCCCCCCCCCCCCTCAGCACGGCGCGGGTTAACATGAAAATCGTCGTTCAGTCGAAATTCGCTTAAAAAAAAAAACGTTTCCAGGCCGATGCACCATTTATGCAGAAGAAACTCGGGGTTGTTTTGTTAGCCTTTCGGTACTTCCCCTGATCGGTATTCTCTACATGGCAGTGGTAGGCGAGCGTCTCCCAGCCTTTACCCGTCTGCCACCAGGTCCACTCTCACTCAAAAATCTAAAATTCTTTAGGCAGCTACATTTATATCAATAGGTTACGTTGCTTCGTGGTTCATGCGAATGACTACAGTTTGGCGGCACACGCGGTTTGGTAACCTACCCCGGCGTGGAGCTACGCTACTCAATATTAATGACATTTACTAAAGACTTTTACTAGAATTAGACTCGGCCGTAGGAAAAAAATGTTCGCATAGCTCTTCCGGTAGCAAAACGGTTCAAAAAAACTTACTCTCAAGGAATGTATCATGTTTACAGCAGAAAACGGAATATTACCGTCAAAAGCATCGCAGCGAAGAAAATCGGCACCATAAGTCTTTCTAAAACATATCACAAAAGTAATTGCAATAATCATCATTATTAGGTATGTATATTTCAATCATACACAACATGGATATGTGATAATAAAATATGCAAGGGGTTGAGCACAAGGCATGCGCTACTAGCATACCACTAACCAGCATTTCCGATTATCGGAAACATTGTAGTTCGCCAGGCTCTTCCAGTTCACAATGGGGGCAAAGGCAGCACGCCAGCCTGAGTCAGTTGAGCGACAGCTTGCCCGTCCCAGTCCTTGTTCGCCTGCCGAGCAGAGCCAGAGAGTTAGAACAGACTGATCAGCACATGTTTGCGAGTTGCGACGGCTTAGCTAGTCTAGATGTGACACTATCGGACAATGGTTTCTGTTTGACTAATGAGCAAATGGCTAAGCTCCACATTAAATTACAAAAAAAGAACCAGTAGCGCGGTCGATGTCGGAAAATCTCCAACTAAAACGCTTGTAACATTAAAAAACAATAAGTGCCCAAACCATCTGTAGGGGAACTGACAGCGCCTGAGAACTGCACGCTGTAACATCCAATCTAATCACATCTGCAAAAGACAGTTAACCCGCGCCCCGTAGGGCTACCGGCGGACCCTACCACCCGTAGGGGGGGGGGGGGTGCCAAGATCTCGAAAAGTTACCGGCCGATTTTCAAAACGCAAACGGCGTTCGATAGCCCCACCCGGGAACTACCTTGTGACCAAATTTCATTGACCTAGGTCAAACCGATGACGTCACAGGTCAGGTCAAAGGTCAGATTTTCACCGTTCACAGGCATTTCAAGAAATGTGTTGTGAAATCGAGTAAATTGGTAATTTATTTAAAACCATCGATGGTACATTGTTCGTCAAACACATACTTTGCTATCTGAGGTCACTGATACCAGGTCAGGTCACAGCGAGGTCAGGTCACCGGGGGTCACAATATGAAAGTGTCGTGTGATACATGTTTTATGGTCCATTTTACATGACAAATGCGATTATGTGGGTTAGGCAGCCTTTGGGGCCAGCCTAGGTCACGTTTTGGTGAAGGTCAGGTCAAGGTCAGGTCAAATTAGGTCAAATTTTAAAGTTGATATTTTTGCATAAAATGGATATCGATTCGATGCAGCTCGTCACGGGGAGTCTAATGGTGGTCTTTGTTTTGCTCTACGAGGTCTAGAATTGCCAAAAATTGAGTTTGAAAATTTGACGTCATCATTTTTGAACAGTTTTTTCGCTATAACTTGGCCAAAAAACGAGATATCGATCTGAAATTTGGTATGTAGATAGAAGACGGTAGGTACTATCACATATATTCCGGTTTTTTCGTAACTCAAAAAACTTTTTTGATTTTGGCTAATATATCCAAAAAATGCTTTTTTGATTTTTGGGGGTCAAAACTCAAAAATTTCAAAAATCCGAGATAGCAGTTTTGTAGCCCTGTCAATTCTACACCTTTTATGTCTTGATCATTTTTCTGTATCTTCAAAGCTGTAGGCCTGACAGGTCTTCTCGCGAAGGTCTTTTTTCGGTCGAAAATGACAAAACATGACGTCATTCTGACGTCATTTGTGGCCAACCTATCATAGCCTCTGGAAAAATTTTTGGTCACAATGTGTAAAATTGATGCCCGGAGGGGTCCTGAAAGTTTGGTGGCGATATCTCCAGCCGTTTAGGAGATATCGACCGAAAAGGACAGGGAGGGGGGGGGGTGGCGTTTCGGCCCCCCCCCCCTACGGGGCGCGGGTTCCCTCGCCGGACCTATTGGTTTTCTACATATGCGCCGGCCGAGGGGGGGGGGGCGGGTACGACCCCCCCTCGCCGTTTCGCCCTTGGTGGAGCTAGCGCGTCGCGGAAAAAACGAGCGTGTGCGCCGTTACAAGACGCAGAGATTGGTACCCGATTTTAAGGTCCTAGGTCAACCGGTGACCTCTGAGGTCAGGCCAAGTGCCCCAAGGTACAGTTCAGTTTTTGGTGAATAACTTCGCAAAAAAACGGCCGCAGAGCGCCGATTTTGGCAGCATCGTGTTTGCCTCGCTCAGGCGCGTCGAATGATATACTTTTTGTCCGGGTCAGGTCAACTTGGGGTGTTGACCTCAGGTCAAGGTCAGGTCAGCACCCCCAGGTCACGAAGTTGGTCGAAAGAGGTCATGTCGCATATCATTCGATTCGGCAGGCCTTCCTGAGTCCATTGGTGGCTTTCCCGACTCGCTAGCTCAATGTGATCAAGAGTTATTGACGAAAAACTAATATGACCTTGATGACGTCATACATGACGTCACGCAAGGTCAACATTGCAAAAGTGACGCATCTAACCTTGCAAAGAGTGCATCGAATCACGATTCTGTGTGCTTGAGATAGTTGGAGATCGTTCCCGGCGCCAGAATAGCAGTTTTCATTTTTCCCCATTGACTTATAATGGTGAGGTCACGAAAATGACCTGACCTCATATGACCTTTAGGAAAAATCCGAGATATACAAGTTGTGACTCTCATAATGGATACTAGATCCTGCAAGTTTCATTTCCCTGTGACATCTCCTCTGGCAGTGAGGGCGTTGCGAAGTTGCGACATCTGAAGACCGTGCAGAGGTTCACTTATGACGTCATAGGTCAGTGACCTGACCTGACCCAAAAATGCGGTTGGTGTCAAAAGATCCGGCTTGGATCAAAGGTCAAGTATGCCAAGTTTCAGCTCTCTATCGCCAGCGTGTTCGGAGCTATCGCGAAAAAACCCTATGGGGGGGGGGGGGCGGCACCCGCCCCCCCTCGGCCGGCGAGGGTTAAACGATATCTTTATCAATATCTTTTTTATGACAGGCTTACCTGTGGGTTACAGGGGCTGGGGTGCATGAGATAGTGCACCTGCACCTGATCCCCCAGATCGGCGGCAGCTAGCGCTCTCTTGGCCTGGTCTTCGGCGTACTTCCCAACGCCGATAACCGTGCGCGCTCCCAGCACCATTATAATGTCGACCAGCGCCTGCTGGCAGATGGGCTCCAGCTGCTGCCGCAGTGGCCCGCTCAGTTTATCAGGAGTGACATTCCTACCCGAGCTCTCCATGAAGGCCAGCGGACAGAAGTTGTGGACGTACACGTGCCGAAACAGCCTGTCCGGAGTACCACTCAGGCGCTGCCAGAGACCCCAGAAACGGCGGCCGCTCACCTGTCAACAATCAAACACGTCGTAAATATGGACGCAATGGACCACCTTTCACGCGGTGTAACATTCCAGCTTGCCACGGGCTACAAACACGAATACGGTACGCATTGAGTGAAATGCTATGCGATTAATACGACGGAAAATAATTAAATTAGGCATGCCCACTATAACACCAATGCCATTATTTCCACCCCGACCCCTCCCGAGCCGGAATACCTACCCTGCCCGGTCTCGTACCTCGCTCCTAGTGCAGCTGAAGCCGGCGATGGGCCGGTGAGGGTTCTGGTTCTCAGGAGGCACCACCTCCCCGCTGACTTCCATCCAGTCTCGGACGGCGGCGATCTCTCCAAACGGCACGCCCGTCTGGGACATCCCCCACGGTCCGGGGTTCATACCAACCAGCAAGAACGGCACGGGCCAGCCTTGGCGGAGGCACCGGCGCACGTAGTCGGCGTGCGGCTCCGCGGCGTACTCCAGCGGGTTGTACACGTGCGTGACCTTCCCGGAGATGAAGGACCGGTGCTCCAGTTGCGAGCACATCTCGTGCTCTATACGGAGCACCTCTGAAGCGAGACCGGGAGTGTCCGGAGCGAACGCCATCGTGACCGCCGGTGACGCGATCTGGCTGGTCCTGGAGATGTCGCCCCGCTCGTCGCTCGGAAGAAAACCGGGTGCTTCGCCCGAGCGCCGGCTTTTATGGGGCGGCTCAGTAATGCTATGCACTATCCCGGTTTCGATACGAGTAGCCAGCTTATCGTTCGTTGGAGTAGTGGTTATGGTATCACGCCGACCAAACGGTGAGCCACGGTATATATGCGGTGAGCAATTCTCACCGTTAACAGATGACTGACTTCCATCCTCTGCAGTCTGCCACTGTGACAGAGAGTTGCTGAATGAGCTTCGCAGCAGTCTCTTCATTTTCTTTTCCGATGTCAAGAAAAGCGACACGGTAAAGTTACTCGGGTTTGAGTTACGTCCGAGACTGAACCTTAGAAACCTGAAATCTGTTTTGAATTGTCATCTTCGTCATGATCGAAGATGATCGCTTTATAAAATCACACTCTTCTTCAAAAAAAGCTTAAAATCGTGGAACTGCAATCCCTTCCCATCCTCCCAACATCACAACACCCCAAAAAAATTGCACGACGAGGTCAAGACGAGGTAAGGTACCCCTCGGCCCTCGAGGATCGGCATTGGATTATGAGATTTCTCGGATGCAAGGGCATGCGTTTACAATAATGTTCCTAGCTTATCCGTTTGATGACGTCAGACTTCAGTCGTGCTAATAGGGAAATGTTCTAAGTTTAAAATACTTGCTAACTACTAAAAAACATGTCAGTTGTTTTTCTATGGCAAAAGTGCTGGATCAAACATACCATTTTAAATTTAAAATAAATCGTGAAAAAGGAAATTGGCACGGTTTGGGCAGTTTAACAGATTTTTTCTATGACGTAATAATTTGTTGTACTTTTACCTTGAAGACAAAGCATGAGGCTTATGAGCAAAATTCGGGCTCTAGTATTAACTGGATTATTTGCCAGCTGGCGCCGTATGGTGGCGCTAGCAATGCTTCTTACATATTTAGGCTAGATATAAAAGAATAAATATCTACCTATCAATTTTTCATTTAAAGCCATTCAAAATATTTATGTCCAACCTAATACCTCGCTTATATCTATATTAAATACCTATCGTACGTCGCCAGCTGGCCAGCCAGCTGACGCAATCCAGTTTTTACCGAAGCCCCAAAATTCTCTCGTGCTGTATATCTTGAACTGCCTTGCATTCATTTGTTAGGACACCCCTATATACGGCCTTGGGACACCCGACGGTTTGTTTATGGACCTTTAGCTTTTATCATTATTGCAATCATATTGTTGACTTGATTGATTGAAATTTATTAGGGTGAAATTGTTTAAAAATTATTTTTTTAATTTGCTACTTTTACTTAATGTAGGTAAAAATTGGATCTGAGAAAAATTGTCATTTGTTGTGGGCGAGATGTGGGACGACGGTGAAAACAGGGCGCCTGGGGCGATTTGATCAAGGTTCGTGAAATTTACACGTGACGTTTGGCATATAGAAGGCCCTTGGAGCGGGAGAAGTTCCAAATGTCACGTGACTAATATGCCCTCCGGCGCCCTGTTTTCACCGGCGTCCGAGATGTGTGTAATTTTCTGGTTTTCTTATCAGTTCCCTTCATAAGGCTATTGTGGTACCGTAAACCGGGGTGAGTTGATATGGGGTGGTGAGTTGATATAAAATGCTAGAAAAATGTTAAAATGTGTGCTGCTCATCCATTTGTATACCAATTTTGAGTTTTATTTCTCTGTGAAGTGAAGTAATCAATTAGTGATGCATACTGCTGAGAAAGGCATGAATTTGGTGCAGTGCCTACTTAACACAGCACTTTTTTCAAAGTCCTTTTATTTCTATGATTTTGAAACTAAGGAAAAGTCCCCACCCTACAGCAAAGACGGTCGATATTCATGGAACAACATGTACTGGGAAAGAAACTACCATCAATTTACTGTTGATCCCAGGTAGTTTTCGGTCTCGCCTATAACAACATTTTTTTATACTTTTAAAAAAAGTGGCAGGTGGTGAGTTGATATGCCATCAAGTGGTGAGTTGATATGAATGATAAGGGCTGATACCAAGCTGGAATGCATGCAAATCAACATGAATTATGGGTCTGCAGGTAAGACAAAATCAATACAACCAATTCTCTGTTACTTTTCTCTCCCCACATCACCCCATCAACCCCAAAAGTTTTTTTTTCTGTGGGCATACCTAACATGCAAAGGGGAAAACTCCCTGCCAAGTCTCAAGACGGCTGCCTACAAGCTACAAAGGAGCACTAAGATGTTCATTTGACCTCAAATTACAGATTAGAAAATTGTAATGCTTAACTATCTGTCGTTTCGAAAATGGCAGAACTGTCGTTTCTGTATGGCTAACAGCCTGAGATTTCTGATCTCGTGAAACCGGTTATTTTTCTGCTTGGCAGTTGCCAACTGAGAGAGAGGGTGACACAATGAAATAGAGCAAACAATAGGTATGAAGCAATTGAATGGTGCTTTAATTTTGGCTTTTCATGCCAAATTTTGTATTATGTCGCTTATTTGACCCGATAGAATACAGTCCGAATAAGATTTGCTTCGTTTAATGTTGAAAACACCTATCTATTCCCAAACCTGCCCCATTCCTGTTGTTTCATTCGTTCCCATCACGCTTTTTCCACCACACTTTCCTATTTGTGCAATCCTTTTCCAGGTGATCTTTGCTTTCCATTCAATCCCTCAACCTGACGAACTCATTGTCAGGCCAAACGCTCGGTCGCTGGCCTGGCGGCGCCGGGAGCCGTGTCTGGGCGGCCTACAGCGTGCGATTTGATTGGGCCGGCCGCCGGTCACCGGTCACGTGACCGTCTGGTCGTGGGTCGGCGGCCGGCGGTCGGCCGCGGGTCAGTTCCGTATAATAGGGGCGACACGTTGCACGGGCTCCCTGCGTGTAGAAGGAGGGAGGCGCGCGCGGTGACACTCCTACTCTGACACGGCCCTCAAGATGCCCAGATATTACAAGCCCAAAGAAGGGCCAATTAAACGGGCAAAGTACGACCCACAAAGAGTGAAGGCTGCTGTTCAGGCGGTAGAAAAGGGCATGCCATATGAGAAGGCGGCAGAAACATATGGAATTGACAAGATGAAAATCTACAGGGCAGTGAAAGGACAACAGCAGAAGTCATCAGGAGGGCAGCCATGCCTGTCACCTGCAGAAGAGGAGTATGTTGTGTCCAGACTGGGGCTTCCTGGGGCTTCCCATTGGACCTGTTTGATATCAGGCTGGTGGTTAAGACTTACCTTGATCGCAGTGGAAGGACGTGCAAGCGTTTCAAGAACAACTGTCCAGGCGAGGAGTGGGCAAAACTGTTCTTGAGGCGTAACAGCGCCAGGCTGTCACTCAGGATGTGTGAAAACATAAAGAAGAGCCGAGCCTCCGTATCTCGGGACACCGTCAACGAGTACTTCGACAACCTGGAGGAGTCGTTGGACGGTGTATCTGCAAAAAACATCGTCAACTACGACGAGACGAACTTTAGCGACGACCCCGGACGAAAGCTGGGTCTTGTACGACGGGGTATGAAGCGTCCAGAGCGTGTCATGGACCAAAGCAAGTCGGCGACCTCAGTGATGATGTCCTGCTCAGCTGACGGACAGCTCCTCCCGCCCTACGTCGTATATAAGGCTGAGCACGTCTACGATACATGGACTGTTGGTGGGCCTCCAAACACGAGATACAATCGTTCCAAGAGTGGCTGGTTTGACTCGGTGATATTCCAGGACTGGTTCACCACGGTGGCCCTGCCATACTTCAAGAAGCAGCCTGCTTCAGAGCCAAAAGCCATCATTGGTGATAACCTGGCATCTCACGTCACAACAGCAGTGATAGACATGTGTGAAAAGCACAGCATCAAGTTCATACTCCTACCACCCAACAGCACGCACTTGACTCAGCCTCTGGATGTCAGCGTGTTCCGTCCAATGAAACGGCACTGGAGGAAGATTGTGGGGGACCACAAGCAGACGAACAATGTCACCACCATCAGCAAGACGTCCTTCCCTGGCCTGCTCAAGAGGCTCCTCAACACGGTGGCAGACAACATGGGTGACAACATCCGAAACGGGTTCAGGAAGTGTGGAATCGTACCGATGTGCAGGAACGAGGTCCTCAGTCAGCTGCCTGGCGGCTCTGATGACAACGACGTGGAAGGCCAGGTGGACTCGGCGTTCCTGGAGTTCCTCCGCGATTCTCGTGGTGGTCTACAGGCTCAAACTCCCGTCCGGCAGCGGCGAACTCGGCTGAAAGTTGTAGCAGGAAAGAGCGTAACAGGTGCAGGTGACACTGGAGATGATGACGCTGAAGATGACAGCACTCTGTGCGAGTGATGTCGAGATGACACAGGCTGACACAAGTGGTCATGAAGGCGTTGACAAGAATGACACAAGCGCGTTTGTGCTTCTTGTCGCTTAATTTTGCCAGTTTGTTTGGTACATGCTTCATGTTTTTTTTGTTTTTTTTTTGTCGAAGGAGTAATTCGTCAGATTGAGGTTGAAAATGTCAATACATTTGTATGTGATTTCTACAAAGTCTGTTTTGTATGAGTTTTTGGCCGAGGTGCGAACGAGGGTCTATAGGAGGGTTGCGGAGGAGGGGCTAATGGAGTGGTCCGTGGCGGAGTAATTGGGTTTTTACTGGGGAGTTGCGTGGAGGTGTAATGGGGGGTTTACTAGGCAGTTACGTGGGGAGTAATGGGGAGTAACAAGGAGTTCTAGGGGAGTAGTGGAGGGGAGTAATGATTGGTCGGGAGAGTTATGAAGAGTAATGGACGTGAGTGATGAAGAGTTTCAGTGAGCGTTGTGAGGGAGAGAAGGGGGAGCAGCTCCCTGGGGCAATCGAAAGGATCATTTTTGGTAACTCTTGGTAACTCTCGATAACTCCCCCAAAGGGAATAAATATTTCTCTCAGTGATGACGAGGAACATCCAGACTCCAGAATGACTTATCCCGAGTTCAGCTCAGAAGTACCTGCAGAATATGTGTGCTTTCATTTTATTTCCATGATCTCTGTCAGACGCATATCAACCGCGACCCGCAACTGACAATGTGTTTTAATTACAAGAAAATACACTTGTAATTCCAAAATATATTGCCAGTTTTGATACCGTTGGCTTGAGGACAAGTGACTAGTCAAGTTCAGAATGTTCTTAGTAAAACTAAGTATCATAAAGCGAAAAAATGATGCTGCTAAAATCAAGCCATTTTAATAGCGCTGTTTTGGACATGATTGCGTTTTCATGAATGTGAGGTCTGCTGCCAAACTACTACCATTTTTCTGATGGTTTCTTTCGGGATGTGTTCTCTCATCCTTTTCTTTAAACACTGGCATTTATCAACTCACCTCTGAGCTTCTTTAGCCGAGAAATTTTGAAAAATCCAAAACCATATCAACTCACCACCCCCCAGGGGGTGAGTTGATATGAACTTTGGCGTTTTAAAAAAGGGGCTTAATATATACATTTTTTATTCAGTTTTGCTGATTGCCTGCCCAAGGCATGTGCCATGAAACTGGCACAAAAAGAATTCCGTAAATGAATGTGGCTTTTGAAGAAAATTAGAAAAACCTCAAAATCCATATCAACTCACCCCGGTTTACGGTAATGAAAAAGTGTGTTCTTTCCTGTTATGTTTTTATTTTGCTAATTCTTGCAGTTCTCAGGGTGGGATAAAGGTTTGCGCTAAACTGCAAAGTTGGCTTGCATGTCAATAAGGCGCACCGGCCCACATTCAAAATCCGCATCAACCCTTCAAACAGAGCCGGAAAATCTGCACCAAACTCGAAGCGGGCTGAGAGTACAAAAAAGCACCAAACTCAAAAATGATTACTACACACTCATTTAGACCCGAGAGCACACTGACAAGTGAAATACATTTACCTGGTTTACTTACCTGGTTGAGTTCCCTTCACTTGGTAGTCTTAGGAAAAAGGGCTGGTAAGGAAGGATAGGAACCCTGTCTCACAAGACACGCCAGTTCAAAACATATGCTATACAGTAGTTCCAGTTTGGCAACGTAGGTCATAAGAATGAGAACTGGAAATGTGTGTCTGCAGTGTGACAGGCAATAGATACATTTCATGTTGGCAATAAATACATACAGAGAATACCAATATAACGAGCGATTTTACAAATATTCTACGAGTTTGTCTGGGATATGCTGCTCCAGACCCCTCTTGAAGGACTGGTGTTCGGAGCAGTAACAACAGATTCAGGGAGGCTGTTCCAGAGGTTAACACATCGTATGGAGAAAAAGCGCTTACGTACATCAGTGCACGAACGGGTCACATAAATCTTACGACTGTGACCTCTGGTGACGCTGCAGTCGGTTAGAGTGAACATGGAGTCTGGACTTATACAGCTGTGACCATTCACAATCTTCCAGTACTGGATGAGATCAGCCCTAGTCAGCCTTCCCTGTACAGAGTAGAGCCCTAGCCTGTTCAGTCTCTCTGCATAAGTTAAGTCTGATAGTGACTCCACGCGCTTAGTCCATTGCCTCTGGACACGTTCGAGTTTCCGAGCATCCTCCACGTAGCCTGTGTCCAACATGTCCAAGCTCCAGCAATGTTTTTCAATTTTCCTCATATATCTCATCTGGTCCGTCATGTCCATCACCAAGCCAAATCCGCACTGCACTACACTAAAGCTGCACTGCACCAAGCCAAATCAGCACCAGCAAAACAAGCCTGCACTGACGAGATCTCATCAAAATTGTCATGCTTTGCAGAATGGGGTGGGCCTGGCATGGTACCAGCCACCAGGTGGTTACCTAGATGCTTATTATAACTAGGTACCCCGCTGGTGGACTGCTAACAGCTTTTCACATTTACCTAGGTAGTGTCCAGCAGCAATGGAGGGCAACAATCAAGCCGAACACCAGGACCCAAACCTCTTTGATGGTCTATCAGATGCACAGCATGAAATGCTGCTGCAGTTTCAGGTATGCCGGAGATAGTGCTAGGGCCTACCAGCATATGTGGATGATAAATGATTTATGACCTGCCTAATGTGATAGGTGCTTGCTTAATTTGATGTGAACCTCATTCTCATTCCGATGTCACCCAGGATTTGATGTGATCTTCATTCTCCTTCCGGTGTCACCCAGGACCTGACGGGGGCAGAGAGCCTGGGTTGGTGCCGAAGGACGCTGGAGGAGCACGCCTGGGATCTGGACTCTGCTGCGAGGAGTGCTCTGAACATGCCACCTGCAGAGGTGGACCGGCCTGCGCCACCAGCGGCGGTGAGCGTCCGGGTTCAGCTGAGGGAGGGGAGGGAGCGAGGGGATGAGTGGTGTGGGTGGGGCCATGGGGTGAGCAGGATGTTAGCATGGGAATTGAAGATGAGTAAGTGAGACTTGATAGGCTAGAAAAGTGCTGACTGCTGAGTGGCACTTCTGATTATAGTGATTAGGGACTAGGGTTATTATACATGATTAGGGACTGGGGTTTTGTATTTGTATGGTAATAATATGTTCAGTGTTGAGGTTTACAAAAAATGGACATCTGAAATAACAGGTTAGTATTTGGTGAATGAAACGTATGGAAATTTGTTAAAGGGACCCTCCCACCTTCAAAAAAGTTAATGAATTGACATGAAAGTGATGTCGCTCGATTCAGAAAGAGCAATAACGAATATCTACCAAATTTCACCGAAAAATATTCACCGGTTTTCAAGATATTATACTTTTACTTTTGTTTACTTTTTTGGATCTCCCCTGTTCCTAGCGACTTCATTTTGGAAGTGCGGCGTTCGCGGCAGATGTTGCGCGCAAATGGCATATGCCACCACTGCTTTACAAAGATGTTAGTATAAGGTTTTAAAATCGTTAGATCACCGCTGACGTCACAAATTCTAAGGGCCAAGGGGGCATCTCAATGCATTAGCCCCTTAGAATCCGAAAACTGCAAGTTTGAAATTCTATATCTCCGAATTAAAGCATTTTTCGATGTTGTGAGTGCCCAAACCGGTATTTGCAGGCCATGGCCACCAATTTGACTATCTCAACTCAAAACTAATGTCAAGGTGGGATGGTCACTTTAAAGTCTAAAAGAAAGCATTCTCGTAACACATCGGCACCATACTGGATGCAACAACTTACACACTGACCTCCCCCTTTGTTGGATGCTCTGTGGACCTCAGTCACTCCCCCTCATCTCACACTCCGAGTATGTCCCCTCCACCCCTCACTGACCCCCCCCCCCCGCTCCCGGCAGGCCGCGCCACGGCCCGGCGGCGCAGTGGTGCCCGCCCAGCCCGGCGGCCTGCTCTCATGGCTCTTCAGCCTGGCCACCCTGCCGCTGCGCTATCTGGTGTCCACACTGGGCGGCATCATCAACATCTGCCTCAGCATCATACGAGGCGGAGGGCCGCACGGTAAAGGAGGGGAGGGGGTGAGAGACGGCTCTTGGAAGGAAAGGATGGGAGGGGGAGAGAAGGGATAAATGGTAAAGGAGGGGAGGGAAAGAGGGAGGGAGGAGGGAAAGAGGGACTGCTCACGGTATGGACAGAGCGGGAACGGGGAGAGACTAGGTAGGAGTGGCGTGATCGTTGTCGTTTTTTTTTGTGCTGCTTTTCCATAGCTTGACGGAAAGTAGACTCTTTTGAGGTTATGGGTTATGCTAAGCTGCTGGTATTGTCAGATTCTGAACAGTTCCTTTTTTGGTCTGTGATCGTGATGCAATATCTTTGTGGGATGTTTTCCTAAGTGTTCATTTGGTATCATGGTTTCGTTTTTATCCCGTCATTTATCGCCCTATCCTCCCCCGCCTCCGACAGACCCTGTGCAGGACGTCAGTGAGTTTATAGCCGAGTTTGAGGCCACGTACGGGCCCGAGCACCCGGCGTTTCTGCGCGGCTCCTACAGCCAGGCTCTGTCGGCGGCCAAACAGCAGCTCAAGCCGCTCATCGTGTACCTGCACTGCTCCGACCATCAGGTCAGCCGGCGGGTGGGGGAGGGGTAGTTAATGGATAGTGAACGGGGATGTGAATAGGTGGTGGATATTGTGGCGTGGGTAGTTGAGGTTTGTGGATAGTGGATAGTTGTACTTTCGTACCAGAGCCTCAAGTTTTGGGATAGGTTGCGGACTTGGATGACGAATCCTTCAATATGTGATTAAAAAAGGGTACTCCATACCAAACTATCATAGATTAGTTTCTCGATTTTATTGTAGACGTAATTTCATACTTAAACAGTCGATAAGTTTTCGTCCTTTTTGCTTTCGAACAGTTGGTCGAACTATACCACGAATTTCACACCTCCAACCTTCAGACCTCCCTCCCTTATTTACCCCTCCCGTCGTGGACAGGACACGGCCGAGTTTTGCGCCGGCGCTCTGCGCCACCCGCCGCTGGCCGAGTGGGCCGAGCGGACGCTGCTGTTCTGGGCATGCTCCGTGGACCGGCCAGAGGGGTACCGGGTGTCCCAGGCGCTCAGAGAGAACGGGTATCCGTTCGTGGCGGTCATAGTGCTCAAAGAGAACAGGTGAGGGCGTGGGGAGGAGCTGGAGTGAAAGGGATGGACAAATGTGCAGTTGGGGTGGGGAGCCATGTAAGAGCATTGATGAAATGCGTAACAATTCAACAATGCGATATAAACTATGATGCGTCAGTTCGCGATTTTTCAATCACAGCCGAACTTGCATTTTTTATGAAGGTCCATCCGGTATCGATCGGCAGTTTTTATGCAAATATGTTGTGACGAAACGCTTATACGTCATTTGGTAAATTCGTAGCGACGATTATGATGGTAATGATTCGTTGATATTATTGCGAATCAGCTACGGAGCCATATCGCTACATCATTACAATGCGTCTGTATTTCACAGGATGACGGTGGTCGGCCGGCTGGAGGGCCCCTGCCAACCCAACGACTTCCTCCAACGGTACGTATGCGTAGCCCGGTACGGCTCGTATGATTTATACGGTGCGACTTGTGATTACTTACGGTAGCTCAAACACCGTTATTGTTAGCTTTGGGCTTTTAATAATCCAATGTCTTTCTTTGACTGAAAAATTATCACACGTTGTTACGCTTGTCAGTGGGTACTTTTTGCATTTCTGGTATGAAAATTATTAATTTCGTAGACTCTAGCACATATTCGGTCGTCGATTTTTTACGGACGCTATAGCCGACACTGACCTGTTTCCTTCTGGTCTAGGTTACAACGGATAGTCAGTGATAACGAAGCATCACTGGTGGCGGCGCGACTGGAACGGAACGAGCGGAACCTCAACCAGGAACTCAGGTAAGAAACCAGAGGAACTTGAACCGGGCAGGACTGCTGCTCGGGTGGGGACGAGGGTGGAAACCGCAATGATCTTAGAAAGGACGAGAAGACGCTGAACCAGTAACCTGAATCGAGGAGATTAGATGGGCCTGATCCAAGTAAGCTGAGTAATATACGCCCATTGGCAATGTGCGTGCGAACGTTTCGTCCTACCACCGTCTGCTGTGAACCGTCAAATGTCTCTCCATTCATGTGTTTCCGTCCCTCACCATACCCCGTCTCCTGTCCCGATTTCAGGCAGCAGCAGGATGCCGCCTACCAGGAGTCTCTGCGGGCAGACCAGGAGAAGGAGAGGAGGCGGCAGCAGGAGCGCGAGAGACAGGAGCAGGAGGAGCGGGAGCGACAGGAACACGAGCGGCAGAGGCAGCTCAAAAAGGAGGTACGCAGACGCAGTCAGGATCGGAGAGGGACTGTGCAGGTTTTTATTGGGAGACGCGGGGTTGTAGTAGGGAGCTTCGATGTTTAAATATGTGATGAGAATTTGTGTATGTAAGCAATGCAACGATAAAGGAACTCGCTTTTAAAGTACCTAAATCAAGATATGGGTTTATGTTTTGGGTCCATCAAGAGTATAACAAGTATAACCAAGAGTCCAAGTAAAATGACAGCGAACGTGTGAAAATGCTCTTTAGATTGCCTAACTATGAGCTGTAGTTGACTGTGCTCTACTTGTTTTGTTGATCACCGGATGTACCAAGACCTGAAACTCGGTCATTATCCACTATCCACCGTAATCAACTCGACAATCACCCTCAGTCCTCCTCCTTCCACCCCCGCCAGGAGATAGCGCGTCAGAAGATCGAGCTGGCCTCTGAGATTCCCGACGAGCCCGCCTTGGACCAGCCCGACTGTGTGCGCATATCCATCAAACTGCCCGACGGCTCGCGCATCGAGCGGCGATTCAGCACGTCACACTCGCTCAAGGTGAGTGTGGAATGGAGTGGAGTGGAGTGGAGTGGAGTGGAGTGGAGTGGAGTGAAGTGAAGTGAAGTGGAGTGGAGTGTGGACTGGTGTGGGAAGGAGGTTTTTCGTGGTCTTTGGCGGGGGAGGGGGTGGAGGTTTAGCGTGGAGATCTTTCGTTGTGTGGAACATTATGACTTGCGTCGTATCGTAGCTGTATGTAAATGAAAGTCGAGTTTTTTATTACGTTCATTCGATGTGTTTTAGGTAACAAAGAAATTGACGTGGCACTTCGCCATCATGTTACCATAGCTCGTTCGTAGCCACGAATGGCTTGTGTTTTGCAGTGGGAATTTGGCTAGTAACAAATATCCCCAACTAGTATTCGAGAAAGGGGTCTTTACCAACCTCAATCAAATAATTAACTCAACACAACAGCATTGCATGTAATTAAACGAGGTTAGAACGGCAGGGCAATAGCATTGCCTTTCTACCCTCCCTCTCCTTACCGCCGCTCACTTCCATCTCTCCGTCTCCAGGTGCTCTACTACGTGGTGTTCTGCCACCCGGACTCCCCCGAACGGTTCGAGATCACCCAGAACTACCCTCGCCGGGTCCTACCCTGCCGGCCCGGCGCCGAGCTCGACCCACCTACACTGGCAGAGGCCGGTCTGGGGAAATCTGAGCTGCTCTACGTTAGGGATTTGGACGCCTGAGCGCGCCCCCGTGGGATGAGCCGGACCTCGTGGGTTGCGTGAGTACGCGCGGAGTGCGAGCGACGCGCTGCGAAACGAGAATGGTTATATGAGTGATCTAGAAAAAGCTAGGGAGTGGTCTAAAAAGTGATACAGCTACAGGCTAGTGGTTGCGACCTGGAGAGACTGCGAGACGTGGACCAGGGGCATGGCGGAGGATCCTAGAAGGCGCGGCAAGACAGTGAGGTCGCGGAGATTTGCTCACGAGTGAGGAACAACGGGTGTCGAACGGCGGTGTATCCGTCACGAACTCTAACGAACCGTCACGAAGTGTAACGAGCCTCACGAAGCGTAAGGTATTGCGCCCCCTGCGGGGTCTGAGGTAGGGACCAGCGAGGTGTACGTTTGTGCTCCTAGGGAGTGCAGTAAATCGTATAGCCAGCAGATACGTTTGAACGGGTGTGCCCGCTCGTATCCTAACGTGCGCCGCGCAGTGAAGGCAGCACGCGGGAATCGAGGCACAGTTGACTTTCCGTGCGAGATGCAGTCGAGCTTCAAGGACCTACAGCTGCAGGCATCGGGTCCGATCGGGGCCGCATAGGTCTTTACAAGAAGTTCGAAGCTCGGAACTACATCATAGTACGGGAGAGCGACTCGGCAAACTTCAGCCCAGGAGAGCCCATGAAAATAGGGACTTCTGTGCATGCCAAGTTTCAGCCCATGCAAGAGACAGTCTAACTGGCAATTTGTAAGGACTTCGGCTGGACAAGAAGACGATGAGGTCCCTCCAGTGAACTGGACTAGAACGATGATGTGATACGAACTCCTCCGTTCAGTTTCAGTCTTCGGCGATCCGAAGCTCTTTGCGCTGCTAGCGAATGTGCGAGATTCGAATCGATCCGTAACGGGCAGCGATACTGGATAGTAAGAGGTGCGATTTGGGTCAGTTGTTTTGCCACGGATTAGTCATATCATGTGTGACTGGCATAGCAAATCATCGGGAATGAGTTGTTTCTTGTGCTACGGCCATGTTTTCCTTTTGTGCATCGCTCCAGTGAGTTAGGGGGTGCAGTGTGCTAGCTATGCATTAACCTCCAATGGGGGTTTGTGGCGGGTTGGTACCTTACAGTTTATCGCTGTTGGCGGTCCACTCCACTGCACTGCCCCGCCGAATTATACGCATGTTTTGTTTAGGGGACATTATAATTGTTTGAAATGATATTAACACGTTATTGTCACGGCATTAGCCATCGCCTATAATTTTTACAATAGAACTTATAAAAAATAGAGCGATTCGTGTGTGAACGTATAGAACAAAATGGTGTCCGCTGTAACCCACACAAAATAACACACTAATCGGGAACTAACATTGTATCATCGCAGCACCAAACCATTTCTCTTACGTTGAGATTCAACACCACATAACGGCTCTCACTACGGCGTCTCGTAACGGATGCTCTCTATTTCCGCCACGGCTTGTTGTGATATTCCGAAAGGATGATATCGCGGTCACGCTAATTGTTGCACAGTTCAGACTCTGTCGCATAGATAGAACTTAGAGCGCCGCTGGTTTATATGTACGTGGCATGGGGACCCGAACTAGCGGCCCGGACAGGTGTCAGATTTTCCTATTCAGGCGTGCGGGGTGTAAAATTCGAGGGTGGTATGATGGGGCTTTGAGTGTGAGACGGGAAAATATATGTGTAGAGTGATGGCAAGTTGGGTGTTTTACTTTTAACTAACTTAGACGAAATACGTCACAACTCACAAGAATGTGACTTTAGTGGGAAGTTTCAACGCTGTTCAGCTAGTCAATTTCAAGTCTACAAAACAAACACTGATTGCAGCGCCATACGGAGCACACACACCATCCTTGTAGAAATGTTCAAACTTCGAGACCAGCGTCACACTATAACAGCATTCGCTAGTTTTAAAGCAAGGTAACAACAAATAAAAGCATGAAGAATAATACCACTGAAAAAACTGCAGTGGCAGCAGGAGCCCTGCTAAATACTCCGTGGTACGAGGAGTCCTGCTGTAGGCAGGATGGCAGGAACCACGCTGTAGACCGTACTGTATCCGCAGTAAGGTACTTAGAAGCAGCAGGAGTCGTGCTTTAGCCTTAGTTAGTACTCAGCAGCAGGTGACATGCTGTCTCAGTAGTAGCATGAGCCCTGTTGGAGCCTCAGTAATAGCAGGATCTCTGCAGCTGTAGCCTCAGTAACATCAGAAACCGTGCCGCAGTCTCATAAGTAGCAGGGTGTCTCATGTACCCTCAGTAGCAGCAGGAGCCGTGTTGCAGTCTCAGTAGCAGCAGGAGCCGTGCTGCAGCCTCAGTAGCAGCTGTTTGCAGTCTCAGTAGCAGCAGGAGCCGTGCTGTAACCTCAGGAGCAGCTGTAGCCCTGTTGCAGTCTCAGTAGCAGCTAGCAGCTTAGTGTAGCCTTGTTGTACCCTCAGTAGCAGCAGGAGCCGTGCTGTAGCCTCAGTAGCTCACTGCTCACAGTGCGGTAACTCTCCCCTCCCAGACTCAGTGTGCCGTAGCTGGTACTGCCGCCCTGTCCCGGGACCCTCGAGTCGCCGGGGGTAGCGCACGAGCAGATCATCCTCTGGCCGAGCTGCAGGGCCGTGTGGTAGAACACGTTATCAACACCTGTGGGAAGGGAGATAATATCAGTGGTTGGTTGATCCTGGAGAGACGGTGCGTGCAATGGTTGACCCAAGAGGGACTGAACGATCAATGATTGATTACAGAGGGGCGGAACGATCAACGGCTAATACCAGAGGAACGGTGCGATCAATGGTTATTCCAGAAAGACTGTATTTTCGATTGGTCGATCACTGCGATGTATTGGTAAAGAACGGACTGCGAACCCTACTGGCTGTGGGGTAGTCGTAGTTTTTATTAATTCCCCACGGATATTCATCATCTCTCTCCCAGTCGCAGACGCAAGAGTTTCTCACCCAGATTAATACTTACCCCCTCCCCCCGTTTGAGTATCTTCCAGAGCTGTGAGCTTCTTACCAAGATTGGTGCTCATCTATTCTCTCCAATAATATAAGTTTCTAACTAAGGTAAGTGGTAAGTTCGAGCTTCTTACAGAGATCGGTGTTCACTTTCCCTAGTGTGAGTTTCTTACAGGGATGAATGCTCACGTTCCCCAGTGAGTTTCTTACCGAGATTGTTGCGCGCCGACGTCTCGTAGTAGTGGGCGCCGCGCGCGGCCGCCAGGGTGCGGGCCACGGCCTCCGGCACGGCGCGCTCCGAGCCGAGGTCGGCCTTATTTCCGACCACCACCAGCACCAGGTCACTTTCCACCGCGGAGCTGAGCTCTGGGTCACCGGAGGGGTCGGGAGTCACGTGAGGTCAGGTCAGGTCCAGTGCTGGAAATGAGGCCGCTTTCTGGTCCCGGCGTTTTATTCTCCGGACGGGTTAATCCCGTCTAGCGTTTAGCCTTTCGGGACCCACTCAGGGTCGCGGTTGTTTTCGCCGCTCACCCCAGTCGAGATGCATAGTTAATAGTCACACGAAGCTTATTTCGGGCCAGCCAAAGCAGCCTAGTCTGGATTTACTGTTAAATGTATGCATATAGATGCAAGAAAAAGGTTTTGTGGAATCGATTAATTTCGAAGTCGTACATTCAGAGGCCCCAAATAAACTTCGTGTGACTATCAACTTTGCATCTCGAAAGGGCCGAGCGGCGAAAACAACCGCGGCTCTGAGAGGGTCCCGAAAGGCTAAGCGTTAGACGGGGCTAACCCACCCGGAGAATAAAACGCCGGGACCAGAAAGCGGCCTCATTTCCAGCACTGGGTCAGGTCACTGTCCACCGCCGAGCTGAGCTCTGAGGGTTATCGGAGAGATGACCTAAGGTCAGGTCACCGTCTGGCGTCTACTGTCCACTAGCAGAGGGATGGCCTAACTTAAGGTCACTGTCTACGGCGGAAGTGAGCTCTGTGGGTTAAGGGATAGGGATGGTAAGGTCGGGTCAGTGTCTACCGCGGTACTGAGCTCCGTGGGTCAGCAGATGGGTAACGGGTGCCGAGGTCAGGACTCAGCTTACTGCTTACGGAACAACTCCGAGGGTTACCAAAGGTGGTGAAGAGGCCCTTTTCTGCTTATCTGTATGATTTATTGATCCATATTACGCACCTTCGCAAATTCGGAACAGTTGAAGGGCAATTACATACTGTGATGACACCACACGTCAACCACAAGCACTCAAAAAGACGGGACCCAAAAGGGCTAAACGTGTACCGAGACCGACTATGCCGGTTGTACTCCGGTATCTTACCGAAACATCGCTACCATGCAAGACACTTGACACGATCGTCTAGGAGTTAGGACTCTCAGAATCACCAACTAAGGTCACAGTAGAATCTACCGATAACTGCCAGACTGAAGCACATAGAAGAGTCAGAACTCAGAGGCACATAAAAGACTCACAGATCACTTCATAGGCGCACAACACGTGTCCACTTCAAAATCACAAGCGTTATGATCACACGAATCACATCACCAATTCATTTTCCCATCTGCACACACTTAGCAAGTGCAGCTGGCAGCTACAGTCCTTCGAGCAGGCCCAGCTCGTCCACCTCCACGGCCACATCAATACAGTGATCCGGCCACAGCGTCTGCTTCCCCCAGAGGGTCACCATGCACAGACACCACATCAGCCCCAGCAGCTTGGCCTGGCGGAAATCCTCCGCCAGCTCGCGCCTGGTCAGCGGGCAGTCGGCGCCGAGCGCGCGGCAGCTGGCCGAAAACTCCTCCCAGTAGATGTCCTGCACTCGCTCCTCCACCCGCTTCATCACGTTCCGGGGTACGGACAGCATCAGGAGATAGATGAGGTCCACGGCCGGGTGGGCAATCATAGTCGCCTGCCAGTCAACAACCCGTACTTCCCAGCGGGCTCCTTCAGTGCTCCGGCTTCCTTGATCATGTCCTTCACCATTTTCTTCGCCATTTTCTTTCCCTTCCACCCGACGCAGCAGCAGGTTGCCGTCCCTGTAGTCGCCGTGGGTAACCACCCGCAGTTTCGGCTCTCGAGGCTGAAGACCGGCGCTGATAAGCTCTGTAGCACGCTCTTCCACTCGGTGAAGTTTCTCCAGCAGCTTCAGATGATTCTGCCGGCGCAGGCCAGGCTCCACATTCTGTATACCGATACGGATTAGCTGTGAGGTGGGATGATCCTTCGGGAGGCGCGTCGTCAGCACGTACGGCGGATCTTGTAAGCTGCAGTTCCGGAGCCACGCGTTAGATGTCGCTGCCAGCTGCGCCAGCTGACGTACAGCCTCTGGCAGCACATCCTCGGGCAGATTCAGCGGCTCTGGTGTCCAAAAGCCGGCCGGCTGGAGGTTTTCGAGCACGATCACATACCGGAGACCGTCCGGATGACCTGAATCGTCAATCTCAACGCACAAACATCGTACTATCATGGATGCCACGGCGCTCCGTCCGCGACTGCGCTCAAAGTGACACAACTGCGGCAACAAGTCCTTGTACACGTTTGTCTCACACTGCACCAGCTTCAGCTGGGTCACCAGAGCTCGAATGTTGGCCTCCTTCGGCAGAAGCTTCACCAGGAGGTGATCGGTGAGTGACCTCGACGCCAGTCGACCAGTACAGTCAAGGACACGCATCTCGCTGCAGTAGGACACCTGATTAGCGACTATGGAGGTGGGCGTCACCGAACTGAGGCGGTACTCGTCGCCATGGTAACGCCGCAGCAGTTTTTCGAGCCACTCGTCTGTGACGTCATCGGGACCACTGGGAATGGGCAGCGCCATGTTTAAATTCAAAACTCCGTCAGAATTCGGTCACGATTCAGCGAAAATCTTCCAGGATCTCTCAGCGATAACCACCTGCGGCAGCCCGGTAGCAACCACGTTCGCTTGATTTGCCCACAGCGTCTCGGATCTTGGAACCCGGTGCAGCACCGACGGCCACTGTTCTGGTGATGAGCCGAAAGACTGAAGATCTCACAATAGGCACACAGGTACATGTGCACCGAAAGCCGTCGCCCCGCCACTGCCACCGACGACCGTTCACTGCCCCTGGATCTAAACACGGTCAGCACAAATAAAATAACTTCCAACGAGTCTAGGACACCATCCACGCCTCAACTCTCTCTTGTCGGCAGGGCAAGCAAGCAATGTCCAAGGTCACTATCAAGTAGAGCGACTGGTTACATCCGTCCCCAATGAACGTCTATCTCCGACTGCCTGCCTCGGGCCCCTGGCCCGCGTCGCGTCGCCCCCACCCCCGGCGTCGGTCGCCCCAGCCTCACTTTCACTCAGCACGGGCGCACCGGGAGAGGGGAGGGGGAGGAGTGGGGTGCCGGTATCGTCTGTTGGATAGATTGAGGTCATCGACCGCGGCTCGGGGTCAACGACCGGCAGATAGCTGAGCTGTAAAAAGGTGCGGGGAGAGGGTCACCAGCGAGAGTAGGTCAGGGATGGGTCCGTTTTTTAGTCAATCAGCAGGACGGGCGTAGGGCGTCAGTCATGTGGAACGCCAGCTCATGGGAAACAAAGGCAAAAAAAATACAAAAAAAAAAAACAAGGGGCCGGACGATACAAAGACAATGCTATGCATTGGGCAGGCCCACGTAGGAAGAGTCTACTATAAAAAAGTCAATTGGTGCTAAAAGTAAAGCTGCAGAGAACCAACAACCCAGAATAAATACCCAACGCCAAAATCAAACAAACACAGCATAGATATGATAAGTGGAGGTCATTGGCCCTAAACACTCCACGGCCTCTATTTACTGATCAGTCATGTCTGGCCTTGGAGTGGAGTACCGTCACACTTATCAAGGCGACCGTTAGTCGTGAGAGTCTCTCTAAGTGTGAGAGGGGCGCCATGGAACGGGTTGACATGAGTCGGCACTTTTCTAAACAGCTCAGTTGTCCTTGTAAACGTGCGAGTCATGAAAGAAAGTGGAACTCTATTACAATCGGGTTTCGCTGAGAAAACCCGAGGTGCATGAGTTAGATTATCGCTAAGCAGTATGCATAGTGGTAGTGCATACAACAATGACGTTGGACAAAGTGCATTGTGCAGAATAACGGTCTGATTGACAGTCAAATCAGGAGCAATCACCCAAAAGGACTTGACGCAAATTGTTCAAAATGTATTTAGTTCGACTTTTATTTTAGTGAGACGGTTGTACCGGAAATTCTGGCAGCAATCCTGTTTTGTGACATTTCTAATCAACTCCTCTCCTCAGCTTTCTCACCACCCACCGTCAATCCAGCGCTGCACTGCCGAGAAGCTATCGTAGTTAGTTACGTCAAACACCACCAGGGCGGCGTTGGCGTGCCTGTAGTAGAGCGGCGCCATCGCGCCAAACCGCTCCTGACCGGCCGTGTCCCAAACCTGACGGTGGGAACCGGGCCAAAGTGGGTTTGATGTCACTGCTGTGGATTGTGGCGGTTGTCCTGGGGATAAAGCCGGGTTCATGTTACTGCCGTTGGAAGTGATGAACCGGCCCATTAGATTGAGAATGATGCTTAGGATGTTGTAACCAGCACGTCTCAGCTCAACAGGAAAACGTCACCGAAAAATAGTTCTGTCATTCGGCCTACACCTCGCTAGCGAATAAAAACGACCAACAGACAATAATTACCGACGATAACTTGCATGCTTTACTATTTGAGAAATCACAACAATGTCGTCTACAGCGAGCAGTTCACCAGCCTGACCTGCAGGTTGACGAGGAAGGTGCCGATCTTAATCTTGAAGGTGAAGAAGGCGGCGCCGATAGTGGGGGCCGGCACGGGCGGCTGTCTCTCCACCATCCTCAGCATCAGGGACGTCTTACCCACACCTGTGGATGTGGGGCGGGGGGGGGGGAGGGAAGTCAGCCGAACTGCCGGAGCAGGGAGACTGAGACCGTGCAGACCTACGACAGACGACTTTTACAGGATTACAAATGCGGTATCAAAACTACACGTCACCTGACAAGCACGGAACCAACACAAAACGGCTATTTGGAATGTGGTAGTTCGTACAAAACAACACTTAGGGAGCGAGCGTAATGGCAAATGTAGCATATTTTAGGTAAATGATCAAACATCAAGGCAACGACGACACCTGATCAAACATAAATCGATGCATCAGCTGGGTCCTTCCCCAGTCATTCCCAAGCACTCACCCTCAGCTCCGAGTACCACAATTTTTCCGTTGACGAGTCTCATCCTTCGCCGGCCAGAAGAGGCGTGTGACGACCAGACTCCGTCACGGGCATCCACTCGCCGACCCCGTCACCTCGTACGGCACTTTTCTTCACGTCGGCATTCAGTTACAGCGCCGAATCCAAGCAGTCGACACATCAGATGACCTAGCTGCCACCTTTTGGTAGGAACACCACTCAGGACTCAACCAGGAGCATTTAGAGGAGGTGGCTTACCGATACATTCCTATTCTACTCCACACCGATTCAAAAGTAATCAGGAACCGCCTGAAATTCTTCGAGTCAGCACTGCTACCCCATCGACTTTCTACATCTACAGATCCTGGAATCTAGATTCTCAAACACCAAGCTCCACCTGAAGCTGCACTACCGCACGCCCAATGCCTGCACTAACGCCACTGTCACTACTACGAATGAATCTTAGTCTTACCACCCTGCTCCGGCCCACCCCGTGTGTTGCACGCTACCCGTGTCAAATATCCTCCGAACGCACCGAGGTGTACAAAACCCTCAGCCACAAACCGCGACCGAGACCGCGCACTGTTGGGTCAGGTTACATATACCACACAGCGGCGAAAGGGGGCGGAAAGAGGAAAAAAGAGAGAAAGAGGGAGTGAGAGGTAGCGAGAGGGAGGAGATAGAAACTATCTCATCTAGAATTAATGATATTGGATGGTGTTTATAGCCTTACCGATCGAGAGACATTTCTAAAATGACGAGAAACGCGCTGACATTATTCTAATTGAAATCAATCGTGAATTGCATTGCGTCGAACGCGATGGAGATTTGAATACATTAAATAGCAAGCTGGAAATATATGTCGGTGCGCATAGAGAGACAAATTAAATATTATAAAAGTAGGTTGGTATATTTTGAGTAAAAACACGGGCTCGATTAACATAAATAGCAGAAAGCTAGCTCTCCAGAAAAAGACAACAAGCTCTCACAAAAGTAATGTGGCCACTGGCCAGTAAAAGCCGACATTTAGCATTATGACGTGACATCATAACAACACCAATTACACTGCTTCGAAGTAAATGGACGCAATCGTTAAAACCATTGACCTGCCTACCACGAATGTGGAACACTTCACAGCCAAAACCACCATCACAAGATGTTGTTGGTTTTATCATCGGAAAAGAAGAAAAATCCTCGTCAGACATTAGCTAAAACAGATATGTAAAACCTCCCTGACCACGTCATTTAATGACCCAATTAAAGTACCGCAATAAATCTCCCTGAACATCAATAGAACTCCATCGAAACCTCCGTGCACTTCTGCTACCTATCACATGATAAGACCTACCGCCACTCGGCAAGACCCGGCTGCTGCTGCTTACCAGTTTCCTCCATCAGGTGGGTTTTCACATGACGATCCACCTCTTCCCTGGAGGCGGCCTCCAGGGAACAGAACGGGCATCGGTGCGTCTCCGTCGGAGCCAACGGCTGTAGCTCGTGAAACATACCTCCGCCGTCATCGTCCAAAGCAGCGCCACCGTTCACACTACCCTCAACGGCCCCACCTTCCTCACTGAGTGTACCTCTCTCCCCTCGCTCACCAGGTAGCGGTGTGAAAGACTCAATCACAGTTACCAGGTTGGTCGTCGACGGTTGTGCCTGTTGTAGAGATGTCTGATGTGGCGGCCGAGGAGAGGTGTCTTGCTCACTCAAAACAGTTATTGTCTGTGTCACACGCGGACCACTTTCGGCTCTTTGAGGCGGCGGAGGCGGAGGCGGAGGCGGCTGAAGCGGTGGGGGCGGCGGCGGGGGAGGGGGAGGGGGCGGTTGAGCCTCGACCCGATGCGTCTTCATATGTCGCTTCAACGGCGTGGCCTGCGCGAAAGCTCTCGGACATATCGAACACCGAAACGGCTTCTCTCCCGTATGTCTCCTCTTATGAGTCGTTAGAGTCGTCTGCAGGGAAAACCTCTGCCCACATTCATCACACTCGAACGGCTTCTCGCCCGTGTGGACTCTCTGGTGATCTCTCAGAGCGGACGCCAGACGGAACGAGCGCCGACACACTGGACAGCGGTGCGCGGGCGCGCTGGGGCCGGCGTGACGGGTCTGGTGGCGGCGGAGAGTGGTGGCGCGCGTGAACTGCAGGCCGCACTGGTCGCAGCAGAATGGCTTTGTGTCGTGTGCCCGTCTGTGTGCCTGCAGCCGGGCCTCGTCCTCAAACGCCTTAGAGCACCGGTCACAGCGCAGCCAGGCGGTGGAATGTTTCCTGGCGTGAGCGTTCAGGCTGCTAGCGCTGGAGAAAGTTTTCTTACACGTCTCGCAGCGGTATGGCCGCTCGCCTGTGTGCGCCCTCTGATGGATCACCAAATCACTCCGTTTCCGGAACCGTTTATCACACTGCAAGCACCGCACGGGTTTCACGGCGGTGTGCGCCTTTCTGTGGGAGGCCAGCGCCGCGGCCGAAACCGCCGCGTGCCCGCAGTGGCAGACGAACGGCCTCCGTCCGGCGTGTCGGTTCAGATGTGCCTGGAGGTACGACCGGCGCACAAACCCTCTCGGGCAGTGCGGGCAGGTGAATGGACGGTCGGTCAGGTGCGACATGACGTGCCGCAGGGCGGTGGTGCGGTCCCGCAGTCGCCGCTCGCAGATCTGACACTGGTACGGACGATCCTGAGCGCGGTCTACGGTAAGAGAGTCCAGGCTGCGACGGTGTAGATTCGCCTGGCGGCGGGACGGCGAACTAGTGTCTCCCGCGGTGGACACCAGAGGCGCTGCGGTACCGGTCGGCGGCAGTGGATCGTCCGTGTCAGAAAGCTCATCCTGTGGGGAACGGCACAATGATATGAACGTCTGAGTAGCACTAAAAAATATGCAAGAGCAGATGGCATGCTGTTAACAACAGTGTCAACATCTTGTTAAAAGCATAATCAGTCTGTACCATATCTAAGTTAGGTGAGATGACATGCATTTTGATGCTAATTGCTTACTTCTTCCTCTGAGGCATACTTCTGTGCTGCAGCATCTCCTGTTGCCCTGAGAGGTGAGGAATCTGGAACATAATTCAAAACTTCACTATTTCATAAAACATTTTCATAGGCAGCAATTTCTTTCAACATTTAAATAAAAGCCTATGCTGTCACATAGTGACAAAGAAATGCTAGGTAAAAATGATGGTTGAACTAGAACTAAAGTTGGATATAAGTTATTTGAAATGAAAAAGAGAGCTGAACAAATGCACATACCTGTTTCTGTGACATTCTCCAAAAGATCAGTAGCAGGTACTGATTCATCTTGATCTGCATGATCAAGTGATCCCCCTGAATGTTTCATCTCCTCTCCTCCACTTTCAATGATCAAATTATCTTGATGTTCATCATCTGTGACAGGAGCAGCAAGCCTAGCCACCTCACACTTTATGAGCTCTCCACTCTGCCCAAGTCCAGCATCCTGCTCACTTGGACATGGATCATCAACATCCTGCGCTGAGGTGCAGGGGTTCTGCACTTCATCCACAGGGGCGCAGATCACCTGTTCCGCTGCCCGCTGCCAGTCCTGCTGAGCAGCCTTCTGGACATGCCTCCTCTGCAGCTGAGAGAGCTGTTCAGAAAGCTGCAGCTCCAGCTCATCAATGCTCACCACCAGACCAATACAGGTGGAACAGACTGAGCAGGCTTCATCACCCACAACAAGTGGAAGCAGTTGCTGAAGCCGTGTCAGCATTGGGACACCAGAGTGTCGCAGTGGTTTGTCGTAATTCACAAGGTCAAGGTGGGGACTGTCTACCGCAGACAGGCACACTAGACAAAGGGTTGCTGTGTCACATGGTTTGTAAACATCACATGAGCTGAATTCCAGTGACTCTGGGTATGCTGCTGACCCCACAGCAGCTGATACAGAGCAGTCCATGGTGTGTTGACTATCTTGGCATGCTATCACTATGAGCTTCACAAAACCTGTGGAAAAGGAAAACAAAAAGGAGTAAAGCAGCAATAATATTCAACTGCCGGTCCCGTAGCTCAGTTGGTTAGAGCGTTGGACTCCGCGTGGTGAGAGCACGCGTTCCCGGTTATGACAGTCCGGGTTCGAAGCGCGACGGGCGCTTGACATTTATGGGCCTCCTGACAGGTATGGTTGCGGTTGGTGGCAGGCCGTAGCCAGGCGAAGTCAGCGAGGGGACCGGCCGTGCGCGGCTTTGTGCGCACGTTAAACTTTGGACTCTAAATTCTGCCATAGAATCGGAATTGCGCGATCGGAGGGTCGAGGGCAGGGTCATCGCAACAAGCTTCGATTAGTGGTGGCTCTGTCCTTGTGAATCCTTCCCATCAAAAAGGTTCGGACTAAATTTATAAAAAAAACTGCAGATAGTTTGAAAACAAGCTGAACAAAAGTCAGAGTGGACCAAAGCGATTAATTTCCATGTTTGAATGATATCACAGTGTACTTAATAAGTTAACATAATGATAATCACGGTATCTAGAGAACTATGATAATGGTGCTATTCCTCATGGTTTGTTTGTATCTAGCTAGGCTATGTTGATGTAGCTTTGCATTTTTCTCACATTTTCCTGCGTTCGATAATTCTCGGACGACGAAGATTATACGCCGTCCAGCCAATCCCGTTCAAGGTTAGTGGGGGCTCGGCTGCAGTTATGGAGCGTGATTGGCTGGACGGCATACAATCTTCGTCGTCCGAGAGACATCGAACGCAAAGTTTCCAATTTTTTTGACGCTAGTGCGCCATATATGTATAAAATATATATCATAATCTATTTCTATCTGGATGATGAACAGATAAAATAATAAATGAACTTGTCAAAAAGTCAAAAAAGGAAAAAAAATGGTAAAAAATAAATTCATCACTTACCGTTTCAATTTCCATTGTGATTTCACCTCTCACGAGATGACAAAACTGTGCAAGGCACACAAATCAAAAATGTGGAGGGATTTGCAACAAAATTATTAGGTCACTTGTAAAACAGCATCATTTGGAAAACAAAATATCGGAACAAGTTTTCTGTGTTTGAATCTTTATATCTATTTTCCCAGTACAAATAGAGAAGCCAGCACTAGAACCGAAAAAAATCGTCACATCCGGTGCAGTGACGCGTTTCGCGCGTGCGTGCTGCCGGCGTCGTCCATTTTGCATTATGTCTGACTTGGCTGCACAACCGCTGCAAAACTCCGGTAACTTTTCTCAGAGTCCCGCGTTCGCTGACGCTCTTCAGAGAGCCAAGCAAGTGAGTATTAATTTCATGGCTCATTTGTTTGATTTTTCGATAGAAAACAAAGACCGGTCATGAATGGCGCGATCTGGACGCCGGCTGCTTCCGGTTTGAGTTGCCCTTTTATTGCGGTTGTTTTTTATTTGTTTGCTAGTAAATATTATTTGCGTGTTGTCAGCAATGTAAAAATAACGGATTTGCTGTGGCATGCCCCTCAAAATGGTTAAAACATGCTTCAATTTTTTGCGCCATAAATGGCGCGGAATCATGTTGCAGCTTTATGCTTATGCTTATTGTTGCCTGTTGTGTCTAAACAATATTTTTCTTGTTAATTATATGCACGCCTGTTGTCATGATTTTGGGAAGTGTGAGGGCTTTAAAGGGACCCTCCCACCTTCAAAAAAGTTAATGAATTGGCATGAAAGTGATGTCGCTCGGTTCAGAAAGAGCGAAAACGAATTTGTACCAAATTTCATCGAAAAATATTCACCGGATTTGAAGATATTAGACTTTTACTTTTGTTTACTTTTTGGGATCTCCGCTGTTCCTAGCGACTTTATTTGAAAGTGCGGCATTTGTTGCGCGCAAAGCAGCATATACCACCGCGTGCTACCAAACGTTTTAGTAAAAGATTTAAAAACTGTTAGACCTCCGCTGATGTCACAAATTCTAAGGGGGCATACCAATGCATTAGCCCCTTAGAATCCGAAAACTGCAAGTTTGAAATTCCATATCTCCGAATTAAAGCATTTTTCGATGTTGTGAGTGCCCAAACCGGTATTTTCAGGCCATGGCCACCAATTTGGCTATCTCAACTCAAAACTAATGTTAAGGTGGGATGGTCACTTTAAGGGGCAGCGTGCTTGTTGTCATGGTGGCGCTGCTCGGAAAGTATTACATAGGTACTTTGCATCATTTAAATATGTGACTGAGTATGCATATTTTTTAATTGAAAAAAAAAACTGAATGAAAAATTATGGATAACCAATTTATCATCTCCTTTGATTGGCAATTTTAGCAGAATTGATGGCTCAAGCCTGATAGATCAGTTGGGGAAACTACGAGGCGAATGTCAAAAAAATTGATTGGTCAATAAATGGACTTTTGATGACCATATATGAGCATAAATACAGCCCCCGCTACTAAGGGTGAAAAACGGTATAACAAGCCGGTACTTGCGGTATCGCGTCCACTTATTGGAGAGAAAAGGCTTCCATTTTTCACTAGGAATTAGCGTGATTTGATTAAATTTGGCGAATTGACTCGAAAATGGCGATAGGAAAACAGCTTTTCTGCAGGTTCTGGGCGTCACAATCAGCTGGCCATTCAATAAATGGATTGGTTTTATGAAAGAAAATTGTTAAAAGATTTAATTTAACTACAATAAACAAAAATATTTAATTCTAAAATAATAACTTAACCACAATTAGAAAAACCATAAACAAAATAATAAAAATAATGACATTTTTAAACCACGGTACTGCTTACATTTTTTGGCGCGTCTGTTTCAATCCGCCATATTTGCCAATCACAGTTTGACCTTGCGTTGTAACTCTGCAATTTAGAGCCGCCAGTTAATTATGCACCGGGTGAGTGTAGGTCTTGTGTGGTTAAAAAACATTCTTATGCCTTATTTTTTCATTTGAATGCTAAAATTCATTGAAAAGATTAAGTTGTCTGATTTTATGACCATATATGGTCATCGCCCCGCCCACTCCAGCCGCTGATTGGCTAATCCAATTTTTGTTTGGCTCCTCGTAGTTTCCCCAACTGAGATGCATTCAACATACAGCCTTGAAGCTGCACGCAATGCCTAAAATTGAGCTGTTAAATAAATGCCAGTTATTTGGCTCCCCAAAAGGCAGAAATCTACTACATTGGAACACCCCCTTCCCTGCCCCACCTGCTCAACAACTTTTTTGTGTCAGGTGACCCCAACCCAACACATGCAGCTAGATCCATGCTTAGGTCTGCTCCCAGTCCCACAACTTCAAAGCAGTTCCCACACCCCTGCCTGCTGCTTTTATGCAGGTTTAGGTCAACAGTGTAGCTTTACCATTCTTCTGGTTACTTTCTGTTAACGTGTATTGCTGTAAATTTATGAAGTTTTTAAATCATTTTATTTCACTCAGTTTTTACCACTTTATGCATACAATGAAAGTTATGAAACCACAAGACCAATATGAAACAGTTTATATCAGGCTAGCATACTATGTATATGGTGTTACTGGGGACTGAGGTGAACTATGGTGGAATGCTCTGAGTTTTAATAAAAAAAAACATGCAGGAATCTGACTTCTCTGTAAGGCTTAGATTAGAGAAGGATTGTTCATGCATATGCAAGTGTAACAGCTTTGGTTCTTTTCATGGTATGGTAATTCCATAGTAATGGTTGCTGATGACTTCTGGCTTTTTTGCAAGATTTTTTTTTTACTGCTTTAGGTGCATTTAGTAAGGCTTTATTGGTTTCAAGCAAGAATAATTTCAAAGTAGAATCCAACTTTTTCTGCATGTACTGATTTATTTTAATTTCAGATTGCTGCTAAGATCAACCCTGGTGCTTCACCTGTTGGACAGAAGAGGCCTCTTGAAGGAGACATGGATGGTCTTGGTATGTAGTGAGAGTGACATTGTAATCTGTGGTGATGGATATGCAAGCTGGTTTGTGATTGTCAAGCAGCTGCAATGCATGGTTGATTGTGTGGTGCAATCATCTGATTGCTGCTGCAATAGTATGCTATCAGTTTAATGGGCACAATCATGGTTGATTAATGCTCTATGCTGCTGATCTACAATCATCTCACCCAAAATAAATATTTTGTGATGAGTAGGAGTAAGGACTGTGATGACCACAGTTTTGTGGTTTGATAATATGGAAGGAGTCAATTTTACAGTACTGTATTGCATCCATTTGATGTTTAAGGTAGGAAATTATTTTGATGGATTATGTTGAATTTTACCATAGCATTTGCTTCCAACTGATGTAATAGCAGATACAAAAAAAAACTTAATCTGGGCTTTATAGTTTATACTGCATTCAGGAGGCAGGACTGAAGTGGTCTGTCTTTGTGGTCCTTTATTTCTCTTTCTCTGACAGGAATACTAGAATAAAAATAGCATGAATGGTTCGTACTACTTTTGTAATCTACTTCAAAACATTGGTATATATGTCAGTCAATTGTCGCCTATCAATGATGTAACAAGAATGTCAGATGTTGAATTAGCAGGTGACTATGGTTTGGAAATGTTTGTGGGAAATGCCTGTTTGCCTCCCCTGCTCGACAGCTCTGACCGGCGCGCCTCCGCCAGGTCCCGACGGTAAGCGTCCGGCAGGCCTGGGCGGCGACCAGTTCGGCGCCCCCGGCGGCGGCATGCCCCCGATGGGCGGCGGCGGCGCGCCGCCCATGGGCGCCGGACCGCCCATGGGCATGGGCGGCGGCGGCGTGCCTCCCATGGGCATGGGCGGCATGGCGGGCATCCCCAACATGGGCCTGGGCGGTGTGGAGACGGAGGAGATCAAGATCCCCGACCGGATGGTGGGACTGATCATCGGCCGCGGCGGCGAGTCCATCTCCCGGCTACAGACGGAGAGCGGCGCCAAGATCCAGATGTCACCCCAGTCCATGGACGGCAGTGTGGAGCGCACGTGCACACTGACCGGCTCCCGGCCGGCCATCGAGCGCGCCAAGGAGCTGATCGACGCCATCGTGGCGTCGCGCGCCAACGAGACGGGCCGCGACCGGATGGGTATGGGCGGCGGCGTAGGAGGAGGAGGAGGCCCCCGGCTCAGCGATATGATGGGCGAGCAGCCTGGTCAGAGCACCTCCGAGATGATGGTTCCCAGCTCCAAGGTCGGACTCATCATCGGTGAGTTATAATGCTCAGGTGGACTCGGGATATCAGACAGTGTGTATATGCTCAGCAGAAATAACAAACAGTACTTGGTGCTGCCATTTTCTCCTGAATGGTTGATATTTCATGACATTTATTGTGCTGAGTTCGTAAATTTGTGTAGATTATTTTAAACATTTTAGCAAGATTATTCTTCTGCGTCACAAAATCATGTTTCTGTACGTCTTTTCAATTACAACAATATTGTACATTTTCCTTTACGCTCGTCGGTCAGTTGTTACAGCTGTTTTCCATTTACCACAGGCAAGGGCGGCGAGACGATCAAGCAGCTGCAGGACAACAGCGGCTCCAAGATGGTGGTTGTGCAGGACGGCGAGTACGCCAACGCGCCCGAGAAGCCGCTCAGGATCACCGGAGACCCCAAACAGATCGAGGTGAGCTGCAGCCGACGAGTGAGGGTGGTCGATGGGGCGTGAGCGTGGACGGAGGTTTGAGAGTCTGACTGTGTGAGGGTGTTTGAGTGGGTGGTTGACATGCTGTGTGCCTGTGAAATATCTGGCTGCGTTAGGAATAGATGGCATGGGGTTCATCTTGGCTCAGTGAAGTCAATCCTCTTATGGGAAAATTGGTTGTGAGAGTCCATTCAACTACATTGAGCGCACTAGGCTCAGCCCAACTTTGTGCACCTACTTTTTATGAAGTAAAAGGCAAGCATTTGTTCCCGCGCCCGGGCCGCCGGCCGGCGTCTGTATATGCCCGTCGGCGCGCTCCCTCTATGGGCGCCAGACTATCAGCCGGGAGGATTCGCTAACGCCACAAGCTGCCCGTGAGGGTGGCCGGGAGTGGAGTTTGATAGTAGCCTCACCGACAACCGGAATTTTGGGACGAACGCTGTGTGTTGAAATTCGTTAATCCATAATCCTATCAATCCAGCATATTAAGTCTTCCAGTACACGGACAGCGCGTTCCTCTACTCGTATTCATTGCTCTCACCGTTAAGTTATTCTCTCGTTCGTGTTAACCCTCGCCCGCACATGGGGGGGGGGGGTGCCACCCCCCCCCAGGTAGTCTTTCTGCTCTGCACTCAACATTTTTAGAGCTAGAGGGCTGATTTTTCGTATAGCTGTTCCTCTATCCTTTCTTGATGTCCACTGAAAATTTCGAGTTTCTGTGGTTTTTGGTTTCGGGGATATGACCTTGTTTTTCAGGTCATGTCATGACCCAAATAGCCAATTTCCAACATCTTGCGTTGGTTATGGGCCTTGTGAGCTTTTGGCACCTTGATTTCGGCCTTTTTTGCCAGTCTTAGCTCCCACCTATCATGGAACATGTTGTTTGACGATGTACATATGTCAAGGTCAGGGTCAAGGTCAACCTAGGTCATCTAAGATAATTGCGTTTTAGGCAAGCGGAATTTACTTTTTGTGAAGTTTTTTGACTGCATTTTTGGTAAGGGCTTCTCAGACAGGGTTGGATAAAAGCCGGCTTAAATTGAATTTATGCCAGCCAGTGGTTTAAACCGGCTTAAACCGGCTTAAATTAATAAAAACCACCTTCAGTCAAAACATCTACTATAACTTATCTTGTGGGTCAGTGTACTCGTTGGTGACTGTGCAGACTGCAGAGTGCAGGAAGTCAATGCCGTGTCATTTTGTATTATGTCAACATGTTGGCATGTGATTATGTTGACAATCTGGTCAGTAGGTAACTAAGCTAAAAAGCAAAGTAGGTATAAGGCATAAGCACATTCTAATCTTAACATTCGGTTTACCAGTTGAAAGTCTCACTTTATTTTACATGTAAAATGTATTCTGACCAATCGTCTTGGGACTGGGCCAGTAACTTAACCCGCGCCCCGTAGGGGGGGGGCCGAAACGGCCCCCCCCCCTGTCCTTTTCGGTCGATATCTCCTAAACGGCTGGAGATATCGCCACCAAACTTTCAGGACCCCTCCGGGCATCAATTTTACACATTGTGACCAAAAATTTTCCAGAGGCTATGATAGGTTGGCCACAAATGACGTCAGAGTGACGTCATGTTCTATCATTTTCGACCGAAAAAAGACCTTCGCGAGAAGACCTGTCAGGACTACAGCTTTGAAGATACAGAAAAATGATCAAGACATAAAAGGTGTAGAATTGACAGGGCTACAAAACTGCTATCTCGAATTTTTGAAATTTTTGAGTTTTGACCCCCAAAAATCAAAAAAACATTTTTTTGGATAAATTCGCCAAAAAATCCAAAAAGTTTTTTGAGTTTCGAAAAAACCGGAATATATGTGATAGTGCCTACCATCTTCTATCTACATACCAAATTTCAGATCGATACCTCGTTTTTTGGCCAAGTTATAGCGAAAAAACTGTTCAAAAATGATGACGTCAAATTTTCAAACTCAATTTTTGGCAATTCTAAAACTCGTAGAGCAAAACGAAGACCACCATTAGACTCCCCGTGACGAGCTGCATCGAATCGATACCCATTTTATGCAAAAATATCAACTTTGAAATTTGACCTAATTTGACCTGACCTTGACCTGACCTTCACAAAAACGTGACCTAGGCTGGCCCCAAAGGCTGCCTAACCCACATAATTGCATTTGTCATGTAAAATGGACCATAAAACATGTATCACACGACACATTCATATTGTGACCCCGGTGACCTGACCTCGCTGTGACCTGACCTGGTATCAGTGACCTCAGATAGCAAAGTATGTGTTTGGCGAACAATGTACCATCGATGGTTTTCAACAAATTACCAATTTACTCGCTTTCACAGCACATTTCTTGAGTTGCCTGTGAACGGTGAAAATCTGACCTTTGACCTGACCTGTGACGTCATCGGTTTGACCTAGGTCAATGAAATTTGGTCACAAGGTAGTTCCCGGGTGGGGCTATCGAACGCCGTTTGAATTTTGAAAATCGGCCGGTAACTTTCCGAGATCTTAGGGGGGGCCGAAACGGCCCCCCCCCCCCCTACGGATGGTAGGGTCCGCCGGTAGCCCTACGGGGCGCGGGTTAACCCGCGCCCTGCTGGGGGGGGGGGTGTTTGAACACCCCCCTTGTGTTTTTTTGCGAATATCTCAAAAACGGGCCGTTTTTGGTACACCTTATCATACATCAATTCTACACATGTTGTGAAAATTTCAGACCAAGGTCATTCAAGGTCAGGTCACGAGGTCACTTGAAGTGACCTCACCTCATAAAAAGTTTCAATGTCTGCCATAGCTACACCGAGTGACCGATCGCATTGAAACTTTCAGCGATTGATAAGGGTAACAGTATCTATCAAATGTATATCTCGGAATTTTGATATCGGTGACCTAAGGTCAGGTCAATTTTGCGACCTCCCCATTATAAGTCAATGGGAGAAAATTAAAATGCGCCTCTTTTGGACGAAAGACATTATAAACACTCCCAAACACTGAATTACAAGTGGTTTAGACACACTGAACATGAAAATGGTGTCCGTGACCCCTATTTATGCCCCTGAGGTCATCTCAGGTCACGAATGGTGTCTATCAGTTTTTCGCAAATAACTTTTGATAGAGGCATGGTAGAGCGGTAAAAACGCCTTAGATGTGCTCGGCTTGACGATACGGATTGATTGATATGCAACATGACCCTTTCCGGTCAGGTCATGACCTTGACCTGAGGTCAAATTTTCAAGTTGACCTTTCAAGGTCAAGTTATAGTTCATTCGATGCGTCTTGACGAGAGGAACACGATGCCGGTAAAAGTAAGCTCGTACAAGGCTTGGGTCAAAAGTTATTGCAGAAAAACTGTTTCCGAAAAAATCGGTTATTTTTGCAGTTTTTGCCCCCTGCAGGCAAAACCGTTGACGTTAGGTCAAATCTGAGAGAATTACTCAGAAAGGGCGTTAATAGGGCTATCGAATGCGCTTTTCCGAGGCGCTGTAGCTTTATTGGTTCCCGAGTTATGCGTTGGCTTCCTGGAAATTGTCGACATTCGACCTGAAAATCGGCGAAATTTTGCCTTCAATGACCTCTGGTGACCTGACCTTTGACCTGACCAAAAAAGTGACCGAAGTGATTTCTTCATTATTTTTGGCGCTCTTTCGAACGCCGCCTTCCGCGTATCGCTACGTGGCCCAGGAGCCGAGTTAGAAGGGGGGGTGTGTTCAAACACCCCCCCCCCCTCCAGCAGGGCGTGGAAATCCAGGACCCCCAGCCGGGCGCGGGTTAAATATTTTTCATGGTATCACCCTTCCTGTGATTTTTTTAATTGCACAGGAAATAATTGTAACAACTCATCATTTATAAATCTGCTGGAATGTTCCTATGTTTTTTTTTTCAGGTAGTGCATGTTGTTTTCTTGGTATAGCAGTGTCCCTAACTAATCACACTTATTGTTGTTTTTACATGAACTTTGGAGCCTATAATGGTTGCCGTGCTGTCAATTCCTTTGTTTAGTGTCACTGACTGCTTAAGCAATAGACAGTTCCCTAGTAAATAGGCAATGTTCTGTATGATAGTTCTTAGGCCTTACCATTCACTGATCCTTGCACCATGCATTTGGCATTAGGTCATGTTTGCTACAGCTTCTCATAAAATTGAAATTGGTTTCTTTATTGAAGCTGTCTCCAAGACTTTTCATTCCATGAACCACCCATGTAAACAACTAGTTGTGTAAAACACTGCAAATCAAAATAAAGATTTGATACAGGGTGATACAGATCAGTAATGAATGACATCAAGTTAACCCCCAGGGGAAAAAACATTACAAGTTAGCATGTATAATTGAAAGGTGTGTATAGAAAATGTGAAGAGAAGAAGCAGTTTAACCCAAGTGATGTTACGACAAGTTAACGGAAGTGGCATTTATGTTGTATGTTATGTTGGTGCACACTGGTTTAAACCGGGGTGGCTTAAATTAGTTTATGCCAGCCGGTTTAATCCTTGGATTAAACCGGTTTAAACCGGCTGCTGGCATAAATTTGCCAACCAGACATGTGCATGGATCCGAGAGCTGGATCTATGATCTCAGTGGATCTCTCGACAAAATAGAGGGGTTGGATCTATGATCCGAGTGGATCTCTCGACAAAATTCAGGGATTGGATCTATGATCCGAATGGATCTCTCGACAAAATTTAGGGGTCAGATCTATGATCTCTGTGGATCCAGCGGGCAAAGATTTGTGGAGGACCTATGATCTGTATGGATCTCACGACAACATGTAGCCAATGAAACCCTTATCCTACATAATTGTACACCTTACAGTGCAATACAATTGAGAATTGTCACTTGTGGACACGGTTAAGACCAGTTTGTAATCATTAGGTATCATCATTAAATTTGAATTTAAATCAACATTTGTACTACATTTAAAATAAACCAAGAGCATGCACATTGCTACTTTTTGTGACCAATTGTAACTTTTTCATGACAGCACCGTAAAACGGGGCGACTTTGGACAGTTTTGAGACTTATCGGTGAATATCTTGAAAACTACTGTAGATAGAAATGTGAAACATGGACTATTTTGTGGGCTGAGTCTGGCCTTATCCATCCATGGTGTCAACAAAAAATTAGGTATAACCATTTCCCTATTTTTTAAAAAAATGTCTGGTGTTCAAAGTCACTATGCAATGGGGTGACTTTGAACAGTCTGTGTTTTTCATCATTTATCTCATTAGGTGTGCAATTCCTCGTGCCGGTTGGGGTGGCTTTGAACACCCTGATGCTTTTTAAAAAAGAGGCCAAAAACAATTTATACCTCCAAAAGTCCTTCTGGGGGTAGTACTCAAAACAAGGCGAGCTCATCAAGCAAAAAACACAACTTCTTGTAACAGTCTCTGCTGATGAATCAAACACCATATTCACAGAAATTAGCACACAGACAGTGAGTAAAAAGAAGCATCTTTCATGGCAAACACCTTACTTACTCACCTTAACACTTGCATAGGCACTGTGGAGCAACACTCACAGGATATGAAATCACTCGATTCAACTCAACTCAAGTGTAATGCATGCACTCGACTAGGTCTGTGCATGAAATACACCTGAGAACACCTGAGTACAGAGTATCCTTGGACACAGTTAACACTTGACACCCGACTTAACACCTTAATACTAACACTTAACCCTATTAGTGGCAGGCTCCTGGCTACCCCATATTAGTGGCAGGGGGGGGGGGGCTGTTTACGACCCCCCCTTGATATCTCGAGATCTAACCGGCCGATTTTCAAAATTCAAACGGCATTCGATTTGGCTCAACGAGATCTACATTTCTAAAAAAAATAAAATTAAAAATGTCAATAGGGGGGTAGAGGGGGGTAAAAACGGGCAAATTGCAGATACATTTTAGACTGTTTATCACGGCCAGGTTTCTGAACCAATCTTAACGCAACTTTTGCCGATCGATAGAGAATGAACCAGGAATTCACATGGATCCTAAAAATATGCATTTTCAAAAATCATAGGCGGATACAGATCATTGAGATTGGGGGTACACAAAAAGTATAGTAAATAAGGTTTTTGTTGGTACTGTTTCTAAAAAGGGTGGCAATGGTCTTGTTATGTTACAATTTTCTTATGAGAGAACGACTTAAATTGTATTGGTCATGCATAGGCGGTGTCAGGGCACCTATGTTGGGAGGTAAAAAATAACCCCCCTTTTTGGACGCCTGGATCCGCCTATTATAGCAAAAACGTGTCAAAAGAGGATGCACAATAACTTTGTATATGTTATCACATGATACCTTTCATTCACTGTTCGTAAAACTGGTGCAGCATCGTGATCTTCGCCCAAATGACTCGCTTCACGAATAGGACCCCCAATTCCCAGTGCTCTGGAGCCGCCCCTGGTAAAGTTATGAACTTGAAATTTTCAGGGAATGTGCCCAATTTAGTTTTAGAAAAAGTCAGAAAATTTCAGCATCGTAGCTTCAGCGGTTTCGGAGATATTCCCGAAAAACCTGAGGGGTGGATAAAAACAACCCCCCCTGCCACTAATAGGGTTAACACTAGGTTACACCTGCTAGCGTCAGAACACGTCAGTCATGAGTTTACCCCAGCATCAGTTTGTATGGTGAGAGCTCCTCACTCTTGAAGTGGAGCCTGCCCCTCCTGTCCATGTCAGGCTGGCTTAGCCTGCACACCAGCTGGTCGATCTCTGTTACATCCCTATCTTGCTTCTCTGGCCAATGTATGCAGTGTATGCAGAATGTATGCAGTGTATTTCGGTAGGGTTACTTTGAACAACAAGTCTTTTGAACAACAAGTCAGGCATGCATGTCACCGGGGCTACATTGAACACGTTCAAAGTCACCCCAGCGAAGTTCCAAAAATGTCATGCTTTTACAAATCCCTTCACAGCATTGGCCATGCTCAAGCAAGCTAAAAAATTATGATGGGGCAATATAGGCCAACCATCGAGGATGGCAAAAATATGTCATTCCGTTCCATGACCATAATGACTAGCCTATGCCATATGAAAGTTTACGGGTATATCTCAAAAAGCTAAAATCATTGAGTTAGTTTTTGATTTTTTACTCCTGTGTACTAAGGTATATATCTTCCAATATGTCATGTACATTTTCAAAAATGTGCATTCTTATCTAACAAAAAACATGGCTGCATTTATAATTAACATTTTTAAGATATTTGTGATTCCCTCCAAGAAGTGAACGGCGTTCAAAGTCACCCGGAAGTTCAAAGCCACCCCAGTTTACGGCACTGATAACAATCTTATCAACAAGCTACAGCCACTTTAATTCAATGAACAAACAGTACAGAGTACAGACAGATGCAGTGGCAGCGGGGCACTGCAGATTTTCATTTTGGTCCCATTCTTTCCATGCAACGCCAGTAGGGCTTATGTTAAAATGCCAAAATCTATGGGGGGCACTGTACCCTGGTGCCACCCCCCCCCCCCTGTTCCGTCGCCTATGGACAAATGTTAGGAAATCAAACCTGGAAGCCAAATAGGTCAGTTTTGTTAAAAATAATCCAGCAATCCAATTTTGCCAGGTATGAAATCCCAATCCAGAATGTTGAAATGAGTATGTGCAACACAATTTCGATTTAGTAAGAATAGCAACCAACCTCTAATACTTACCTAAAAAAATTACAAGTTCAAAAATGGCATCAACGTCTTCAGATTACCTACTTTTGGCGCTTTTGGCATCGTGCCACGTGTGGTGCCATGCTGTGCTTTCGTTATGAGAGAGCCTCCCAAAAAAGACAAACGAAATTCACAGCCCACGTTTTGGTAATATTGTTTTATTACGTCATTATCGTTTGACCAATGAAAAATCTTAATTTGACTAAAACCGTAATGATTTCTAAAGATTCCCCGTAATAGGCCCTTCAAACTAATGACGTAAGATATTGTGATTCTTTTGAAAAGTGAATAAAATAAAGATGCAAGGCACACAACCGGCTCAGGGCCATATAATACCGTTTCAGCTTACGTTTACGTCATTAAATTCAACGCTACAAAGATGATATTCACAAACAATCGTATCGTAAAATTATGTGAGGCAGAAAAAAATGAACATACTTTTGAAGAAACTCCAGACTTTTGAATTTCCAGTTTGATTTTTTATTTATTTTCATTATACTCGAAGGTAGAACGCTTAGCTCATTTGTTGTTTGAAATGACGTCACGAGTTCTATTTAGATACTGAATAATCATTTTACGGTAAATATCCAAGGCAATTACAATTGATGTTTCGCTTCCCATCGCTTCCGCAGGCTGTTGAATATTTTTATACTTTTGTTTATCCCCGCGTTCGATGTCTCTCGGACGACGAAGATTCTACGTCGTCTGGCCAATCCCGTCCAAGGTCAGCGGGGGCTCGGCTGCGGTTATGGAACGTGATTGGCCGGACGGCGTAGAATCTTCGTCGTCTGAGAGACATCGAACGCGGGGTATATCTCAGTTTATTTTATCAAATATTTCTTTCAATAGATTGAAATGCCTTTAACTAACCAAGCCACATGTGTCAGTATCATCTTTTATTGTTTATCAATCAATTGTGTTAGCTGGAAACTGGAAAGCCTCACATTAGACAACCATGAGGCCCTCATGGTTGTCTAATGCAAGATTGTCTTATCAATATCATTATGTAGATTCTAACATAAATTGTGATGTGGTAGGTAATTAGTAATGTATTGTTCATTAGTCATTACTTTGACTTACCTCTATGTTAATTGTTAATGCAAACTTTTCTGTTGGTATGTGAACAATCTTCATGTCACTCAATTCTCTCAAGTTGTGACCGTCATGAGCCTCCTTTATTTTGTATTCTGTATAATGAAACTGGATGCCTTTACTAATATGGCCTTTGTATAAGATTGTTTGTTTCTAACCATACTTTGGTATTCATAACTTCTTATGAAAGAAAGTTGTTAACATTTTGAGCACCTATGAGCTATGATCCCAATGGATCTCACGACAAAATTGGGGAGCCAGATCTATGATCCGAGTGGATCTAGCGACAAAATTGAAGGGTCAGATCTATGATCCCAGTAGATCTCTCGACAAAATTGAGGGGTTGGATCTATGATCTGAATGGATCTCGGATCGGGATCCATGGGATCGGATCTCAGATCCATTTTTCCGGATCCAAGCACATGTCTGTTGCCAACCCTGTTCTCAGATCATGATTTCATGCAATATGGACACAAACAATCGGTGCACACATCAGTATACAGACAGACACACACAGACATACAAACACATATAATTGACCTTGACCTAACTTGACCTGAAATGACCTCAGCAGCAAAAACCTGGTCGGGTAGTGTGACGAAGAGGTTCTAGCTGGCTTGGCACCAGAATACGGCATCGTCATCGGTATATGATAAGCAGTGCACTTGATATCCAACGGTGACCCAAAACAGCACCATTTTTTAGTTTGACCTGACCTGGAAGTTCAAGGACTGACCTGAGAAGGTAAAACTGGGTATCATTGGATTTGTCTCTTCCCAAAGAATCTTTTTGGTCTTTACCGCTAAGCTCTATCTCCAACAGGAACGAAATGGCGCGGGGGGGGGGGTGGCAACCCCCCCCCCCCCCATGTGCGTTCCAGGATGGGAAAATGGCATGTGCGGGCGAGGGTTAAAATGGACATTCCAACCTGCATTCACTCCCAACCTTTCTTCCCGTTTTAACATTTTGCATAACGTTTATAAGCTCCAGCCTCCAACATTCCTCATTATTTTTGATCACCCACATAGCAGGAGAAAAATAACGTGCCCCCTCGTTTGTCCCACAGCGTGCCAAGCAGCTCGTGTTCGACCTGATGGCCGAAAAGGACAACTACGGTCCCGGTGGCGGCGGCGGCGGTGGCGGACGCAACTTCGGCCGAGGCGGCGGCTTCGGCACCACCTCGCAGGAGGTACGGGTCGGGGAAGGTGTGGGAGATTTGGGGAGGGAGATGGGGAACCGTCTGAGTTCTGGGTGTCCGGCTGGAGGAGAAGGGTGCAGTGGAGTCAGGCTGACGTTTTGGAATCAGATTGTGTTGTTTAACAGTCTGATGTCATAAGCTAAGCATTTTGCGTAGTATTGTTCAATTTGATGAGGTAAAAATAGTGAAATCACAGCTGGCATTCTACTTCCTCAGCGCTTTTCGTTCGCTGCCTTTCTACTCTCCCTCCCTTCTGAACTCTGTGTGCCACCATTTTGGTCTGCCGGGGCTGTCTCGGTCCGGTCGGACGGCCGATATTATCTCTCCCCTCCCTACCGCCTCCCGCCTCGGTCGGCTAGAGGGGATGGGAGGAGGAGAGAGGGACGGACCGAGGTGAAACGGACGCTCCGCGGCGGCGGAGGACCGGCCCCCCAGGACCAGTTATGGCTCCGGTGGAGCAGAGCGGTCGTTGACACCTGCAACCGGTCCTTATTAGGGGGGGGGGGATGGTGGGAGCTGAACGCGAGCGGCGGGGAAGGGAAGTATGGGAGAGCACGTTAAACTGCTTAGTGTAAGGGATCTGTGTGGAGCAAGATCAGGTTTTCGGCCTGGAACTTGCGCGGTCTACTGAAGCCCCCCCCCCCCCTCCCTCCCCATAAATGTAGATGCCTGATATTTGTAATGCAGATAGAGCCAGATTTCCGACCACAAGTCTTCTGGTACTCTACCCCTGCTATATCAACCTGATATGAATCTCGCGTGTGTACGAGCTTGGGCTCGAATACCTGAGAGTGGATTCAGTACATTACGATTTATCATTTATGTATAGTCGACTACAGAATGATGTTCCACTCCTCAGAAGCTGTCAGTTGACCGGAGCGCTAAGTTGTGCCGTTTATCACGCAATTAAGCGTGTCGACTGTCGATTGTGAGCATTGGGACATAGCTATAATTTGTGAACTCAGCCCGTGTGATGCGGCACAGCCTGCCACTCCAGGCAAATAATTGCCAGTGGAAAGTGGAACATCATTATGTAGTCGGCTATACCGTGGTATGCGTCATCAGTTTCATAGCTCCGCTCACTCCACTGACCACTAGGGTGAACGTTTGATCGAGGGATGGGTGGCGTGGTCCCGCGTGGTCTAGTGGCTAGGATATCTGGCTTTCACCCAGAAGGCCCGGGTTCGATTCCCGGCGCGGGAGTCATTTTCGCTGTACTCTCAACCCTTTCACCGAAAATGACTGCTTTCCTGGACGGCCCGACGCATCGCCACCGGCTCATGACCTCACACGCCTTCAGATCACCGTAATCCGACCTCTGACCTGACCTCTTTCCCCTCAGGTGACCGTGCCCCAGGCGGCTGTCGGCGTCGTCATCGGCAAAGGCGGCGAAATGATCAAGAAAGTCCAAAACGACACCGGCGCCAACATCCAGTTTCAGCAGAACATCTCTGGCCGTAACGAGCGTCTAGCCACGGTCACCGGCACGCCGGACCAGATCGAGCACGCTAAGGTCATCATCAACGACCTGATCGAGAGTGTGATGAAGCGGGACCAGATGGGAGGCCGCGGCGGCGGCGGCGGCTGGGGCGGCCCCGGTGGACCGGGGGGCTACGGCCGCGGACCAGGCGGTCCCATGGGCCGCGACGGAAAACCAGACGTGAGTATAACACGCGACGGTGAAGGGGTTGAGTGTTGGCAGTGTTCGGAGCGCTGCAGAATATAGAGCCAGATTTCCGACCACAAGTCTTCTGGTACTCTACCCCTGCTATATCAAACTGATGTGAATCTCGCGTGTATACGAGCTTGGGCTCGAATACCTGAGAGTGAAGCCAGTACATTACCCTTCTTATACCGCGCGTTACGTCTGTCAATTTCGTAGCTCCTTATTCGACTTTGGTAGATAACATGAATAGGCTATAGCTGTCGCTTAGATAGCTTAGCTGTCGTTTAAGAACAACTATCGTAAGATGCTGTCACTATGAGTGATGTGAACACTGCCTGGTGCCCGCTCCCGGTCCGCTGTGTGACCGCTCCTCTCGGTGCCGGCAGATGGGTCCCGGCGGGCCGCCGTTCGGAGGGCCGGGCGGCCCGGGCCCGGGCGGACCGTACCCGCCACAGGGCTGGGGCGGCAACTTCCACCAGCCGGGCGTCTGGGGCCAGCCGCAGCAGCCGGATCCGGGTAAACAGGGCGCCGGCGCCGACACCGGCGGCTGGAACAGCTACTACGGATCTCAGTACTACGGCGGAGCAGGGGCCACCCCGCACTCCCAGAGCGGGACAGGTTAGACGCGCCGGGCGCACTCACATGCACTGACAGATACACAGGCAGACGCAGATACAGAGATACACAGGACAGACATAGACAGGCACACGACACTTACGCAGACGGGCAGGCAGGCCGACGTGGCTAACTGGTACCACAGATGCTAGCCGCGCCGGGCGCACAGATACATATAAAAACACAAACGATAGACAGCTGCAGTGACATATGGATGCAAATTTAGGATACACTTAAAAGTTGTAGGGACAAAATAATCGTTCAGAGGAATGACAGTCGTAGGGAGCAGCCTGAAGCGATTTTCGACATTTTTCAACTTTGCTGAATACTTTCCCACTGTTCCGTCCGTAAAATGCACAAAAACACAAAGCAAGGTCAACAACGTTCAATTAATAGAAGCTTTACCTTGCCCTCTTTCGTAAAAAAAGTTGAGAATAAAAGGAAAAAAGTTAAGTTTTTTTTTTGTCCGAAAGGTCATATACACAGTGCACAGTACAGACGCACCAATTCCATATTCATTTAATGGCATGCGATAGAATGTACATGTACATAAATCGAACAAGTCAAAAAAAAAAATGTACAGCAATATTGCCTAACCGTAAATAGTTCACCCGAATAACACTAGTCAATTTCTCCCCCACGCTCTAACAGTACGCAAAAACTGCTTTATGTAGCGCCAGTCTTGTAGTCCAGCTAGTTGAGGCCTCTATTTCTCTTCTCCTTCTCGGCTATAGCATTGTCGATGCTGTCTCAGTTGGACGATTCAGCCTACAATCTAAGAAGATCAGAAGGCTGGCGTGGGGCCTCGGGCGATTTACACCGTGGCTAGTGGATGAAGGGGCAAATAGCCGTTTCTTCGGGCATTTTCTGGTGTTCCGGCTGGCGTGGGGTTACAACATCTTCGGTCACCTTTCCACACCGAACTGGGTTGGTGGGTTGGAGTGGCGGCATGGGCCTTATTGCATCATTGAGGTAAGTGTAAAATGTCGGCTCATCTTCCACCAGTATCGACTGGGTATCGTCGGCTGCTGAGGCCTCCAAAAAGGTCAGTTCTTTCAATGACGTTTCAGTGTACTGTGACCTGTTCTTGGCGTTCGTGTCGCGGCAGAAAGTAAGTGCATGCACGCGTGTATCCGGCATTCGATTTTTGTTGTCGTGTATTATTGTGTTCTAAGGATGTTTTACAAGGGTTTGTCCTCATGCTTAATTTATCTGTCTCCGCTCCTACATTCATTCATCGGCGTTGCACTTGTAAATCTGTCCCGCTTTGTAAGCTTTTAGTTTTGTTTCGTTTTACTGATTTGCATGCGTAGTATTTATATTTCGTTCAGCCTTCGCCGTTGACGCTCAAGTCAGTGACCTGAATCGCTCTCATTTTCTCTCAGTTTACGCACACCTCCCTCTCCCCCCTCCCTCCTCTAACTCGGCTCTCTCTCCGCACCCCGGCAGTGAACCAGCCGATGAACCCTGGCGGCGGCGCGCCCGGCGGCGGACAGCCCGACTACAGCGCACAGTGGGCCGAGTACTACCGCAGCATGGGCATGCACCGCGAGGCGGACGCCATCGAACAGCAGAGCAAGGCCAAGGCGGCCGGCGGCGGCCCGATGCCCGGCCAGCAGCCCCAGCCGCAGCCCCAGCAGCCGCAGCAGCAGCAGCAGCCGCAGGCGCAGCCGGCCGCCAACGGGGCCGGCGGCGGCCAGCCCGACTACAGCGCACAGTGGGTGGAGTACTACCGCTCACAGGGCATGATCGCCGAGGCCGAGAAACTCGAACAGCAAATCAAATCGTCAAAGGTGAGTGGGAGCGGCGGAATGCACGTCCGGTCTTTCGCCTCTCTCTCTCTCTCTCTCTCTCTCTCTCTCTCTCTCTCTCTCTCTCTCTCTCTCTCTCTCCCTCTCTCTCTCTCTCACCTCTCCCTCCCTCCTTGCTTTCTATTTTCTCCCGCCCCTATGTCCCCTATGCAGAATATAGAGCCAGGCTTCTGACCACAGGATTTCTGGTACTCTACCCCTGCTATATTAACTCTGGTTGAACTCGCTGGTTTCTGCGTCACAGCGGATGCCGGAAATCTAATCAGAACATAGCTACCACAAATTGAAGTCTTACGATTGTTCTCCAGATGTTTGATAACCATCGATTAGCATAGTATGTTATGTTGGGGCAGATTTTATGGGTGTTTGTGGACGATTTGAACTGATTGCCTTGTGTTTTGTTCCATGCGGTTCCTCTGTCTTGTTGCTGTATTCTGCGCGCCGTTATAACGTCTCTCCCCTCCGTTTCCAGCAGGCTCAGGGCGGTGCGCCGCAGCAGCCCCAGCAGCCGCAGCAGCCAGCCGGCGCTCCGGCCGGCGGCGGCTACGGCCAGCCCCAACAGTACGGCGCCTACGGCGGTGGCTACGGCGGAGCGGGCGGCTACGGCGGACAGTACGGCGGGTACCCCGGCGCAGGAGACAACTAGGCGCCCGGACCGAGACCGTGACTTTGTGACGGTGAGTGATGATGGGGTGGGATGGGTGGAAAGGTAACGTAACGGGGAGGAAAGTAACGTAACAAGAGGCGGATGAGGGAAGTTTACGTGCAGCGTGGGCCTTGTTAGAGTAATTGGATGGGAATTAGGGGTGGGATTGGCAGTCATGAGGCCACGCTTTGCTTGATATCTTCAGGGGTTTCTCGTCGCGAATGAACTGTTCGTATTTGTGTGTGCGGGCGGGAGGGACAGCCACAGCGGCCGGCGCCGTCCGTCCTCCGGCCTCCTCTGGCGCAGCAGAGTCGGGCACCGCCGCCGGCCTATCGGTAAGTGACCGCCGCCCGCCGCGGCGCGGCTCTGACCCTCCTCTTCCAGGCGTTCCAGGCCCGGCGGCGCCGCTATAAACCCTGTTCACTCTGCTTTCAGATTTGCCACGTGTAGCCCTGATCGAAATGAGCGTGCGTTCACTTGTCTCTGCTGAGGTGTCATTGTTGGTGTGTGCCGCTGAGAAGGACAGACGGCCGGCCGGCCGGCCGGCAGCGTCACCGGCCGCCTCCCATCGTCACATGCGTGTGTGTATCAAACTGTACAACTGAGTGTCTGGACGCCGCGCGTACGCTGCTGCTATGTCGCTGCTCTGCTACTGATCGCCGCAATGTTCCGTTTTTGTTTAACTTGTCGCCCACTCGGGAGCGGAGCAGAACCTTCGGCGCGGCGGCTGCGGCTGCCCTGCGCCACGGGAGAGAAGGGGTGTCCCAGCCGGCCACAGACTGAGGGACCGCCGCGCGCCGAGCGACGAAGTTCCAGCGTGGTTGTCGGGTGCCGCCGCTAGCTATTATCGTTTGACTGGTTTGGAGTGAGTGCTGCTCGATTGTCGACTGTGCAGGATGCCGTCCTCTGCCAGGGTGGAGGTCGGTGCGGGGTGTTGGGGGGCGTCAGGCATGTCACCCGTGTGTGTCCTTTGGTGTGGACCGACCGGCCTCGGCCCCGACATCCCGACAATTCCGAGGCGTCGCCTGGGCCATCTCCCGCCCTCCCAGACTTTGTGAATCGTCAGCAGGACGGCCGCCGGACTCGTATCGGGTTCCGGGTGGCCAGGGGGTGTGGGGATCAGACATTCGCCCGTCCCAGGCCTTGTTGGACAGAATCCCCACCCCCTGCCCTACTCAGAGAGGTACACGGGTGCTGGACGGTCCCCGACATGTCTGGTGGAGTGCCGTATATCGTGTCCACTCGTCCGTCTGTTCCAGAACTCCGGGCTGGTCGACGGCAGGGCCCGGTAAAGTATGTCACGTCGCATTGTTCCATCTGAATGACACGTCACTCATAAAAACCGTCACTGCTCATCCAAAATGCCCCCCTGCTCGTCTGAAAGTCGTCTGCTTGCCTCGCTATCTGACGTTGAAACACGACAGTGTTTTCCATGGTTGCTGAATATTTGAAAATCGCCAGTGTTCGCCATGCCATGAACTGTTGCTGGTGTCCAATCGCCACTGTTTGCTGATTTCCAAAATCGCTGCTGCCTGCCCCTATTCGCCACTGTTCACTGGTGTCCAAATTCGCCACTGATCTCGTGTCCAAAAGTCGTCCGTTTGCCAATCGCAAATCGCCACTGTTAATGGGTTCAAAATCGCTATTGTTTGCCATTGTCCCAACTTGCCTACTGTCCACTGGTGTTCAGATTTGCTACTGTTCGCTAGTGTCCAAATTCGCTACTGTTCACTAGTGTTCAGGTTCGCCACTGTTCGCTACTGTTCATACTCTCTGCTGTATTCCAAACTCGCTGGTTTCCTCTATAGTCAGGTACTTGCATTGTCCCCTTCTCTGGCTCTGTAATTGCTCCTCTCCCGTGTACGTAGTCCCTCGCTGCATGCCCCCTCGATCCTGGCTCCGGTGTGGGTGTGTGCCGCACGGGCACGGCTAGCTCCGAGCCTGGCTCACTGTCTGAACTCCGCCGTTTGTCTGTCTGTCTGTTGACCGATAACCGACGCCGAGCACATCTCCGGAGAGAGAGAGAGCGCCCGCCCGCGGCACAGAGAGCGCGAGAGAGAGCCAGGGGCGCAGTGGCCACCGGCAGGCACCCTGCACCCGTCGCCCGGTCAGGTAAAACGGACCGACTGTCCCTAACTCCGCCTCCTGCCGTCCCAGGGTTCGTTGGACTTGTGTCGCTCCTGTGTATGTAATCAGCCGTGTATATTGTGTCCCGTGACCTGACCTGACCTGATCCCGATGTGTGACCTGGGGTGAGGATGACATGCTTGGCACCTGACAACCACGCTCAGACGAGGTTTTCTACGGTCTTAGCTCGAATTCGTGTCTCTTGGAATGTAATTGGCGTGTTCGTTTAATCAGTGTAACAACCATTGTCGTCGCTTCATGCATCTTGCGTATGTTTTCGACCGTTTATTTGGAGTCTTTCATACACGGAAATTGTAATTGCCTGTTTATGTTGGTCGTTGCTGGGTAGGGTTTGCCTTGCGCGGAAATACAGGAGGTTCTTTGGTAATAAAGCTCCATCACGACAATATTCCGAGTTTTCGTGACTGAGAAGGCGACCGTGCGTTGTCATTGGCACTGTAATATATCAATACACTTGTGAAGAGCTAATGCGTGTTTTTGGTTCCATCCGAAGAGTGAGCAGAGGTGAGACCATCTGCTTTCCTTTGAGGGGAGGGGGGGGGGCTTGGAGCTCTGTTCGTGAACGAAGATCAAAGCCGGCGGTAGCTAGCAACGGGTGATATCCATGAGGAAGGGCGGGAATCATTTCAAGCTTTGGGCATCGGACAAGGCGAATACTCTTCCGCGTCAAATTTAGTTTCAGGGAAATACCGCTATTCTGCTAAATGCGAGTTCAAAATTAGTGCCAAGTAGCGGCGTTGCTTCATGGGTGCTCGTAGCCCTTCAACAATCCCGTGCGATGACAATGAACGATGTATTCATTTCCTACATGCTTTTGAGAACAAAACACAATGACTGGCTCATGTAAACTGTTTGATCATGATGACCCAGATGAACACGTATCGCGGAACGACAATGCCCTGACGGCGGCTGCCGCCGTAAATGTTTGTGCCGCCGGTACTTAACCGTGCCGCCGTATCGGTACGCCGGTACATGCACTTAATATTCCACACACGTGGTACACGAACACCAATTGGTTGACGCGTCAGGTAACTGATCAGGAGTGGACGGGGGCGCACAAGCATCCATGCCTCAAGACGATCGGCAGAGCTACACACTGGTTGGGGACACGTTCCAACAACCGCTCGCTCTTTTGTGGGGGATGCCATTATCAGCACACTTCCCTACATCACACGTCTGCCCCCCCCCCTTGAAAGCCCTCCCCTCCCCGTTACACCAGCATGTCTCCCCACTGCACCACACCCCCCGCCACCGCGGGATACACCTCTCCCTCGGGACAGATTTTCGAGTGGTTCCTCAGCGACTGTTTGCTGCTCAGTCCCTTGCCGCACATGACACATTTGAACGGTTTGTAGCCGGTATGACTGGCCTGATGGCGCCGCAGCCGGCTGCTGCTCTTGAAGGTGACGTCACAGCGCTCGCAGGTGAACTTGGCCGGGCGACGGTGTACCACGATCTTGTGCTGGGACTTCTTGAGCTGGGGACAGGGTGGGATGGAGGACAGGTAATGCCGAGTGCGAGACAGAAAATACACGGCTAGCACCGCGTAAAAGTACAATGCTCATTAAAATTACTGACACTAGTGATGTATCGAAAACCATTGCAATCTCAGGCTACTGAAACATTGGCCGAACAAATATTTTACTTCTATCTACTACGCTGGGCTACGTGATAAATCGAAAAAGTCGAGAACAAAAAGCGGCAAAAGCAATATTTAATCACAACTTGTTATAGCGATTTATCCCCTCGTAACCTCAAACCATCCGTAGGTTTGATGGTAGGCATCCGCAGGTGCCTGCCCTCCCCTGACCTCCAACCCTTCACTCTTCCTGTCCGTTCCACTCACCAAACTTTTGAACTCCAAGCCGCACAGTTCACACCGGTGCCGCCTCCCTCCATGACTGTCCATGTGGTTATGGTACCGGCTGCTCGTGTACGCCTTGTAGCCACAGATCGAACACACGTGGCTGGGCAGCTTCAGGTGGCCCCTGACGTGATCCACGAGTGTGCGGAAGGTGCTGGTGCGCAGCTCGCACTGGCCACATCGGAACGTGCGCCGGTCGTGGCGCTCGGTGTGTTCCGCCATCGACTGCGCGTCGCGGGTCCTGAGGCAGGGGAGGGGAGATGACGGGTCAAATTTATACACACATCCACACCCGACAAATGAGTTACCAGAGGGAGAGTAAGATATTCGGATGCACATGGAGGTCAGCTTTCGATTGTTGCAGCGGGATGCCATTAAAATCAAGCACAGCACACCGGTCAATATTGTTCTACACGGCCTCTTGTTGTAGTTAGCCACATTAGCACGCTGCGTTCAGTAGACACTCATACGACGGACAAACACATAGCGCAGCTACCGAAACACATGGTGCCAACCAGATGCCCATACGGCGTGGAGGATTCGCCAGACCAACACTCTACGGGTGTAGACAAAAAAAAAAAACTACGTGAAATGAAAGTACCTCAGCTGTCCAATAACGTTCAATCTCTTCATTCAACAAAGGCCGCATGGCTTCCCAAACGAAATCCTGGCTTTGTTCTGACGCAAACTTCCTCCTTACTCACCGCAGTCTCAGATAGGCTATCTTATCAACACTCCCTCCAAGCCCAAACAACTCCGGTGACCCCGGCAGCGCGGGTCAACGGCCATTTGGCGTCCCGTCAGTAGCTGTCCATAACACACATGGACCGGTCGGTCGGACGGCGGTGGCAGGCTGCCAGCGGGCGTCATGGGCGGCGATAGATGGGAGGGATGGGGGGGGGGGGGGGACAGGTGAGGCGGAGAAGAATGGAGCTTTGTGTGGGACAGAAGGGGCGGGGACCGGGTTCGGGACATGTCAGAAAAAACGACGATCTATAATTACACGGAAGCGTCATGACTAACGTCTCGTGGCGCCCGTTCGCCGGTTTGGGAATGCGTCACACCCACAGAACCTTAACGTCTCAACCATCCAACCCACCTACAAGGCCCGCTCACCTCGATCAACCCCCACTCTTCTCACCTGAAGTTAGGACAGACGTTGCACGCGTACACGTACTCCGTGTAGTGTATCATCAGGTGTCTGATATACACCTGCTGTCCCCGCACATCAAGTTCACACACCGGACACTCAAAGCTGGGCATTATCGAGCCGGGGTGTTTCTCTGTCACGTGACACTCCAGCTCCAGCACCGACGGCAGCTCCGCGCCACACACGTCGCACACGTGCGGCGCCCGCTCCGAACCTTCCCGGCACGTGGCGTGCGCACGTGCCACGTGCAGCGTCAGTTTGTTACGTTTGGCGTTTTCGTTCACGGAGCCCACGCTTTGGCAGAGTGAGCAGTGTGCGAAGTCTGGCTCGCGCTTGGTGGTGATGCATGCGGTAGGAGAGCGCTGACGGGTGTCTGGGTGCCTGTGGGGAGGAGAGAGAAAGAGCGGGGAGCGAGCTGTGAGCAAAAAAAGCGGTTCGTTGTCGAATTTCGACCATAGTCAGCGCAATGGTTAAACCTATGTTACCTATTTGTAGTTCAGTCATGTAGTGTACCTTTTGTTTCTTTGTTTATTCCATCAATCATCCATAGGCACACACCCAATGACGGATGAAGTCATTCAGAAGTCATTCATTCATCATACCTACTAATAAAATTCAGCCTTCTCGCTTGTCTACAAGACAAATGTTGTCCTGAATCTATCGCAGACGATGTAAATATTTATACGCACACTAACTACGATAATTAACCGCATCGCTTATTCACAGATTCTCTTCTCAGAAACCCGACATCAGCACACCAGTAAGCCTTTCCACTTCTGCTAGCCTCTACCCAGCACCCACATTGGCCACATTGAAACTCCCCACTGGGTTACTCACTCCAGCCAGAAGTGGGCGGCCACCTCCGTCCTGCTGCTGAATCCTATCTTATCACAGAGGGCGCAGCCGCATTCCTTCAGCAGGGGCGCCTCGGAGGGTACGTCGGGTATCGGGGACACCTCGTCCCACGGCAGAGGGGCCGGCGCGATCGACTCGGGCCGATCACTGCGGGGGAGCGGAGAGAGGCCAGAGAGGGTCACAGAGGGGTCACCAGTCAGGTGAGGGCGAGGCATCGCCAGAAAGAAATATATTTTTTTCCTATAATCATCAACGGGGATACGCAAAGGACAGATTGAGTCATGTTTGGTAATGGTGAGTACGAATAAGCCTACAGTGCGATTTTTAGTTAATTGAACAACTGTCGAGGGAAGTGTTATTTTTATGTGAACCTGATAGATCTAACAATTCGTTTTTCCTATCTACACAGACAAGTGAGAAAATTCCAATTTTTCATAACCGTCCAATGACCAGCCAGACAACGTTTTCTCCTTTTTCGGATTATCCCGCCGTTTCGTTCCCTTCTCACCAGAAGTTGACCAGGCGGACACCTTCGAGCGGCATCGTCTGTAGGCGAAGCACGGCCTCCCTCCACAGCATACCGTCTACAACACGCGAGTCTCCGTCCTAGGGGATCAAAGAACGACCGTCAGACGCGAAAGAACCACTGACAGACGTGAAACGCACAGCATCTAGTCAAATACATGCGACTCACTGCTCGTCCTGGGGACTACAGAACCACAATGAGACGTGAAACGTACATCAGTCGCACACAGCCCGCAAGTGATCGTGCCGGGGACCGCGCAATCGTACGACAAACTACAGGCTACAACTTGAAACGTACCGCGCTGAATGATACATCAGCCATGAAAGACTAGCAACTATATAGCAAGGGGTGCAGGCATAGCCGAAACATACCGTCAATAACGTGACACTTATCATGTAACATATGAAATTAAACGCGAAACGTGAAATAATTTGTCTTGCTTATCCACCTTATCATTTCATAATGAAACGTACCATTTTTCCAACAGCTGCAGGCTGCAGCTAACATGTATATGCTCATTGCATTGCTCACATTGACAATTAACCTAGTGAACTTACCGCAGAGAAGGGGCATCGGAATCTCATCCTGGGACGAACTGGTTCACGGAAAAACACTCCCTTGGACTCGTCCACAGGCCTGCAAACATGCCAAACGCATAGAGATGAGAACCATGGACTCGGCGCATCGTTCAGACGCAACGGGTGGATACCACTACTACCACTGCACTTGTGCACAAGAGGGTTGAATGGAATGCGTAATACGTCCTAGCGTAATTTTCTGCGTGAATTTGGGACGGTAATTGCTAAAAACAATAAGAACCGGTAAAAAAGTACCGTAATTTTAAGTGGGATAGCCATCAGCCACACTACAGTAAAGGCATCGTTTTTCAACAGCAGGCAAACATTGAAATTACAAATAACTTGCAGTTTTTTTCATTCAAATGAAAACAACCTTCACAGTCCGTAACGGCAAGCCAAGAAATCATTGATCAATGATTGACAGAACACAAATTCATAAGACTATAAGGATACGACCACTCTCCACCCCTCAGTGAAACAATAGCATACCTGTCAAAGAACTCGGGTTTATAGTCATCAGCAGTCGGGTCGTACTTCTCGCCGTCATCCTCTTCTGCCTCCTCTTCGTCTTCACGCAGCATCATCATGGGATAGCTGGCGAGAGTCAGAAACATCGGCATAAACATGCTGAATGCAAACCCACCGACCATAGACAAATCCATATACTTGAAATACAACATATGCTGTGTGAAAATGGGAAGGTATGCTTGCCTGATATCAAAATCATTGAATATTTCATTTTAGGACCGATTACAAGCTAGAAAGGCTCTTCCGAAAAAGTCGGAATCCGTGCAATCCCCGATTGCGTCAGACTTATTCAGATGTCAAAGTTTGGCGCGCCCATCGAATCTCGGCACGATCCACCCTATTAACCACCTGGCCGCAGTTGCCACCCAACGGCAGACTATCCCCGTCAGGAGTTCAATAGGATCCAGGGCAGGAGCAACTCGAACCCGGCTCGCTTTACCTGGAAACGGAATAAATACGTGGCTTACCATGTTTGACCGCTGGTCTGCTGTTCGGCTGATTCCTCCACAACATAGATGTTGTCCATCTGGTCTGAAAAAGACGGTTTAATGCTGTTATGGCACGCTTTTGCCATTCATCTAATTCATCATTTCCTTCCTAAATCGTATCCCATGTTGAAATGTCAGTGCCACTAAAAAAAAAAAAAAAACGATAGTCATGTGTAGGAACTCATTTGAACTTTGATCCACAGCTCCAACTGGCCAATGGTGTGAATTCCATCCAAGGTGGTTGTTTTTGCAGCTCATTGACTTTAGCTGTTGTCACCAGGGCTGAGCACACACAAGACACAAGGGCCCACAGGGCATTCACAATTCAAACTGTCCAAAGAAAGAGATGAAAAAGATATCACCCAACAAAACAGGCCAACCAGTCCTTCCTCCTCAGATGAACTCACTTTCACCCTCTGTTTGTATCTCCTCCTGGTGGATGACAATGTAGGAGCTGGTGTCATCCTTCTTCTTCGGTCGCAGTTGCACATTCACAAGCTGTGTATTGACAGGCGCCAGAGGTGGAAATGCGGGCTCCGTCAGTCTGATGCCTCTGTGGAAAAGACGGTAGGCAGTTGTAAAAGGGAGGGCTGCTGAACTTATTTTTCAGGGCAAAGAAGATCCACGGTAGCAAAGCAAAAAAAGAAAATGATGAAAAATGAAAAAAGAGTCATGCAACAGTGAAACTAGAAAAAAATGGATTCTCTAGGAGGTAGGTGGGTTCTATTGTACTTCTAAGGTGTGAGCCACTCACTTTGATTCAGCATAAAAATCAATCAAATTTATTAGAAGATCTTCATCGCTGACCACACCAGTAGCTATTTTCAGTCTCTGCCACTTCGTAAAATTATTTCCAAGCAATTGCGCCAATAGTTTTCTCATAATTGCTGTACTAATAACTCTTATACTTTAGCGATCATTCAACTCGGCCAAGGAACTCGGCTTCATATGCTGAATGCAAAGTAAATTTTCCTCTTGTTCAGGGGTGAAAAACGAAGAGCAGGCTCAGCCTTTTTTGCGGGTAGTCTATACAGTGATTCGTTGCAAGGAGATAAATTTTCGATAATTTCTGCTATTGAACAAAAATTTTATCTTTTCTTAAGAAGTCAGTTTCGACGCTTTTGCTTCAAACTTGAAGGAAAAAATCATCACATACCCTGTTCACTGATGAGCTTAAAATTTACTCACGAGATGGCAGTCTCACTCCATAACGCAGAAATAGTGTTAATGGAATGTGGTTGCCTAGCAACCAGAGACTGATCTAAAATAGCTGATTTAAGCATTAGACTTCGAATACAATTACAAAAAAGCTTTCAACGCTGGAAGAGCGTGTGTCGTAAGCATTCTTGCGCACTCTTCAGCGCTGTGTGGACTGGTGGCGAAATATTGGAACTTGATTTTCTGAAGATATTGTACCAAAATGAGTAAACTTTATCTGAATCTTCGCCACTTTGCACGGGCCACCACACTGTTCTCAAATACGTCCTCAAGGGCTGTTGGTGAGCTTCACCGGAATCTGCACGCAACTGGAGTAAAACAAGATATTTTTAACATTCAAGACAAGGAAGATTTCAAGCAGCGTGTTCTTAACAGTGACAAACCTGTATTGATCGACTTTCATGCCAAGTATGTTGATGTCTCCAGTCAACCAATGGTTTTGACTTTTAATGAATAGATGCCTACCTAATTCAAATGATTTGAAGCATGAATAAACTATTATATTCATTCAAGTTACTCTTCAGCCTCTCATGAATCTTGCTCTTTTTCTCGTTTCCCTCTCATAGGCTAATATGTAGATTTGTCGAGCTACCTACCGAACAGTTGCTTGCATTATTTCCTTATCCTGAATAATCATTGAAATGTTCATTCCTGATTCCAGGTGGTGTGGCCCATGCAAGCAGCTGACGCCACGGCTGGAGACTGCCCTGCAGCAGTTCAAGGATGACGTTCACCTGGCAAAGGTTGACATTGATGAGAATGATGACCTGGCTATGGAGTACATGGTAAGCCCTTGGTGGTGAAGGTGGGAGTCAGGACACAAGAAATGCCAGAAAAAAAGATTAAGGACTTAAGGATTACAATGTGGATCAAGCAGAATTAGACTTATTTCAGGAATGATGAAAGAAAGTGCGTTTTTAAGGCTCATGATTATATATATAAATGCAATGAAACCCCTAAGCCTCATGCTAATAATTGTATTAGCAATTGCACGAAACAGTGCACGAAACACGAAACAGTTGTCTCATTTTCTTGGCCCTATTTTGAATACAATTATTAGCATGAGGCTTATGGTTTTCATTGCATTTATATATATTAATTCAGGAATGAATGTTCTGCATTCTAAAATGCATATCAAGTTAATAAAACCTGACATCCTGTAAAATGCAACATTGCCTTTAAAACGTAAGCTGTCTGATATGCTGGATATTGATATTGGTATTTAATTGCATAGCTCCTGGATCATAAATTGTTTATCTCTTATTAACAAATAATATATTTTAGCCAAGGTTCTCCCTTATCATAACCAAATACCAATTACTTCTGCTCGGTACATCATCTCCCCAAGTCCCGAAAGCAGAAGAATATGTCCTGCTGGTTGGATTCGTCTTCACCGTGCTGATACCATTCACCGCGCTAACGCCATACGAAAGTTCAGATTCACAATTTAACCAACCTAATAGAAGGCCGCATGCCACCCTATTTCTGACCAGTGCTATGTTTTCCTCCTGGTCTCTGTTCAGTGTTGATATGGTCGTTCCTCCGCAGCCCTCCCCGGTTACGGCTCGTTTATGCCCACGGTTATGGCTCAGTTATGTCTCACGGCCTTGGGAACAGACAAGGGCTGCCGCACCGGCCTCTGCCAAACGGCTGGACCCTCGCGGTCTCACAGAGTACCCGGCGACCTCGCCCGGCCCGTGCATTTCTGTTCTGTTTACGTTACTCTTCTGTGATATACCTAATAACCTTGATAAAATGTCAGTACGCTTCTACGACGTTAAGTTCTCACCGTATATCTGCGCTTTGAGGCGTGCTGTTCTGACCTAAGACAAGATAAAGAGCAGCGATGCATTTGCAGGGGGCCATCGTTTTTAAATGAGAACGAAAAACTTGTCGATCTACTAATTGACGTTGTAGCGCCTCGTTCGGTTTCTCCATGTGCTCCGGCTCTTTCCGGGCCGACGCATACACCCCGTTACCGTGCTCTGATGTCCTTTTAAGTGCTTCCTTTTACGTTACGTTACATTTTACACCCATTACCCAATCCTCATTGCATGTTGCACCTCTTCCACATTGTGACTTAATCGTCTCCAAGTTGTGTCGCTCCTTTCCCACATCCCTTGTCGCTAGGCAAGCTTAATCGAAATTCCTCTCTTATTATCTTCTCAGTAATGTGCTATTTTCATCTCGTGATTCTCGTTTCCCTTCCCGTAACTACCGTTTCTCTACACCGTAACTTGGTTCTCATTCTGTTGCCCCATTTCCATCGCATTGACTCCCGTTTCCCACACTGTAACTCCAGCATCGCTGCACCATGACTCCATTTCTGACGTCATCGTTCGCTCACAGGTGAGTGCCGTGCCGGTGGTATTCGCCGTCAAGGGCGGCAACGTTGCCGACAAGTTCATCGGCCTGCAGGAACTGGACAGAATCACCTCCTTCATCCGCAGTCTGCTCGACAAGTAGGCGCCGTCTGTACACTCAGGTGACGTCACAAACGGCCAGTGACGTCATCTGTGCGGTCTGTGTACTGTGTGGTCAATGGTGATGATGTGTGTGTGTGTGTGAAGTATGTGAAGTATGATGGCACAGTAGGGAAAGAATGGGTTCAATTAAAAGAGAGCTTGGTAGGTTTTTGGGAGAATGAGGGCATTTAACAATACGTACAGTGTATATTTTTGTCTAGCTCAGAGGCCTTCTTGCTACATACCTACATTTGAGGCTTTTCACTTCATATTACCGAGCAGCGTCACATCCCTTGTGCAATGACCTATAGCCGAGCAGTTGCGTCTTTTGGGTATACTGGGGCGGCCTACCGAGGGTTGTATCGGGTCTCAGGAGGGGCGGTGTGGTCCTCTGCACTGCCCTGATGGTAAGGGACGTTTGGGAAGGATTGGGAGTTACGGCCTCCGCGCAGGAGAGGTGAACGAAACAAACAGGGTTAGGAACGGAGAATGTTGAGCCGTTCTGGCTTTGAGTCTTTCGGAATGACTCGCCTAGGTTCATGAGAAGGTCAGAGAAAAGCGATTTGTTCGTCGGGAAGTGACTCCGGACTCGCATGATTGATTTTGAGTTGAACCGATCCCGGAAGTCTCGAATCTAGCTAAGGTGACTCGTCTGACTCCTGATTCAAACTCCTGACTCAGTCAGGAGTCAGAAGAGAAGAGTCTAACTCTCTAACGCCCTTTGGACTAGTGCGCGCGTTAGTGCTGGTGCCTGGGAAGGGGTCATTACACAGCTATGGCCAGTGTTGAGGTGCTCGAGGTCCCGTTCGTGATTTCCCCCAGCGGCGTCTCACCCATCGCACCCCTTGGGAGGAGTCCACGTTCGGAGACTGCAGCGACCCCTGATGTTCTGACTGCACAGCGGCGGGCGGCTGGGTCACCCATGCACTATCACATAGACTTTACCCCGTGGAGAACTGATAAGGAATCGCCAATGCAGAGTGTCTATAGGAGCGTATGTGGGATGAGCGGATGTCACGTTGCCAGTGATCGTCTTAAGGAGCGTGTATATCAAACGCCGGTGTTTGCGTGGTTCGCTGTATCGACTGGTCCGCGAGTTTCGCCAGGACGGGGTTGGACGAGTCGGTGTGTGAAGTGGCCTGCTCGCCCTTTTGGGTCAATACAGCCACTGGAATTGAGTTGGAAGCGTTTCTAGAATAGAAAAATAATTTTGGGAAGACCAGAGTGAGTAGAATGGGAAGAGCTTGAGGGTGGTTCCCATCCTCGGCAGCCGCAGGCTCTTCAGTCCCACCGGGTATATATTGCCTCGGTCCTACCTAACCGGATTGTGCTGCCATCTACGATGTCTCGACTGCTAGTATTGCCATCTGTAACGTTCAAATCCAGCGCCATCTACGTTAGCGTGCAGTTTCCGTGACCTTGTGACCCATATTGCAAACTGTAGCTGCGGTCAGGCAGCTGGTGTTCATCGTGGCTCATGCATGACAGTATTTTGTCTACCTGATTCTGATAAAAATTGAGCTATTGCTTAGAGCTAACATTTACGAAAATTCATAAGAAGACAACAATGAACAGCAAAACGATAAAGCGTACCTAATGTAGGAAAATAACCGTGCTAAATTGCTTTATCGATTTGTCTTGCAGCAGAGCCTTGATGGTTTTTCGTTAAAGGGACCCTCCCACCTTCAAAAAAGTTTATGAATTGGCATGAAAGTGATGTCGCTCGGTTCAGAAAGAGCGAAAACGAATATCTACCAAATTTCACCGAAAAATATTCACCGGTTTTCAAGATATTAGACTTTTACTTTTGTTTACTTTTTGGGATCTCCGCTGTTCCTAGCGACTTTATTTAAAAGTGCGGCATTTGTTGCGCGCAACGCAGCATATACCACCGCGTGCTACAAAACGTTTTAGTCAAACATTTAACGGACGTTCGAAATCCTGATGACGTCATCAGATTCCCGTAATGGTTAAGAGATAGGGACCACGCTGGTCCCACCCTGCAAGTAAAGGGAAGAAATTTCTTGAACACCATAAAGCTGCGGGGGTTGCGACCAGGATAAATGGTGGTTTCTGAGCCTGGCCGCAAACTTGGCTATCTCAACTCAAAACTAATGTTAAGGTGGGAGGGTCCCTTTAAGCGTGTGGTTCTGTTCTGCGTTCATATAGCTCGTGCTATCGTCTATTGAAGCTTGCTACTCTTTTTATGTGAAACCGCATGCCGTATTTCAATTGAGAATGAGGTGAAATTCGATCTCGCCAATCCATCTCCAGTTGATTCGAATCTGATCCCAATCATCCCAAAAATGCACGGCCATACCTCATAATTTATTGTACACTTTGATGAATACATCAGCTCTGACTCGAGCTATGCACGTTACATAAGCAGGCAGCTTCTTCGCCATTTTGGTGAGATCCACAAGCCCCGAACGCCCGCCGTTCTTTGGGCAACTGGTAAACGAGGCAATAAAAACCAAGCATGATGATGATATATACACTGGGATTTGTACATAGACTCACTGGGAAACACTTTACGCCTTCTTCGCCGCCTTCTTGGGGGTCTTCTTCTTGGCGGGAGCCTTCTTTGCAGCTGGCTTCTTGGGCGTCTTCTTCGCCTTCTTCGGCGACTTGGCCTTCTTTGCTGCGGCAGCCGCTGGCTTCTTCTTCGGGGTCTTCGCCTTGGGCTTCTTTGCCGCTGCCGGCTTCTTGGCAGGGGACTTGGCTTTGGGAGCCTTCTTCGGCTTGGGAGCAGCCTCCGCCTTCTTGGCCTTGGGCTCCTTTCCGGCCAGCCGGTAGCGTCCAGACAGGAGGTGAGACTCGCCCTGGCCCTTGGGTCGGGTCAGCTTACCGGCAGCCAGTCCAGCGTCGAAGGCACGCCGCAGCATGTGACGCAGCATCACCGGCTGCACCTTGTACTGCGCCAGGATGTACTTCTTGATAGCCATCACTGATACACCTTTGGGGTCCTTCTCGTGAGCGATCGCCTTGGTGATCATCTCCAGCGTCGGCGGGTGGGTCGGCTTGGACGCCTTCTTCTTGGCGGCACCTCCCTCCTTGGGCTTGCGTCCCTTCTTCGCTGGCGTGGCCGCGGGCGCAGCGGCAGCAGCAGTTGCAGCAGGAGCGTCGTCAGACATGACTGGTTTGCTGAGCGATGCGACACGGACGGAGCTCGACCCTCTCACCGCGGCGGCTGGCGTACGTTTACGTCCGGCGCGGCGGCGGAGGCCTTTATAACCTCGGCGCGGACGGCGCGGACGAGGCATCGATTGCGAGAGGCGGGCCGGCCGCCGGCGGCGGCGCTCGCTGCCAACTGTGCTTCTGATTACGGAAAAGCGCCCATTTAGCACCAATTGGAAATTTGGGATACGATTTTTGGGCCTACGATTGTTGGCAGAATATTGGGGTATACGTGGGCCAAATTTGCAGACTAGCGGTGCCCTGAGTCGGCTGTAAGGACGGTCTGAACACAAGCAGTTAGCGGGTGAAAAATCATAACATTGAAGATAAAGGTGTAATTAACGTCTTATGGGGTTTTATGGCGAAAATGACTGGTGCCATGTGCAAGAACAAATATTCATCTATATAATCGCCGAGTATCGTCATGTTACCCTTCCTCAATCTTTTCGTATACGAGTTTAAGTTGACCCTCTCACAAGCACATTCGGGCCGATTTTGACGCTTTCCGTTGGAGACCGTCCAAAGTGAAAACGGCGAATTTAGCCAAAATGACGCACTCTACCAACACAAAATTTACACCATTCGAAAGGTCTCGACGAGCTCTATCGATTGATACCGGTGTCATTCTGGTTGAATGTCACACAAACGTTCAGCAGCCTCGGACATTCGCCGTTGCCTTCAGCCTGCGTCGGCCGCCGCGAGTCGATTCCGTGACGTATGTCGCCGCCGAAGCACGAACTTTTTTCGAGTATTTCACTCAGAACAAACCACCGACCTTTCTAAATCCCTCATTTATGAATGTCACTCAACTTTATCTTTCTTTTGAGCCCACATATAAGCCATTTGGTGTTGATATGTGGATTTGACAGACGATTTTCTATGCCATAGGAAATACATGGAGGCGAGCTTTCGGGGCGGGACGGTGCAGCCGCCGAGCCGATGCGTAGAAGCAGGGATCGTCATTGCTAGCAGCTGAAGGTCAAATTTTACACCGAATGTGACCTTTCTAGAACATATTCGTTACAAATTTAGTCACTTTTAGCCAATAAGTCTCGGTGACGGGTGTGGATCCCTCCCTCCTTTGAACGGGCCTGCCTACTGCAGTACGGTGGCAGCCCGGTAATTCGATGACACTACCGCCTGCCAGCGTCACTCTTTCGTCTACCTTGCCCCTATATTTTCACAGCACCGATACCCCAGTGTGGATGAGACCCATGGACCGCGTGTGTCGCCGACTCTGAGCCCCGGCTGGTGGTAAACCAAACACCTCCCCTTTGTGTGGCCCCCACGGGCTGCGGTCGGGGGCCGGCGCGGCCGGCGGCAGGCGGGGACGGAGGCCCCCGGCCGGCCGGCCAGCCCGTGTCAAGCAACATGTGCAAGGTGCATTGCATTTTGCAATGTAATTCGGCGAATTGTATGTTGATTCTTTAACTTTTGTTCAAGAATGAACATACATAGTTTGGATAGAGATCATTTGCTAAGAAAATGAAGTAGAAAATCCTGAATAAAATTTGCATAGTTTACCTACCGTTTTACTGCATCGATGAAGTTACCAATGCGCACAATGCAGTAAACGGATAACGGCTTCTCCCAAACGCAGCCGACAGCTTTGCTACCTGCCGAGGAATTTATAATGCTTCATAGGAAGTGGGATCATTTCATATACCTAGTTTAGATGGAGCGTGGACGGCGAACGGTAGACGGTAAACGGTCGGCACGGTTTCGGCGGTGGACTGTGGGCGGTAGGTAACGTTTGCCGATTGACGATGAACGATGGGCTGTGAACGTGATGAACGGTGGTGAAGAGGGTGATGGTGAACAATCATTGCGATGGGCGGTGGACGGGTGGACGGTAGTCGGTACCAACTGGGTGGACGCCTGGACGGTTGGCGGTGAACGGTGGTGGACGGAGGACGTTAGGCGGTGGACGGTAAACGGTAGACGGGCGATAGACGTGCAGTAGACGGCAGATAGAAGACGGATGTTGACAATATTCGCCAGCCGATAAGAGAGCCAACCGACTGGCGCGCTATTCAAATTTCAAACATAACTGCAGTGCACGTTTTCAGAGTACCTCTATGAACCTGAGTCCTGACCACTACGGCCGAAAGATAAGGTCCAAAGCTTCATATTTACAGGCGACCTATTTACTTTAGCGGCTTTTATGTTTACAAAAGCGGCTTTTTACAGTTGCCTGAATAAAACTTGCACTCTGTAAAATTGTCCTGCTTATCATTCACATTAAATATACGGGATATAATTGGTAAATACACAAATTAATGCAGCTACCTACCTACCTTTTGCTTGCGATTTTTTTTTTCTTCAAAAAGGTCATAGTTCAGAATGATTCTAAACTCTAGAGGTAACGTGAAGAATAACAAGGTCATTTTTGCCCGTGTTTGATCGTAATAGCATGATTGACGCTGCACAATACCATTCACATGTTCCCTATTTCTACCACTTTTTATAATTGCACATTTTATTCTTGTTCAAAACTATTATTTAACCTATCAAGCAATTTTAATCTGTGACCAAACAAGAAGTCAACAATAAAATGACTAGTGTCTGAACTCTGAAGACGGTGACATCATGCTCTACCGTATATGTTGCAAAATGAACTCCATATCCTAGACGGAAGTGGGGAGCGACTAAACCAAAACCAGTGGAAGCGAACGCGATAGGTCCGCTCGGGGTAGGGCAACGTCAGTGCAAAGCAGACGTGCACACTGCACACTGCACAGATCCTTTTTGGCAGGGCTCAGTCCAGTGTGTCGGCCGAGTGTAATAAGGTTGCGAAGGGAAAAGCGAGTGAGGTGGGATTTCCAAGTCCAGTGTTGTGGCAGTGACGGATTACGGAACTAGGTGACACCGGACGGGCTTACAGACTTCCTGAGAAGGAAGACAGACGAGGGAATTACCGCGCTCGGCGTTTTCGTTGAAGTTGAGTTGAAGTTGAGAGAGTGTGCCACAGAAAATGTTCTGTGACAGTGTGCCAAAATCAGTTCGGTGTGTGCCAAGATCGGCTCGAAACTTGTGCCGATATTAGTCCAGCTTTTGTCTCAGTCAGGTTGGAGTGCCCTGAGAATCAGCCCAAAGTCAAAGTGTGCCAAGATCATACTATTTCGTGCGAAGTCAGACAAGAGCAGACAAGCCACCTACCACAGCGATAGCCAGCTACAACATCGTCAAGCTCCGAATCGTGACCTGTACCCGCCTGCCAGTCTGTCCTGCCTCCCCCCCCCCCGCCCCCATCGAACTCCCACCGCCTGTCAGTTGTCAATCCTCCCTGCGACCTGCACCGTTCAGTGTTCCACCATGATTCGACCCCTCATCACCCTGACCTTTCTACTGACCTCTGTGCTTCACTCCGACGCCGTGCAGTGCTACCAATGTACCGACCACGTCCACATCCCCGGCACCAACACCACCTGCTACCGCTTCAGCACCACCTCGAGTCCGCAGACCTGCTCAGACGAGACCTGCATCAAGAAGGTGGCGGGCGGCAAGGTGACCCGCTACTGCGGCCCTCGGCTCCAGGAGGAAGGCTGTCAGTACCTGGAGGGAGGTGGAGTCCGCTGCGTCTGCTCCGAGGATTTGTGTAACGGTGGTGACCGGCCGACGGCGGCGCTGGTGACGGTGACGGTGGTGATGGTGGTGTTTGGATTGTGTGAGAGACTCTGGTGAGACGAGGATGACGGCGACGCTACCGGCTTCCTTTAGTGAGTGTGAGGTTGGAAGTCTCTTTACACAGGCTTGGATGCGAGTTCGCGCCGAGTTTTTATCCCATATACCGATTACCGATGCAACCGTGAAACGAGTATCCGCCGGTCCGCTCTAAATGAGCAAGGGTTGCTTTTGAACGGTGAGACGTTCAGTAGCGCCTGGCTTGAGGAGAAATAAGAGTTTAGGTATTGACGGTTTTGACTTTTGAATAAACATCCAGGAAATTACATACATGTCTCTATTTTTCATCATCCTTCTACTACAATCGTGTCAATAGTCCAACCGTCGTATTCGGAAAAAAGAAATATAGGTACGTACGGCCAAGTTGGAGCTATGAATGTCCGGTAATTGCGATATTGGCCTCGGCCTTGGGCTTTTTGTAATATATTTTCTATTACAACCAACTGGATCAATAATATTATGGCCTCTTTAGCTAATATGTTAAAATTAACGGATATTGACGTCTTCCCGGACCGTTCCAATATTAGTTGACCGGGCCATGCTATTTACTCGCCCACAATGGCCACTGTAGTTTGTTATCAAGATCGAATGGCAACAAATGTGTCCTCATCGTGTCAGGCTCGCCTCGTCACCTCCACTCTCCCCGCCCCAGGTGCCCCTCCCCCCCCCCTCCCCAGCCGGACGACACTCGCCTCGGGCTGCGATCGGCCCCGTCGACCAATCAGCGTCGAGCTTTGGTCGCGGCCCGAACGCGGCAGAAGTTCGTCTGACGTCCGAGAAGACGAGAGTGATTGCAGCGTCGGGTGCGTCAATTGATTGTTCACGGCTCAGTGCAGGGTTGGGCGGGAATAATCCAGTGTAATTACTTATTAACCGTTTATCAGTGGTGACCGCTGTCGTGTGGGAAAATTGATCTGCAGTGAAAAGTGACCGTGAGTGTGCTGAAACTGGAAGTGTCGTACCTATTCATATTACCAATCCATTATCCAACCAGTGCGCGGGGGATGGAACTGGAAATTCATCGTCTGAGACGTCGGGCTTTGGACGTGCGTCGAAAGGTAAGTTGAAGTTACCTACCTATGTTTATGTCCACTCTGAATGCATGTAGGGTCATGTGTGAGTGGTTGATTGGGTCGTGGATAGTGTTTTTCAACATCCACCACGGCGAGGTTCTGGTGGTCGGTGCGTGCGCGGTTGCGACCATTCTCCCGGGATGGGGAGCGGTGGCCGTTTGTCCGTCTATCCTGCCAGCCTTTCGTGAAGCACTCGCTCACCCCCCCCCCCCCCCGATCCCCTCGCCGCGCTGGTCGCGTCGACCATGCAGCCGTTATCGGTGTTTTTGAACTTGGTGTTTACTCAGGTGAGGTCTGGCCAGGTTTCCACTGCGTGCTTTCCACCGGGACTGGTGATAAAGTGGCCAGGGCGACCGAGCGCGGCGACTTAGTTCCCCACGGGCCACGGCCTCAGCCAGCTGCACAGTTGTCGCCGCCGCTTTTTCGTAGGCGTATTACATGCAATTGGTATTTTTCAGCAGCAGCAAAACAAATTATAAATGCGGGAAAATATAATTAGATAACGACATTCACGCGGTCGCTTGAGACGTTTCTCAAACCGGAAATGGAGACTTGTGATGACCTGATCCTTCTCCTTCCACGGCACGGGCGCATCCTTCCCTTCCTGTTGTCCAGCGCGATCCCTGACAAGTCGCTCCCGTGTCAGCACGGATGACAAGGCGTCCTCCTATCCCTGCAAGCAGCGGTGAACTATCCGGGAAGCGCTGGAGGCGGGAAGAGTGCGCGGTGCTGAGGGAAAGGGGTCAGAAGTTCAGAAAGGGTCGTGGTCGTCAGAAGTTCCCCTTTTGACCGAGGTCCGATGTGTACCCAGGCAGCGCCGGACAAAGCGAGTAAAATCCCATCACAGTGGAACGCAAACATTGGCGGTGGTCCTTAAAGTCAAACGACAGGAGGCCTTCAGGAGTCTGAATGAGGTCAACGGAGATCGCAGAAGCCTGCCAACAAATCCTCCAAGAGGAGCGGAGTAATCAGGCGTGTAGGGTGGAGCGGGATTGCTGGAATCGTCTCGACGGGACCCGGCAGACGACCCGCTATGGGCGGAGGACGCTCCTGCTCTCCCTCAATCTATGTAATCCACCCCGGTTCGACCGAACGCTACGCATCACTCGACTGTGCCACACCATGGAGTGAAGCAAGTAAGCGTTTGGCAAGGATGCCAAAATACCTTCTCACTGCTGAACCGAAGTTCTGGCAGACTGCCTCCAAAGGGAAGTGGTTCAACGATGGATCAATGATGCTGAATTTAATCCATCGATGAGTGAAATGGTCAGTTCGATTTAGATAATTCGGTTAACCCACCGCTTCCGAAAACGCGAAAAACGGGCCGTTTTCGTTTGAGACATAGTCTGAACGGCGCCAGAGACGATGGTGTTTGAACGCTTGACGATCTCACTTGTGCAAGGTGCATTTTTCTTTGTGCATGATGAATAAACTGATTACGGAGCGAGCGAAGCGAGCGGAGTCTTACGTAGAATAACGGAAATTTCTGAGTATGAGCGGCCTGCCGGCCGGCCGGCCGTGGTCACGATTCTGCGACGCTTATATCTCAGCAACCACTTGACCGATTTGCGTGCGGTAATTTTTGTAGGGTAACTTCATTCCTTCTACCAAGTATTGGACGATTCCCGATGCATGTGGATTGTGGGTGACCCCTTATGCACGTGCCACGTGCAAAACGAAGAGGTGTCACTTTTGTAATAGTTGCAATATCTCGGTAACTACTGGGCCGATTGCGCTGAAAGTTGGCATGTAGGTAGGCACCCACTAGGCAATGCATATCCATGTGCCAGAGTTGGGGTGCTGCTGCACGTGCGCACGTGCAGGGGTCGTTTCCAGATCTCAAGAACGGCTGAACTGATTGCGCTCAAATTTAGTACACGGTTAGGGACCAGTTAGTAGGGTGCCGTGCACAAGTCAGTTGGGACCCATTTTGCACGTGCGCACGTGCAGGGTGCCGCTTCCAGATCTCGAGAACGGCTGGGCCGATTGTGCTCAAATTTGGCACATCGCTAGAGACCGGCTAGTAGGGTGCCGTGCACAAGTCAGTTGGAGGTACCCCCTCGAAATTTCGCACGTGCAAGGCCCACCCTCTCGCTCGCTCCGTTAGTCGCCCCAAAAGGCGTTATACTGGTAGGTATCTCCCGAAAACCATTTCTGAACTGAGACATCGAGGACATTGTGGTCGAACCCGGAACCACTTTCGTCGTTTCGTCAAAATTGACCAGGTTTGGGGAGGGGGTCATGCTCTCGGTCTCAAAAGCGAAACAACTTCACTCAGTCGGTTGCAATCTCAGCTGCCGAATCGAATGATATGCGGCCTGAGTTTCATTGCCGAACTTCCTAACCTGATTAGCTTTGACCTGACATTGACCTGAGATGAACGTCTAAGTTAACCGTTGGTAAAATATGAGTGTATGTATACCTTTCCGTCACTTTGACCTGCTATGACAAACATCAGTTTCGAAATTATTGCTCTATAATTTTCTATATCTCTTTGTTCTTGGGCGTGCATGAGTTTTTGTTGTTACACGTAGAGATGACCTCATAAAATGTATTTCTGAATCGTATTTATTAACCAAAACATTCGTAATACGCATAATAACAAAACATGCACGCAATGAAGGACGTATAGGCATATTGTTGTCAAAAGTCGATGGAATCGAAGTTGGTCGATGTCAGCTGTCAGCTGTCTCAACTGTCAGCACGGGCCCATACCTGCGTTTTATCCAGCATAGGTACTGCGCAACATCTCTCTCGATATGGCGAATTACACTTTCGACACCGTTTGTCGAACAACCTATCTCACTCACACATTCATCCAACTACGGGCTTGTTACCGTTCACAGTTTACACGCAATACACATCGTACTTACGGCTTCACAATGGCCCGGCAATTGAAATAGTTCCATCGTGTGATATTAACCAGATTCTATCAAGCACAACTCTTCTACCATCGTTTCATTACCGTAACTACACTCTCCACCCCATCACCAAGAAAGTGCGTCCATCCGTAACAAAATGCATCATCACATCAAACGAGAGCGACAAATACAAGTTAAACACGTTCATAGTCTGGCTCAAATAGAACGGCGTCAGCCACATCGTCAAACTGTGAAAATTGGAGCACCGCTTAAATCCTCGCAGTTCACACGAAGAAAGCGAGCTTGAAACGGGAAGAAATTAGCGATACTTAGCGGTAGCGGTATTTATCCGGCGTTCTTCTGGACCTATCCCAATGAACTGGACAGCAAAATGCTTCACTCTGAAGTCACAACAACGGAGAGGACCTCATTCACTATTGCCTGCTTGACCGTATAGATACGCAGCTTTTGATCGAGCGAATGTATAATTCTACCGAACTTGTAAGCAATCATGTGCTGGTTTGACAGAGTCGCTGTTCACCCAACTACTCGTTGGTCCATTGCTCAGCATGTTCATATTCTTCAGCACCGTGTTCCACAATTTATCCGGGATACTGTCGAATCGCGGGCGTCTCGGGCGTTTCTTCACCCGCCACAACGCTCGGCAGGCCGCAGGTTCATGACGCTGCCGGGCGTCTTCGGCCAGCTTCCACTGCCCCTCCCTCACCCTCAGGCCTCAGTAGAGTGGGGACGGCAGGTCCATCACGATATCGCACATCTTTAGCTCGATTCCCTTGCCTCACTCTGCTCCGCAGTAGAGCGCCAACGGCAGGTCCATCACTTGAAGTTTTCAGCTGGTTTTCATTGCCTTCTCTCACCCTCAATAGAGCGCGGACGGCAGGTCCATCACACTGCTGGACATGTTCATCCTGGTGGCCGAGCTGAGCGTACCGCTGCTGTAGTCCGGTGACGGGATCTGCAGGTGGCGCGACGAGTAACGCCCGGCGTTACGGTGACCCCGCGAGACGAACCCGCGCGGCTCCGGGAGACGGTACTCGGGCCCGCCGCCGGTGCCCCGCCGCTCCTCCGCCTCCTGGAAGTCGGACGAGGCCGAGCCGGACCCGGATCCGGAGCCGGACCCGGACCCGGAGCCGGAGCCCCAGCCGGAGGAGGAGGCGGGGTCGGGCTCGCGGCGTCGGCGCACCGGCCGCACTGGTGGCGCCCTCTGCGGCTCCGGTGGCGCCATCTCTGCCGCGCGCCGCTCCTCCAGCCAGCGGCGCATGCGGAGTTCAGCAGCCCGCTGCAGACGCTCGTGCTCCTCTCCGCTCTTCCCGGATCGCGCTGGGGCTAGTTCGTCTCGCGAGCGAGCTCTGCGTGGGGCTGCTGACCATCCGGCGCTAGCTCTGCGGTCTATCCGCTCCGCTCTTTCCCCTCGCTCGGACCTCTCGCCTCTCTCGCGCTCCTCAATGCGAGCAGCAGCTCGAGGGACGAGCGCTGAGAGCTGATCGACGCTGCCACACCAGTGGCGGGCCTCTGCCAGCCCTCCGCCGTGGTGGAAACTGCCCGAACGCTGTACCACGCCCAGACGTCCGGCTCCGAGCGCCGCCGGTTCAGCGAACGTCTCCCGCCTCCGCAGCGCCGCCCCGCGGGAGTAGTGGAAACTACGAGTACTCTCCGACTCCACCACGCTGTGGGAGGAGACATTGAGCGTTAGCTGACGGTGACTACACATAGGCTAGCTATGCGAGGTCTAGTCATCCTACATTTGATTTAGTTTCAATCTTACAACTGCCCGAAACACTTTCTCGTAACTGAGAATTGAGTTTGTAGCCCGTGATTTCTATTCAGGAATATACGGTTGAGGCCTGACTTTCGCATGCCATGTTGTTCACCACCAGTTTGCAAAAGGGAGCCGTACTTCAAAAGGGAGCTACATGTTTGTTTCAAACCAATGGGAACCAATGTTTTCAAACTCTGATGTCATTTTATGTCAAACTAGTTTAGCCAATAGCCCTCCCGCCCCCTTCCGAAACACCCTTTTTACCAGCCTCAACCTCCACACCGTCTCCGAGGATGCCTACCTTGATGGCCGCGACTGGCGGCGCTCAGTCGGGCGCTGCAGGCTGTTTTGACTCGTCTCACTGCTAGCTGTCAGCGTCTCCTCGCGCTCTGATTGGTCCGCTGTGGCGTGACGTCGACAGGCTGTCCTGCCCGGCGGCATCGGTACCCGGCACGGGACGATGTGCCTCTCCCGAGAGCCGCGCGATTTGCGGGGCGGAGGGCTCAGGCTGTCAGCGTGGGACGAGCCGCTGCGGTCTGCGGGTGGGGAGAGGTTGGGGAGGCGGTCAGAGAAGGTTGTGGCCTGTGGTAGATGATTAGTGATTTGGGTTTGGGGTTTCCTACGACTCGATGTCTCATGTCAGCAGCCAGCTCTCAGCAGCCAGCTCAAAGTTCACTTGTGCCTTTCGCACAAGTAACCTAACCAGTAACCACCTCATTAATTTTATCAAACGACTCGAAAACCGCCCTATGAGTAAACGAAAATGGTCGTAAACACTTAACATCCTGACATCCATCTTTATCAACGCATCTCGGTGTCAGCGTTCGACCCTCTCCAGCTATCTGACCTGAAGCGATGCTCATGTTGGACTCGGCGTTGTCGATGACGCTGGTCAGCTGGTCCATGGCCTCCCGGATGTCGTCCGCCTCGCACGAGTGACGGCCGCACGGCGCCACCGGCATCGGAGTCACGTTCTGGTAGACGCGCCGCTCCGACTGCGGTGGCGGTAGTGGGAACTGTTAGTTGGTGAGACAGCCGCCAGAGGCGCTGGATTGGACGAATTGCTGACTTGCTGACTGCTGACTGCTGAGTGCCCAGACCTGAGGTCAGCTAAGATATTTAATTTGCTCAAGACATTGTTCAGGTTAAATGGAAGCTTCGTGTATGCTAGAAACTCATATTTCTGGCAGCCGGCAGGTAAATAAATGTGTGAGAGCGAAATTGACTACATGGGCTTTGTATTTCTTAGCGGTTTATAATGGCAATTCTGAGCGTGACTGACCCTGGGCGGCAGCTGCGAGGAGATGGCAGACCGCGGCCGGGACGGGTCGAACATGATGATGTCGTTCTTGACTTCGATGGTCTCACCACTCAGCTTCTCCTTCTCAAAGTCGGACGGCGAGTGGCGGCCCTGTGTCTGAAGAGGAGGATTAGATGATGACGACGGCAGACGATTGAGGAGTAAAAGGACATTGATGCTACTTCCGTTGAAGAGATCCTCGTAAAAGGGTAGGCTTAGCGCCTATGTTCATTGTTATAACTCAGGAGCTCATGTGACTTGTGACATTGATGAATTCTGGGGGAAGTCTATTTATAAACGCTAACGCCTAACATCCAGCGACTACCCGTGAAGTTCGGTACTTACACTGCTCTCGCTCCTGTTCCTGCTCTTCCTCTCCTCGTCTCCGCTGCTCTCCTTCTCCTTCTCCTCAATCTGACGCTCCTTCTCTGCCGAGACGGCTCTCTCATCACGACTCGCCAGCGAGATCGACGAGAGAGTCGAGGAGAGCACTGAACCAGTTGAACTCATGTCTGCCTCCCGCGCGTCATCTCTAGGCGGCGCTGGGAAGCTCGGATACACCTGCGCGCCGCCAGGTGGCTCTAGCGTCCCGCGGCTGGTTCGACTGCTAGTGCGGCTGATCCTCGAGTGGGGAGCGGCCGTGAGCTGGGACTCCAGACGCTGCAGCCGTGCTGACTGGGCGTCCTCGTTCTGCCGCATCGACTGGATTCGTGTGGCGTGGTTCTGTGAAACAGTTGCAAAAGAGACGGAGTCAGCGTAAGAAGCCTGCTGGAACTTAGAACGGGATCTAGCAAGCAGCAAGCCTGATGACATGTTACGAACAATGCGATGGAGAACGCTTGTTTGAAATCAATTGCTTTCAATTCATCCCGTACATTTCAACGGAGACACTGAAGTTTTTGTTTTGTTGGGTTAGGCCCTTTCGGTCCAATGGGACCATTTCAAAGCCGGGAGGATGATAGGATATAGGGGGAGAAATTGGTCTGGGCAGGTACCCTATAGTGAGTCACCGGGGCTGAGCCCGTCCAGAGGACAGGCCACCCAGCCCCAAGGTACTCACTGCACCCGGCTACGGGTGCGCTCCCTCGGGAGCAGCGGTGCCGCTCCAAGGGAGCAGCCCGCATGAGATAAAGTTGCCTGTCCAGTCCGGAGGGGGGTTGCGGCGTGGAGGAGAATGATTTCAGTATCCTGAGGATAGAACCACGGAACGGTCTACACTGAAGGACGGTCAGGCGGCCAAGCTTTCGATAAGTCTTGCTCTGTCTTTCGTTCCATTTCTATTCAGCTCTGTCTGTAACCCCTCGCCCTTCCCGCAGACCCCACTCTCCCACCCCACGGACCTTTAGTTCTGTGCTGAGGTCGTCCTTCTCTGCCCTCAGGCGGGCCGTGTGCGCCCGCTCCGCCTGCAGCTGCTCGTACAGGTCATCCACGTCCACGTACTGGTGCTGCCACCTGTCGAGCTCCTCGCGAACTGCGGCCGTCTCGTTACTGTTGGACAGGAACTGAAAAGATAGGGAGCATGATTTTATGAGACTTGAAATTGTCTGCTTAAGTCCGTTTTGTCATAACCGGGTCTTTCTACTCCATTCCTTTCAAACGAGTCTTTTGGCACATCAAGCATATTTCCCTTTTTGCCACCGCCTCCATGCTGCTTGTCAAGGAACCCTTCGTGCCAAGTCGAGGTGTTATCGGCGTGTCTAGTGGTCGATAAAACTTCCAACGTGCCAACGCTCGTTGGAGCAAGATATTAGCAATACTTGGAAGAGCTGGAGACAGTCCGCCCGTCTACATGGATGCTTCCTTACGCCTAAAATACAGCATTGACTTATGACTTTCTAATCGTCCGGTGCTGTTATCGGCTGCTCGGTACCGCGTGTATGTTCCCTCATTCACTCCTGGTCACCCTTCGGTCACCCCTCGCTGGGTCGGGCCAGTCGGCTATTTTTATCCTCTTTCCGGCTAGGCCACCCGCTAAGCTCCCGCCGTGCCGCGCCGTCTGCGAGGGACCTGACCCTCCTGCCGGCAGAGGTTTCTCCAGGTGTCTCCAAGGAGCCATCGTAGCGCTAAGGGTGTGCTCCGCATACACATGCATTGATTTTCGCCCTTACTAGCAGGGCCGCTGGCACGCGTTGGCAGCGCCCCGCGGGCATTCTTTCGCTTAGGGTCATTTTGTGGTAAGGAGGATCAGAAAATCGCCCTTCCAACTTTCTCCAGGCCTGGGTGTTTTATCGAGCACGCCTGAAAACGCACAGTGGACCGGAATCACACTTCGATTGCGTTACTTCGTATAAGGTAATACGATCAAAAGTGCGCTCTTTTCTCAATCAATAAGGACAAGTGCGTTAAAACACACTTATAAAGTTTTAAGTTAAAAGCTTTAAAATGCTAAATTTCAACATTTCTACGCTGATGATAATCGTTAGTTGTTTCAGACTTTGGCATGAAAACGTAGGCATTCAGATCCACCGTGTGACCGGTCACCGTATGCAGTAGTGTGATGGTGTGAGTTGGGGAGTCAAGGCAGTGTGGGGAGAAGGTGAGGAGATGCCGGTGTGCCGAAGCGGCAATTGGCAGTGATTAGACAGTTGTGCATGCATTGTTCATCTAGCATATCATTTGCTTGGGCGAATTTATAGGCATGGCGCCTGTTTATCCGTCTAATTCAAAGGAAAGGTGTGAGTATCAACACTGGTCGTACTTCTCATAGTCATAGTCCAGGTCCTGAAATGACTGGCACCTGAAATTTTCAGGATATATCGCAAGAGGCTCATTCCCAGACGTTGTGCCAAATTTTGCGGCGCTACGCGACACCACCTTTTACGCTATTCGCGAAAAAAAACTTAGGGAGGCTGGATCCCCCCTCCCGCCAGGCGAGGGCTAAGTTGGAGACAGTGATGGGACTAAGATGTTCGTTGGAGCAACTCCAAGCATTTTATCGACCTCTGGGCGTGTCTCGCAAGCCGTTGGCTTGTATGTAACGACCCCAGAATCTATACAAGACATAGGTACAGGTCTCGCGAGATTAAGCGGTAGGTTTTGCACTTTTACATTTCCGGTTATATCTCAGAAACTAATCGATCTACGATGAAGCCATTTTACACGATCATGGCCGGCTTGTTACCCAACAAGTCGATCGCATCTTCAACACTTAAAAGCTTAAGACGACGAAGATATAGCCTGAAGTACACTAAATTTTCTAGGTGCAAAACCTACCGCTAAAACCCGCGAGACCTGTACATCTCGATTCGATAGCACCGAACCCCATCTGTCTTATTAGAAGAGTTAGACTAGTTTACTGTTTAACCCATCTGTCTTCTGTCTAGAACCCATCTGTCTTTCTCGCGTCCATTCATCTGACCTTCCTGAGCACGTTGACGTCGAAGCCGGCCTCCTCGATCTCGGCCTGAAGGTGGACGCGCTCCTTCTTGTCGGCAGCCAGCTCCGTCAGACGGTTCAGGAAGCGCAGGCACGCCGCCTGGAAACTGGAGAGAGGACGGACCTCGGGTCAACAAAGGCAGTTAGACTGGGGCTAATAGGTGCGCCAGAATGGAGACTGAGGATAGAACTCCCCAGTTAGCTAAACGTGAAATTGCAGGCTACCGGCTAATACGCCAGACTGAAAATTGTATAGGTTGGCACGAGATAATTTAAGCATTGCATGATGATGGAGCAGTGAGATTTACTGTGACTTCATCGTATCGTCTATCAGTTAGAGAAAAGTTGTTTATCTCCCTGAAACTACGGAAGTCAGTACGCACTCGCCACATGGCAGAGGTCACTAGTGGCTCTCAACTCACCTGGGCGAACCGAACGAGGTGAGCATTCCCACGAGGAATTTGAAGCGCACCGGCTCGCCGAAACGCAGGCGCAACGTGCTGGCAGCCTCCATCACTTGTTTGTGGCCGCGAGGGAGCGTCTCGCACGCCACCGTGAGGAGCTGGTGGAAACCGCAGCCGTCAGGGGCGTCGGGCGATCGTAGGTGGCGCTGACGCACTACATTGCAAATATATTCACCTTGGTATTTCTTTACTGACAATTTTGTTTGAGCATTTTTCAGTTACAGGTCTTATAGATAACTTTGATTTATAATGTTATGCATTATGCTTTGCGTCATTTAGACCCGTAGGCGATCACATTTCACGTAAAAACATTAAACAGTATTTGCCAACCATCCATTCGACTTCAAAGGTCCTGTCGTGACATCCCCTCGAATCTGACGGACATTCTCTCGCCATCCTCCATCATCACCTACCTCTAGTGCCAGGATCCTGGACTTGCTGAAGTTGCTCATGATGCAGACGGCCACCGTGTACAGGCCGTGCGAGTAGTTGACCAGCTTGCTGGCCGTCTTCTCACACCTCAGACAGTGTTTGAGACAGATGAGGCAGTCGTACTCGTCCGTCAGAGCTCGACGGAAGAAGTTGTGGTGCTCCTTGGAGCGCAGCGTTCCGCTCATCGAGGCTGGCGAGAAGAGACAGAGGGACGGATTAAAATTTGAGTGGAAGTATGCATGAAGTCGACCGTCGTGGGGAAACGCACTGTGCACGGCGATGCACTAGACTGAGAGCCGGGCGGGTCAGGCACAGTGGCTGACATCGTCGATCCTGATCAAGATGGTCTGAATCACTATGCCCATTGTCGATATATCGCCCGACCTCTATCTAACCTACATTTTCTCGGCCTCAATGACCCCATCAGATCGTTTATAGCTGCATTCGAGCATTCCTTCAACCCGTTAAATATGCCGAATGGGCTTTCTCATTTTTGTTTATCCCCCAAGTGGGCATGCCTGTGCACCATCTCATTACATTCTCCTTGTCAGTGTGTGTCTACATTACGCCATTCTCCCCGCCCATCTCGCCACCCCATGTCCGTCTATGTGTCAGCGGAAGACCCCGACTCTGCCGCCGGTGACCCACTGGGGCGTCGTCAGCCATCCTTCACGGCTCGATGACGCCTCTTTCACGGACCGACGACCGTGTTCGACCAACGGTGACAGCGCCCAAAGCGGCGCGGCGTAGACGACAGTGGCGCGCCGCCGCGCCCGACGACACAGTTGGCCGCTGGGCCGGCGCAATTGACCCTAATCTGCCCCGTGGCGGGAGGTAGTTAGTATTCGTATGCGGAGACTTTCTTTCCACGGCTTTACATGGGTTTGGTACCGTAACGTAATGGAAGGTAACTACGCGCTAACGAATGTGTTCCTACTTCATTACGTGCTAAAGCTAGGTAAAATATTTGATCGGTAAATACTTTTTAGGGCTGACGAAATCAATGAAAACTTTTCATGAGTATTCATAGCTCTGAGTAAAAGCATGGACAAAACAATCGTATTTCGCGGTTGAAACGCCTCTCGCTCGCTTCCGTTCTTTCAAAATTCGTTTTCGAAAGCTGTCAATTTGCCACACAACATCGCCATTCTCAGTTGGACAATAACAGCGCATGATTAGGAAAATTACCAATTCAATCAGCCCGTAAAGAGGCTGCACGCCGTTGATGTCACGGCCCGCCCGATCACGTGACATTGTGTCACGCCTGAGGCTGTGTCACGTGCGTCACGCGTCACATGTCACGTGTCACGACTGACAGAGTGGGAGCGCTGTCAGGAGGTGTCACCGTGACCGCGTACGGGATTTGAAGTGACTCAGGTCATGCAGTGTGTCAGGTGCGTCACTGCGTACGGTACAGAGGTGAGAGGGAGGGAGGGAGGGAGGAGAGATAGAGGGAAGAGAGGAGAGAAAGAGAGAAAGGGCGAGGAGGAAGGTAGAGAGAAAATATAGGCGAATCGATGACTTATTGGGTGAATGAATGAATGAATGCATGAATGAATGAATGAATGAATGCATGAATGAATGAATGAATGAATGAATGAATGAATGAATGAATGAATGAATGAATGAATGAATGAATGAATGAATGAATGAGTGTGAGTGAGTGAGTGAGTGAGTGAGTGAGTGAGTGAGTGAGTGAGTGAGTGAGTGAGTGAGTGAGTGAGTGAGTGAGTGAGTGATTACATTTCCTCTTAGCTGCTCGGAAGCACATAAGAGCTGACATAGAACCCGCCTCCGCACAGCATCAGTCCATCATCAGTGCCTGACATTGCCTTCCGGCTGTTGACGGTAATGTCATTCCCGTGACGTCACATTTGTCCAGACATATGGCCCAGATAACGGTGACGTAGGGATAAGGCAAACTCGCCAACAATGCCCTCATGTTCAACAGCTGATGCCATGAAACAGGGTGTTCAGCACATCGCTTCTGCTGTTTAGGAGTCAGCGGTTTATACGAGACTTTGAGGGATAAGACTACAATCGAAATGGGAGACACAAAAAGCCTGGAGTTCGTAAATCGTAAAGGTTTTGTTGTAACGTGACATGGCCTGAAAGTGTACATTACAAGGGCTGATATGAATAAATTTTAATGACTTGCACGAAAGTTTACATTTGCCGAGTTGTTCGCCCAGCGAGCACTTGATTACTGTGTTGTTTGCCGGCACAGCTGCTAGCCAGACTTTCCCTTGCGTTGGCGGGTCTCATTTGGTCATAGTTTACCGCCGTTATCGTGCCTAAATACCAATTAGGGCTTACCACGAGCGTGCAGCTCCAATTTGGAGCGTTTGAGTAACTAGCGCGGCAAATTTTAGACGGTCATGCTAGGCCTTCATGTTGACCAATTTCCCGGAAGCAGTTATCTATGCTTCACGTAACTTCTAAAGCTCATGCCTGCGCTTCTTCTCCACTGTTGAGAGTCGTCTATCTTTATAAGTTTTCACTAACTCGAACTTTAGATATTGTTGCCGGTGTTGTTGCTGTTGCCATTGTTTTGTTGCCGCTGTTATGGTTGTTTTGCTGCTATTGTTGTTGTTGTTGTTACAGTTGTTGTCGTTACAGTTGTTGTTGTTGTTGGTGTTGTTGTTGTTGTTGTTGTTGTTGTTGTTGTTGTTGTTGTTGTTGTTGTTGTTCCCGATCATCCACTCACCTGCATAGTCTGTCTGGGAGAGCTGTATCATCTTGAGAAGGTCGAGCAGTCCAGTCACACCGTCATACGGGTCCGAAACAAACTCCCGAACAAAGCTGGAACAGAATAATAAAAAAATGCGTCATCAGGACTATAGAAACACGACAGCTTGCAGTACCACGCATGACGATTGTTGACGATTATTGCCTTGCATTGCGAAAGCGGAAATAGTTTAGCAATGTCCTTCAAAATGAAAGCGAAAGAGACAGCGAAAGCAAAATACACCATCTGCTCAATTGTCCATCGTAATTGCTTTCAATTGCTGCACACTGCTGTAAAATTCTGTGAACCGTATCGAATGGCCTTCCGGTTGGACCTACTCTCTGACCCGCAGTCTACCAATTCAATTATATGGTACATACGAAACCCAGGAGTAGATTACACAACAGTCGACAATTTACCGTGCCCATCTGGTAGATTTGAAACTAAGTCTGCGAGGGCATAGAAAGTTCATGTTTCGAAATGGGACGTTTCAGTTGCATGCATGAATGAGTGGCCGTGTCTCGGGCAAACCTAGCGATAGGAAATGCATGCTCGTTGCTCAGGTCATGGATGATTGACTTTTCAATCGGCCTGCTTTCTTTTGACCGCAGCAATGACCCTATAGGATAGAAAATATTTGGGATGTTTTTTTCAACTGCAGTTTTTAAATGCTTCGCTTTATAAATGTGGAGTGGTGTTCAGTGTTATTTTTCCCATTGTTTGTATACATTAATTTTTTATAACGACATTTCGCTCACTCCAATGATAACATTTTGGGATTAATTATGATAAACCAAATGTAAAAAAGTTTCGAGCGTCTATGAGGTGCTACATCACATGTTTCTCATCTCAGTATCACCTCTCAGCATTAATATCAAATTAATAGCTAAATAGTGCCGTTTGACTTGAAACCGTATAAAGGAGGTAACATAATTAACATAAGCAGTTAAACGCCACACTAAACAAAATAACCATTTTTAAACGGCTTCAGCAAACTTTCATACGCTATACCGGCGCCACCGGCATCCTCGGAACCCCCGTCTCACCCACCTGGGGTAGGACATGCGCAGGTCCTGCCGCAGCTTCTTCAGCAGCTCGGAGACGCCGGCCAGCTGTCTCATGGTCATCTCCCTGCGCTTGTTCCTCTCCTTCCGCTTCTTCTCGGACCTAGCGTCGCGCTCGGCTCCCTCGGCAGAGGACTCGATGTAGGCCTTGGTGCCGCCCTTTTTGCCCCAGCGGCGCAGACCGAGTACGTAGTCCTCGGCGTTGTAGAGGGGAGGTCTCGGCTCCTGAGAAGAGCGGGGGAGAGGGAGACGAGTGAAGGGCAAGCACCGAACGACTGTTTGATAGGAGGAGAGGAAGTGGAAGATCAGACAGGCTAGACAGGAAGGTAGAAGGCTAGGCAGGTCAGCTGGGGAAACACCTGGACAACATGGAAGTGAACGTTAGACGTCTATAGGCGACATAGATGTCTGAGGTATTCGCTCACACTAGGGTAGACTCCAGACGACCGAGTCTCGGTGCATGAAAATGCGATTGCACAGAGGAGAGGAACGGCCAAACGTTTAACAGTTTTCACGTGTGATAGAGCATGCTGTTCTTACTCTCCTCTTTACTCCGATATTGGCACTACCAGGCTAGAGTCAAGATGTTGAACACAGTCATGGGGATGACAGCATCACGTCAATTCATTGTTATGTCTGTCGTGCACATTTCGTTTGTACGACGGTCGACGGTAGCGCGTTGACAAACTACACACACTGTTGTGTTGTTTCAGTGCTGCACCTAACTCCTTCGGACCGATTCAACTCACTTTGTGATGCAGTTAGGTATGCACTGTGTTGCAGATGCACGGTTGAATGCTCCCTCCTCATCAATATTTTAAAGGCCAGGGTGGTCGTCTTTTAGGGTTGCTTCAGAATTAGGAAGGTTTGGCAATACTTTGCATTGCAAATGCATTCAGAGGTAAACAGCAACGATTCATTGTGGAAAAGTGAACGTCCGCATTGGAATTTACAACGTGACGAGAGTTGAAGGTGAAGAGTTTCAGTTGAAATATTTTATTTTCCTACCTCCAAGTCGCAGTTCTGCCATGCATTTTTATCCGATGGTGATGCAATTGGCCGAATGCCGTCGCAACATAGCTCTCTTTACATGCAAGAGGGGTGGAAAGCGTATGCAGAAGAACGGTTCGCCCCACGCATAATTGAGGAGAAAGCAACTGGGGACACACAAATATATTTCTTTGCCTATATTCTTTGTTGATCAGCACCACTTTACCACCATCCACCCCACCATCATGAATCGAATCGTCTCGAATCGCGATTAACAAATAAGTAAAAGTGGTAGGTACGTTGATTAGTTTCGACTCTTGTGCGCCTTTTGACTGAAAGACCTTAACTTCGCCAATAAAATCCAGCGCTCTTTTTTCACCCAATTCATCTAACAATCTCTGCTAAAACTACCTCCTGCCAACAATTACCCAACCCCTCCAACATGGGCCCATCTGTTCAGCTCCCTGGCACCATCACCGCAGTATGACCTGCCTGCAGCGGTGGCGTTCCCTCCCGTCAGAGGGTTCAACGTCCCATCCCGACCGCCGGGCAGCCCGCTCGGCTGGACCGGCGGCAGCGGGCGCATTGGACCGTGACGGCCACCTCCCGTGCACCGCCGCAGCACGGGCTCAGCGAGACGACGTGTGCCGACTTCGAGCACGGAGAGGATGGGCTGGAGGGTGGTTTGTAGAGGACTGACAGTCATGGCGGTCGTGGTTGTCTGAGAGCGTGGTGTGACGATATTTTGAGCTGCAAGACGTGCTGTAAATCAGCACAGAATGGTATGGGGCTGAGTGCCTGTTATGGAAGTCGATGTTACAGTGTGTTGTCAGCAGAAAGCTTTGACGTGTAACCAGCTCTATGTATGATGCTGAGTACAAATTGCTAGATACTGGGCGCAGTCAATACTGAAAATATATGGATTCCAAGCATTTTGGACAATTGACTTTGGTACAGGCATTTAGCTGTCCGGAACTCTCCCACGCAGCTAAGTAGGCCTACTTTAAATTTGGAGCCTCTTGACTAACTGATTGATTTTCTCCTCCGCAATTGGTGAGCAGTAGTATTAGTATCTACTGGACTTACACCCAGTTATTCAGTAATTACCGCAAGCGGCAAATCTTGCTACTGCACTCTACTAGTAGTTAGTCGTAGTTAGTTGGCTGTGTATCAGGCCAGATGGCCGAGCAGCCACTGCTCGCTGTGGGCATCGTTCGCCAGACGCAGCAGGTGGTACCTCAGCCCAAACAGCACGGGAGCACAAGTGAGTCTGAAATAAATTCCACCGCTCGAGAAGAAATCAAGAGTGACTCGCTTGGCACTCATAGAAACCGAGACGAAACTCTATGAGGACAATGAGGTATTGTGTCACGTGCTGATTATTTGGCGAAGCTCTTGGTAGGGATGAGGAAGGGATTATCTTCATATCAGTGGCGTCTGGCGGCCGTTCCTCTGGTAATTAGCCGCTCGTTGGAGGCCACTGATCGACGAGGGACGCCACTGGGAAGGTTAGAGACTTTTCACATCCCGCCACAGATGTGCATGTGTTCCATATGTCACGGTCAACTATACCGTACTTCACGCTTATATCTCACGGTGAATGGTACCGTAGTTCACTTCTGCCAGTTAGGAATCACGGAAACGTCGGAGTTTGTCAGAAAAAAAACGTGCATTCTTTCCTTTTCTCTTTCTGGCAACTCAGTCGGAGGTTTTACTGCAAGTGAGCTCGTGGGTAGCTTATTTTGGCTCCATCTTTCGTCGTCCCAAAAGGCGACTTAAGGCCGCCGTCCACTGAGCGGAACGCGTGCGGTCCGTACGGAATTTAACACAGAACCCTATGGGCGCATCCGGTCCGTACGGAAATCGTGTGCGCTCCGTCCGGACCGCATCCGAACGGCAATCAGCTGTTGATTTTCCGTCAGCTCTCCGCATGCGTTTCGGATGCGGTTGCTACGGAGACGGAAGAGTGATGTCCGACGCGTTGAACTTTTCTGCGGAAAACGCATCCGGAACGTCCGGAACAGACGTGGTTTGGGGCCGTGTCGGAGGCAAACATTGTGAATTGTACGAAGAATTGGAACTCGATCATCATGAAGTAAGTAAAAATTATTTCCTTAGAATGGCAAGAGTATTCGCTGCTGGTTACTTGCAATATTTTATTTGGTAATAAGTGATAGGAAACATTTATTAGCTCTCCGCATCCGGACCGCATCCGGACCGCATCCGGACCGGATGCGGCCAGCGTGCGGCGACATTCCGGACGGACTCCGGACGGAATTCCGTCGCAGTGGACGGCGGCCTTTACTGTTACCTTTTCGGCGGGGGCGGAGCGCGAAAAGGCAAAGTTGCCCCTGTTTTTGACCGACCGTGATTTTGCTGAACTTTGGTGAAAGAAAGATCTCGTAAAGGTTCCCTGTCTGGGTTGGAATTTGCCCAAAAATAACCCAGTATAAAGAGCTACTCGCAAAAAATGGGGTAATGGAGGGGGGGGAGATAGTATCTCCATTGCTCCTACTGTACCATGTTTTGCACGCATTACAGATGCACATTAGTGGTACAGGCTTCTGAACTCGCTTATGTTATTGCACAGCACGACACCTATAACTAACGCGGTTAGCCGATGGAATCACAGTTAGCGAACCTCTATACTGCCTCTACTGCCCATAAGCACGATTCAGTTCCTCCGTCTGCGCTCACGAGACAACGACACGCTAAGAGACAAGGAGACCATGGGACGGGTTGGGCTCCGAAGGCGGAGCCACCCGTCTGGAAAACGTCGCTACCGCACGCACCCTCGACGGTTCCCAATTTCCCATTGTTGACAGGCGAGCGCCCACGAGCGTCGGTTCCTCGAGCGACTGGGTGGGGTTATTTGACGGATAAGAGGACATGGCGCTCACGGATCTCCAGAGAATATAAAACTCAGTTGTAATAAGCTTATCTAGTAATTAGGACATTACGATTCGTGACTAAAATAACTCATACGTGCATGGTTATTGAAAACGTCAAGATCGGGTTTGTTCTTCAAATCAGGCAACAGCAAATTAGATCGGTCTTTGGGGTGCAAATTCCTCCTTGTTTGTTCATTGTAATGTAGCGGTATGGTCACCAGTCTAAACATAAATATCCACGATGCAGTCACTCACTCTCCTCAAACTCACCACAAACTCCTCCAGGTCCGTCACTTCCCGTATGATCACCATCCTGACCCTCCTGACCTTCAAACTTCAGTGACCTGGCCTCGGGTGGTCACCAAACCAACTCCAGTGCCCTGACCTTCAGCGGACACCAAACCAACTTCGGCGAGTGAAGTGGGCAGGTGACGCGCTAGCTCTCCCTCATCACGTCAACGACACTCGGATCTCCAGCAGACACCGGCACTGAACTGCGGCCCGCGCGGGAGGGCCGCTCACCACCTCCGCGCGTCGCTGCTCTCGGACAGGGACTGGCCGCACACACCGCCGCTGCGCTGAGCCGCCGGCGGCGACGGTAGCGGCGGCTATGGTAACTGGTAACAGTAGTGGCGGCTGAGGTGGTAAATGCGTTATCAAGGGCGGATCCAAGGGGGGCCAACGGGGCCATGGCCCCCCCCCAAGACGGTCAAAGGGGGGGCCATACTATCTTTTGCCCCCCCCCAAGACAGAAGTCAAGAAAACTAAAAAATAAACATTCTCAAAGTTCCTATGCTGAAAAACTGAAATATTGCTTTGATGATTGAGTGACCTTGGGGCAAACGTGAAAAACTCTGCCAACCAGAGTCAAAATGGCCTTTGCCGGCGAAGGTTAACATGTAGGAGAAATTGACATGATATCACATTGTTATTCGCATTCATAGGCACGTGTTCTGTATTGTGTACTGGTTGGTTTTAATTGCAAATTTGTTGGAAAATAAGATTGTCATGAGGCACTTTTTTAAAGAAAAGGGTATTTTCAACGTTTGCCATGGCCAAATGTGTGATTCTAGTCAGAAAACTGAGGAATGATCATAACAACACTGAGTATAATCAACTTCAGCTTGAGAGATTTCAGAAGCTTCTTAATAGCTGAAGCTTCTTCATAGTTCATTAACACTATCAAACAGGAGCTTTCTTGTCTCATGCCTGAATGTATATGGATTTAAACCTCGCCCGTATTGGCGTTTTGTCAGCCGCGAACGTATAGGGGGGGGGGGGGGCGTTGCCCCCATTGCCGTTTGGCCGCTGATCGAGCTAGAGCTTCGCGAAAAAAAAACGAGCGTGCTGCCCGTGACGAGAGGAAGACGATGATACCCAATTTAAGGTCCTAGGTCATTGGTTCATGGTTGACCTTCCAGGTCAGGTCAATGACCCAAAACTCGGGAAAATTGGGACCTGTTAGAGCGTCGTAAGTGTGGCTGAGCTTTTCCGGGGTGCTGATCACGAATATCGTGTTAGTGTTGATCCCAGGAGATGTCTTCATGCATTTAGGCCAGGTCGGGTCAGGTCAACCAGTAGTGGTCCTGCCGGGTGTTCGTAGTACGTGTCAACCGCCTCTGACAGCTTCGTAACATAATACGAAGGCACCAAAAGTACTTCGTAAATGTTCAAATGGTTGCTGAATTCGAGTTCAGCTCCAAAAACTAGCCTAGAAACATGTAAAACTCGAAAAAGTGAACTGAGGTCATCAAAGGTCAATGACCTGACCTGATCTTCAGGTGACCTTCACACCCATCCAAATGCATGGGACCAACAGCATATCACATGTTTGAACGCTTGAAACCACAAAAAGACTGCAAACGCGCGGCTAATGCGAGCCAACATACGCCGAATCGCGATCCCGGCCAAACATGGTCTCGAGAAATAGGTCACAGGTCAAAAGTCACTTGGGTCAGGGTAATTAAAGTTTCAGGGTAGATGCAAAATTGATTAACTCGAGGGTACTGAAAGTTTCGTCGCGATTAGCCGTTTTTACGCGAGTTATTCGCGAAAAACCGAGGGGGGTGGGGTCTGTTCGACCCCTCCCCCTATACGGGGGAGGGTTAACAGAGGAAGACACAATTTCCCCTTACCTGTACTTGTTTTTGAAGTGTTTCAAGCGTCATTTTGAGAAGGTGCTTTATTCAGTTAGGGGGTGCATGTGCACCCCTAAAACCCCTAATGCTCCACCATATGTCACTAACTAAACCCACTATTTGAAGTTATACTTAATGACACATGGGTAGTTTTCACTCAACATAGTAGGATAATTAGGCATTAAATGCAAAATTAGAGCTTGAGATTGTCCGGCATTTAGCCCAACAGGATACCTCTTCAATCGTCCTAGCTGAACCCAGCATAAGCTCAGCTTGTCTGAACTCGGACACACCATCAACATTGCCGAGTCTGAATTTGAGCTCGACGCCGGGCCATGGGCCTGAACTTTGTGGTCATGGGCGCGGGAGCTGGGGGTCAGTGGGGGCAGCCTGCCCCCACAACTCTGGGGCCGTGGGGGCGCTGCCCTACAACTTTTCATAGGGCTAGGAACCGTCGGGGCAGCTTGCCCTCCCTGAATTAGCGGTTGTGGGTCACAAAGGAATACTAAAGGGAAGAAAACATTTAAGAAAAAATCCCCCTCTTTACCTGACTTGACAGCTCATGTGGAAGATTTAGGCCTTTATTCTACGTTACCAAAAAGGTAGTTCCTTGACTCAGCTGAGACAAAATATCTCACTTTTTGCAAATGTTTTCGTTTCGTTTTTTTTTTTTCGATGAAAAGGCGAAGGGTGAAAAATAAATGGCCTAAAACCGGTGAGAAAACTAGATTTGGGGGTACCCTAGGTTTGGCTAGTCCCAACCGGTTGGCCCCCCCCCCCCCCCCAAGACGGCCGGCTGGATCCGCCCTTGTGCGTTATAGGGCGGTGGAGAAGGTAGTTAGGAAAGCTTAAGTTAAAGTGAAGCGGCCACTGCAGTGGTGAAGGTAGAGGACCATACAAGGGTGGTGGAGGCCAACTCGGTGCCATTTCGACCAGGGGTTTATAAATTATTCTGGAAGGCTGGGAATGTGGTTTGTTGCGAAATACCTACACTCCAACTTTCCCCAAAAAGCTCACCAGATGCCAGTTTTACCAACAGAAAAATAGCCGCCTGCCGGAATTGTTTGCTTAAAGACCGCTTCACATAGGTACAGGGTGAAACGGTAAAGCGCTATCCGCTTACGTGGCCATCTCGTTTACGCTCCGTATGTGGAGCGGTCTCTAGACAAAAAATTCCGGCAGGCGGCTATTTTTCTGTTGGTAAAACTGGCCTCAGCTCTCCAAATCATCGCGCATTTCGACGCCTTGTGATTGCGAAGGGAGCGACATAAGAAGCCTTGCTGGCATGCGTCCCACACATCCCCCATGACCGTGAACCTCCAGTACCTTTTGGATGGTGACATCGGATACATGGGACGAGCACGGGTCATTACGCCACAGTGTTTTACGACCTCATAAGGTTTTTTACCAATGCGTAAAAACTGCCGCGCGTAACGCCACCACTTTTGCCTTAGCGTATGGTGCATCATTTCTGCGCAAGCTGGGAAAATTTCAAACCCAGGTCTTCAAGTCTCAGGCGACTAGGTCACGTTAACCCGCGCCCCGCTGGGGGGGGGGGGCAGAATCTGCCCCCTCCCGTTTTTCGCCAATAACTTCTAAACGCGTTACGCCAGGACGTCAAACTTTCAGTACCTTATCATACATCAATTTAAGACGTTTCCTGAAACTTTGAGCAAAATCTGTCGGAAAATTTAGAAAATGACGTTTTAGTGACGTCATGTCCCAGATTGCCTTATGTCTATTTATGCGAAAATTTTCAATAAAATCGAGCAAACAAACAACAAACAACAAATCCATTGATACCCAGGTTTACCTTCTCAGGTCAGTCATGTCTGCCATTTTCGCCTAAAAAACGGCAAAATTCCAAACGCCGCTAACATCTTCATTTTTAAAGGAATCAAGACGTAACAAAAAGGTTATACGTGATTTTACTATGTCTATCAAATGGCCAGCTCGTTTTTTATTGTGGATTTTGACCAATTTAAAAAAAAACTGATTTTTTTGGGAAAATAATTATAAAATCCAAAATATTGAGTGTATAAAAACCGGAATATTTGTTAGAGAAGTGGTCTATGTGCACCTACATACCAATTTTTAGAAGAATCGGTTCAAAAATGTGGGAGTTATTCAAAAATTTTATGACGTCACGACACACATTTTTTAAATGATTTTTTTGAAAGTTCTAGACCTCGTACGGAAACAAAAATAGCACCATGCGATTCGCTGTGAAAAACTGCATCAGATTGACACCTTTTTTAGGCCTTAACAACCAACTTCAAAATTTGACCTTAGGTAATTGACCTGACCTTGACCTGACCTCGACCTGAAATTCATCCATATGTGGTCCATATCACTTATTGAGTGTGCCTATTGAATTCTATGAATAAAATGACCCATAAAACATGTGTCGCTCATGCCCTTTTCTATATTTCGTTTTTGGTAACCTGACCTGACCTTGACCTTGACCTTTGCATGATATTGCATGCAACGAATATTGTCTTGGCAGCCTAAGAACACGTTTTGGGCAATCAGCCTCAGTCGGCAGTCCATTCTTCGGCAATTACGGTGCAAGGCCGATACTGTAGAAACTTGCCTGACCTGAAACTTGTACCCTTGACCGGATCTTGACCTGACCTCTGACCTAGGTACTTAAGCAAAAAAAAAAAAAATGGGCTGCTCTTGAGATCCGCCTTGTTGAGAGCTTTCGATTACCGTTTTCCCGTCTTTCTACGACCATCGGTTCGTAAGTTAGACGGGGGGGGGGGGGGAGAATCTGCGCCCCCCCCCCAGCAGGGCGCGTATGGCTGAAAAGCCCAGCGGGGCGTGGGTTAAGTGGCAAAACTTTATTGCATTAAATGCTCTCCAAACCTCACTGCCTGAAAGGTTTATTTTAACAGATTACAGATCTTTGACTTTTTAGTTTTTAACGATTGATAAAAGACAAAATATGTGTGAAATTTTCTATCGGATTTGACCTAAGGCCAGGAATCACCTCACTTGTGGGACCTCGTCGAGTGGTGGTGAGAGGACTGGGGGCGCTTGGATTCTTACGATTGGAACACTTAGGATCGGGTCACCACGATTCTCTAAAAGGCAGCCACAGACCAGGTCATTGATGTATCTGTATGTCTTATAAACATTTTTACTGCTGTCCGCTCAACAAACCAAACCCAAGTGCCACCTAGCATACAAAGGCACAGCAGTGGTGAGCCTCAGCCGCCCTCGGCGCCACCAGGCCACCCTGCCAACCTCAGCCTGGCTGCAGCAGCGCCACCTACCTGAGAACCGCCGTAGTCGCCAGCGCCACCTGTTGTCGACTTTCGAAGCTGCTCCATCTCGGACCGCATCCCCAGCTCATGCTCGAGTCCACTGAAACGGAACGGATGGGTCACTTTTGGCGCCGGCTCAGCTGGCAATGATCCATAAATTACTCTAGGCCCGGAGCGTGTTTTAGATCAGACACGTGGGCACGCCTAGGGGCTCTCTAAGCACCGCTCTCTACGGTGTATTACAGAGATGAGGTCGTAAACTGGGGCATAGAGCGAGCTGGATTGCAGGTAATCTGCAGGATTCATTGCGCTCGTTTTGCATTTGATGCCGTCGGGTGATGAGGTATTAACTGCGCAGGATATGCGCTATGTGGTGTCAACTGAACGTCTGGTTTATTCTACTTTGTAGCGAAGGTGGTGACTAGCAGATTACCGGACGGATTTTTTTTTTTTAACTTTTAACTCGAGTGTTAGAAAGGCAAGATGGGCAGAGCTCGAAATGAAGCCTTCCTTCTATAACTTGAACGTGTTGGGCAGGCCCCGACTCCTACTGCTCGATTTGGACATTCCTGCTCCCATCAATGCCTAACCCTCGCTGTCCCGGGGGCGTCCCCCCTCTCCGGACGCTTTTGTTTTGTTTTTGCTCAACCGCTGTTCTTGAATATTGGCGATAGTTACCGAAACCCTAAAGATAGATGAGCGAAATATGCAGTACCTTTTTCCAAATTAATTTGACATTTTTTGTAGTAAAAAGTTTGGGACGAGCCCATTTGATGATGTCACAGGATTGAGTTTTTAAACGATTGCAAGGTAAATTTCGACGTCACGGGCATAACCCTCAAACATATCCCCAAAAAATGGGAGGGAGATAAAGAAAAATCACGAACATGGTTGTATAATTTGTAGCATGTTAAATACGACCTACAAAAAACTGTTGACCTGAGGTCAGGCTCCGGAAAAAAACGGTAACTTTGTCGACAGCTCTTGGATGCCGATGGGCCCGTTTGCCAGCCGGTGAAGCGCGGGAGCCATCAGAAAAGGCGGGGCTGGCCTTTGTGGACAGAGAGTGATACGCGGATACCGACTTGGACCTCGCAACACAGATGTCAGGACGACCTGCGAGCTGTACAGCATACATTGCTGGATGACGAGAACAGTCAGGACGCTGGCCAGTCCCAGCTTCAGGATCCGTTGTAGGAAAGGACACGCACTGCTTCTCCTCTGGCACTTGCAGACGCGATACCCTAGTCCGATAACTTAAGCTAGGTATACATATATCAGTTTACCATGTATCACTCTGTGGTGCAACATCGCTGTAGCATCAGCTACCGTGGGTTCAATATCAGCTACCGCGATTGTCGCATGACTAAATAATGCACGACGAATTAGTCTATTGGTTTATTTGATTGTAAGCCAAAGCGACCAATAAGTCAAAAGCAATTCAAGATCCACCGCGCATCGGTTCATTGAAAAGCTGCACACATGAACTTCTAGCATGGAATGAAAAGTGACGTTATGCACCATCGCCAAACATGTTTGCTTCTTCACACAAATAATGCCTAGCCCATGCCAATCTATTTAGTTGGTACCGTCCACGAACTTGTCTGACACGTCCATTCATCATCAAGCTCTGATGAACACGCTCAAAGGAGTGCTGAGACGACAATGCAGTTTGAGCTCAGCTGGGTAGTGAACATTGAACAGGTTTGCTTTCCGCGGCTTCAATAGCCATTCTCCTGAACCAGCGGCCATCCTTCGTCATCGACCGACATCGGAGTGAATGAAGGGCCGCCTCAGTGGGAAACGCATTGAAAGTGCCGTCCAAAAGTTGTCTACACTTTATACAACACCGTTCGGAGTTTGCCTTTACGGCTAATGCACATCAATAAGTCTGGAACTAATGCGACATAAGGTCTGGAATTATATCCGAGGAGTAGTGGAAAGATGTCACCGTCAGACATTTGTCCACAGGTATAAAGTTTTTTTTCATTCCCGAATTTATTCATCGTCAGGAACTGATCACCCGTTGATGATCTAACCAATAACAATCCTATACCTTTATTCTCGCCCAATAGCTACGTAATTTTGTGTCAGAAAAGTCACCGCTTCCATCCGCTGGTCGATTCACCGTCGTCTGTCTGACTTTGACATAGTAGGGAAGAAATCAGAATTACACTCCTGTACCGAGGTCCAGTGGAGGTGGCCGCATGCCATGTAAGACGCCCAAACGCCCCTGCTCACTGAAACCAAACTTACCAAATGTCATAACTAGCATTTAAAGGAATATGAATATTTATTAGTACGTGATTTAGTAGGATTTATGGCAGTACTGACTGAGGATCGTCCATAGTAGACGGCTACAAATGACAAACGATTTGTACACTTTTCAGTCCATTGTATGTAACCGTTTCCAAGATTCGAGTCGGCAACTCATCAACGCATTTGCAAACGCACTGCTATCAATATTCATCTTACCAAATGTTGTAAATAGGGAAGCACGTTATTTGATAACATTTCGCTGCGGACCAGCGTGCACTATCAATTCGATGCAAATAGTTCGGTGCGGTATAGAATTGTACTTTGACCACGTTGACAGCATTAACCCGCGCCCCGCTGGGCTATTCAGCCATACGCGCCCTGCTGGGGGGGCACATTGCCCCAACAGACGGTAAATAACTTTTGAAAATACCTATCTCCAATTTTAGTGTTTTCTGAACCAAAATTTTGCGAGGAATCCGATGGTGTGGTCCCTGAAATATGAAAAATTTCCATTTTGGAGATAGCACCTATTTTTTGAAAAGTAAATATTCGTCATGCACAAAAGTCAAATAAATTGAAAATATTATGAGTGAATATTTATACTAACACTAGAATGTATCGAACATGAATTAGTGATATATTTTAGCTGAGATGATACTATATCTGCTCATACATGTACATGAATTAGTACATTAACCCTCGTCGGCCGAGAAGGGGTGGGGCGGATGCCGCCTCATAGGGGTTTTTCGCGATAGCTCAAAACACGCTGAGGGAAAACAGCTGAAACTTGGCATACCTAATATTTTATTCAAGCTGGATCTTTTGACACCAACTGCGTTTTCAGGTCAGGTCAGGTCACTGACCTATGACGTCATAAATGAACCTCTGCACGGTCCTCAGAAGTTGCAACTTTGCAACGCCCTCAGTGCCAGAGGAACTTTCACAGGAAGATGAAACTTACAGGACGTAGTATCCTTTAGAGGTCTCACAAATTGTATATCTCAGATTTTTCCCAAATGTCACATGAGGTCAGTTCGGTCACGTGACCTCACCATAATAAGTCAATGGAGGGAAATATGAAAACTGTTATTTTGACGCCGGAAATTGTCTAAAAACTGTCCCAAGCACATGAAATCGTGGTTTCATGCACTCTTTGTAAGGTCCGATCATGAAACCACGATTTCATGTGCTTGGGATAGCTTTAGATCATTTCCGGCGCCAAAATAACAGTTTCAATATTTCCCCCATTGACTTATAATGGTGAGGTCACGTGACCGACCTGACCTCATGTGACATTTAGGTTAAATCCGATGTAAACAAGTTGTGAGACCTCAGAAGGATACTACGTCCTGTAACTTTCATCTTCCTGTGAAAGTTCCTCTGGCACTGAGGGCGTTGCAAAGTTGCAACATCTGAGGACTTCGCAGAGGTTTATTTATGACGTCATAGGTCAGTGACCTGACCTGACCTGAAAACGCAGTTGAGGTCAAAAGATCCAGTTTGAATAAAAGATTAGGTATACCAAGTTTCAGCTGTCTACCCTAAGCGAGTTTTAAGCTATCGCAAAAAGCCCTATGAGGCGGCACCCGCCCCACCCCTTCTCGGCCGACGAGGGTTAATGTACTAGTTCATGTACATGTATGCGCAGATATAGTATCATCTCAGCTAAAGTATATCTCTAATTCCTGTTCGACACATTCTAGTGTTGTTACAAAAATTAACTCAATATATTTTCAATTTATTTGACTATTATGCCTGACGAATATTTATTTTTCAAAAAATAGGTGCTATCTCCAAAATGGAAATTTTTCGGATCTCGGGGACCACACCATCGGATTCCTTGCAAAATTTTGGTCCAGAAAACACTAAAATTGGAGATAGGTATTTTCAAAAGTTATTTACCGTCTTTTGGGGCAATGTGGGGGGGGGGCAGATTCTGCCCCCCTGTCTAACTTCCGAACCGATGGTCGTAGAAAGACGGGGAAAACGGCAATCGAAAGCTCTCAACAAGGCGGATCTTAAGAGCCCAAATTTTTTTGCTTAAGTAGGTCAGAGGTCAGGTCAAGGTCAGGTCAAGGGTACAACATGCAAGTTTCTACAGTATCGGCCTTGCACCGTAGTTGCCGAAGAATGGACTGAGACTGATTGCCCAAAACGTGTTCTTAGACTACCAAGACAATATTCGTTGCATACAATGTCATTCAAAGGTCAAGGTCAAGGTCAGGTCAGGTCATGTCAGGTCACCAAAAACAAAATATAGAAAAGGGCATGTGCGACACATATGTTTTATGGGTCATTTTACTCATAGAATTCAATAGGCACACTCAATAAGTGATATGGACCACCTCTGGATGAATTTCAGGTCGAGGTCAGGTCAAGGTCAGGTCAAGTGAGGTCAAATTTTGAAGTTGGTTGTTAAGGCCTAAAAAGGTGTCTATCTGATGCAGTTTTTCACGGCAAATCGAATGGTGCTATTTTTGTTTCCGTACAAGGTCTAGAACTTCCAACAAAATCATTTTTCAAAATTTTTGTGTGTCGTGACGTCATGAAATTTTGAATAACTTCCACATTTTTGAACCGATTCTTTTAAAAATTGGTATGTAGGTGCACATAGACCACTGCTTTGACATATATTCCGTTTTTTTTATACACTCAAAATTTTGGATTTTATAAATATTTTCCCAAAAAAGTTCAGTTTAAAAAAAAAAGGGCCAAAATCCAATATTTTCAAAAAACCGAGATAGCCATTTGATAGACAAAGTAGAATCACGTATAACCTTTTTTGTTACGTCTTGATTCCTTTAAAAATAAAGATGTTAGCGGCGTTTGAAATTTTGCCAT